TTAAACAGCCGTGCACATATCGTGGAAGAACACATCATGGTTCGACTCACTTTCATGCAATCATTCCATCAAATAAGTCAATATTATTAAAATGGTTTTCGTTTTTCACATTACAGTTGTTATAAATCCGCAGTAGACCGTAGAACTTGTTCAACATAGGTGTTGTTGTTACGATTCTTACCATACGGCACGTTATGTTCAGCAATATAATGCAAACACGCAAAAACATAATAAACGTGAAACCGAAAAGAACAAGTGCAGATGGCCTTTGCACCTACCTACCTTACTATGCGTGAGATACAATTGGAGAAATTTTGGAATTTATCGCTCAATGGCTTAATGCAGTTAACAAAATACGTTCATTAATAAAATCATATCCTCATCTTTAATCAACCTAATTACTAACATATTATTAACATTAAAACCTCATTTACAGTCGTAGATTAAATATTTAAATGCTTTAACATATTTTTATTAAAAACGAATGGATAATAGAATAATACATGAATATGTATTGTACATAATTATTTTTTGTACAATTATGTAGACAAACAGAAATTAGCGTTTTTTTATCTTAAGATACAATATTTCACAGTTGTACAGAAATTCTAATTTTTAGAAATTTTTTGTATTTTTTTTTTATCTTATTGTTATTCAAGGTGTATAATGTAACCTAACCTACCCTATCTTTAATTATTCTTAAAACTCATTGTATCTAATTTTTACGCGTGTTACAGACTTCATAGGTTTAAAATCTATATTACAACAATAACACTTAAAAACTAATTATTTAATTAAAAAGTATGTTATAATTACATTATTTAGTACATTTTTTTAGATATTTGTTTAGTTTTCGTAAAATTACAAACCTTAAAAAAGAAATGTACAAAATATAATTATTATTATAAACTATAAAAATTTTTATGATTTGCACATATTCTATAAGTATATTACTCGTATGGTTAATTATAAACATTATAAGTTTCAAAAATGTCACATCCAGCCTATTTTATTATTAAAAAAAACCGTGAAAATGTTTTATACCTTAAAATTAAATGCTCGTTTGACTCAATACCTACATATAAACCGAATGTTAGCTACAGAAAACCCTAACTTTAACATTACCGAGTTAAATGACCACCAAAAGTTAATTGGTTCCCTTAGAAAACCAATCACGACATAATTATAAGCCGCACGTTCAGTTTAAACATTATATACCACCTTAGACGTGTGCTCTCTTACAATCTTTATTTTCTAAACCATAAAATTAATAGCCTGTTTTCAAGGCGGGAGTACACGATGTAAAACGGTCACGAACGCTAAAAATCGATCGATAATAGTAAATTTATTTAACAAAATGGGTACACAATAGAGTATGGCGACGATGGCGAAATGACCGGAATTCACTTTCGGCTATACTTGATTTATAATAAATAAACAGAATGAAAAAATATTTCATACCTACACGTGTTCCAACAAAAATTAGAAATCATCCCGAGAAAATTCAACCATTACTAAGTGCGTGTGTGCTAATAAAGTAAATATTATTATTTACAAGTATTTAGCACACACTCTAAGACTTATTCAAATGTGCAAATATATATTTTAATATAAATATATATATATATATATATATATATTTTTCGACCTATGCGAAAGTTTTCGCCACTGAGACCATGCGAAATATTATTACAATATTATTTCCAGTTGTTTCGCATTTCCTCACGAGGCGATGGTTCTCGTTATTGTTCTTCTTGTCACATCCGTTTCCGTTCTTACAAGTCTCCCAAAACAACCATTTAATGATGATTACCTTGAACAATCGCAATACGACCAGTAACCTCAAGTTTTTCATTGTTAAATCTACTGGCAACAGCATTCATTTTGCTAATTTTAGGGTTATGCTTTTAATGGAGACTCAACGTTTTTTTAGAGATTATAGAACTTATTTTCTTAATTCTATAGCTTAAAAACCACAATGCCATATTTTGACCACAAATATTTTTAAAAAAATTGTATATTAAAACCCGTTATCCACTTTACCGTGTCCGTAAAAATTATATTATAATAAATCAAATAAACATGTTTATATTCATTTCGGTTATCATAAAAATTACAGTGAATATTTCCAAAATTGACATTGTGATTCTTCTGGACTCAATCTGCCGAAATTACAGTACAGCTTTATTTTATGATGCTCTAGAACGCGAGCTACCTCAATTAAAAGGATTTATGATATTTAAATTATTTTTGAAAGATCATTGAATATTCTTTAAACTTATGAAATATTTGTACTTAAAACTTGTATTATTGCCAATTTAATTTTTAGCATTACAATAATAGTTCTATTTTATTTTGGGATTACATTTTTAAACCGATTTGTAATATTTAAAAAATGTATAGGTTGGATAGTATAAACAAAATAACCGTAGAAAAGAATACCTAGTAGTAAGATATTGATATTAACCCTTTATTATATTATATATAAGTACTTAATTTTAAAAGCTGGCTTTAAAGTTCAATTTAAAAATTATAACATAAAAATAAATATAAAACTCTATAGTTAGCTTTAAAGTTATATAAATGTAACTTGATGTAACTTTTGGTAAATGATCGTTAGTTTTTTTATAAAACTCATAACTTTTTCAATTTTGGTCGTGGCACTGCTATTTTTTATATAATTTAAATTTATTGTGTTTTAATCTATATGTTTATTAGACGTCTTACTTTATTTTTCAGACAAGTGAGCATAATTAAATACAAAACTGAGCTCATTGACACGAAATTTGACAGGGATAGTGTTCGAAATAAGAATCATTGTCAACCAGATAAAATAAATAGCCCAAATCACTATTTTATATTTTAATGAATTTATCAAAATAATTTTCATATGCAAAACAGCAATTTGTAATAATGGTTTTTAAATTGATTTAAATAAAATGATAAAAAACTTACTTGTTTATAGTATTCCTCCGAAATCACAATTTAATGACCGCGTTACGAGTAACAACGTCTAAATGCCGGTCAGAAATAAATCACTCATCAAATTGATCACATTTAATTAAAAAACACCTTTGCTGGTCACCAAAAAAATATAAGCAAACACATAGAGCATACTTTTAACAAACGACGTATGCATGCATTATTTTTTAAACTATTTTTTTTTTTTGTTAACTTTCAAACTTTTAACGTATACCTCGTACATCTGTCGATCGAGTACGAGATTAAATTACACTCCAGCCAGAGAAAGATAATTTATAAATTGAGGACCGATAAAAATGAGCAAGCGCACGACAAATAGTGTTTGCAATGTGTTATGTCAAATAATGGAATGGACACATCGCGTATAGGTACACAATTCAACACAACGGTGCGCCGTCGCCGCCACAAGAATGGGCACCGGTAGAGACGCCTCTCACCGAGATGATAACACACCGTAACACGCGTCGACAAAGCATAAATGATTTTTTTTTTTAATTCAAATCATTAACATCTATTAAAAAATCATCTAACCCGAGTAGGCTAAATCAACGCACACCGTCGCTTTGTAGGATGAATAAGCCTGAATGATACAATGTTTACCTACTATAGTATTATTTCTTTTGGAAACTTTCGAGAGGCTGTCAAATATTATTTGTAGGTCGAACGTACTGCTCCGATTGTATTATAGGAAGGTACATCAATTACGGGTTAGTCGCATATGTAATACATTTTACATCTCGAGTTTATATATAAGCAATATCTACACTTTAATTAGTTGGGTATCATTTTATAACACCTAAAAAGTTTTCACCGCAGGCAGCAGAAAACTACAGTTGGTAGTACCAAAAATGTTTTATTTTGAAATAATAATACTAAAGATACGTCACTAATACGAACCGTCTATTTAAGTTACATAGGTGGGTAATAACACATCGTTTTAGAGATTATTAGTATTAAAGATTGGGTACTCTGTTATGTAATTTATAAACAGTTGAGTTTTAGTAAAACATCTATGCCATTTTTTATGTATAATAAATATTTAACAGTGTAAGCTATAATCAAAAAAATCTATTTGGTATCTAAATTATTATATTGAATTTAATAGTGTTCTGCTTAATTAAATTTTATAACACCTTGAAGTTTTAGTTATTAATTCAGGGATCTTTAATTGTCCGTTTAATTACTATTTCATTTAAATTGTTTATCAACATTTTATTAAATGAAATTTAACTAATGCGTTTCAGAGTTTCTCTCTGAAATTTTCATAAAATTAGCAATCTCGAATGTAGTATTAACTCATGCGTTTATCAAAGAGTTATAATTTAGAGGACATAATTATCTTACTAGTTTAACTCATTACGCTTATTTAAAACCAACCATTAGTAATTGAAGATACAATTAACTATATTGCATTTTATTTTTTTTATCGAACACTTATTTGTTCATATTATAAAATTCATAATTTGTAGAGTCTATAACAAATGAATATGAATTTAAAAAATGAAATAAGGTGCTCAAGATTGATTTAGTGATAGCTTATACAGGGCTGGTAAAAACATAGATAATGAGAAAGAGAAACATAATTAGTCAAGGACTAATACTATATTTTTCATCTTTTCTAAAATCTCAAAGTGTCTGTACGAAACCCTGAGACTCGTTATTAGATATCTGAATATTCTTGCATCTCCACTTAGGTTGGTATCAAATATCTATTCAAAATAAAATGTTTAAATAATATGCATATAGATTATACGACTCAAATAAAAACTTTTATTTAAAAAAAATAACAACAATTTAATAAAATTATAATTTTATATCATCTTTTCAATAAAAACCATTAACATAGTTAATTGAACATAGTGTTATAGAGATAGTAATGATATTTGTTTTTAGTTATACAAACATAAATTAACTATGCATATTTTAAAATACAACAAACGGAACTTAACTTAATTTCATTAAACCCTTTATATATTGAATAAATTCTACGCTGCCTTTTGTTTTATTAATTAAAAAAATTACTTTTCAAAAAAAAACCTTTGTTTAGTTGATACATGCTGTAAGCAATAAGCATACATAACAATATTTATGATTTTTTACGTAAAATCATTTGATCAGACTTAGAATTCCATAAAATTATTTTTAATAACGAAATAAGTCTTTATATTATGTTGTTAAATCTATCATTTAGCGGCTCCGAACACTTGTATATGGCCTGACAGTCGGCATTCGCTCTGCCATCCTCAATTGCCTCTTGTAGTCTGTTCAACATTTTTTCATACTTGGAGTCCATTGGTACAATACTGGAATATTGCGATAAAATTTAGAAAACTACATTAGTTTTATTATATTATTCAAGTAATTTTACCCGTCTAGTATTTTTGCAGCATTCCAAACCATTTCGGCACTTTTTAAGTAACTTGTTGCCTTTGTCGGCTGTTCGCATGCTACACGGTTTAAACAATCGTACTGTCCCGAGTCATCAGCAACCAAAAAACCAAGAAACATCAATATGTCCGCTTCAGATATAATGTCTCCTAGACCAGAAGACGACTCTTCTTTGCGTCCTTTGTGACCGCCTGTCATGTAAGCTGCACCCCAAATTAATGCCTTAAGTACAACCATCAGCATCACGTTGGAAACGTTTAAACTAAGCGTCTAAATACAAATTAATAAAAAAAAAAATTAGAAACAGACATCTTATGACACCAATTAATGATGGGGGTGTGGAGTAAAGACAGAAAAGCAGAATAAAAGACCCGAAGTAACCGTAGTTTGTAATTTGTATGTCATTTTTTAGGTTTCTGAGAGCCAGTATGCTAGTACAAAAGTGCACATGGCACGGTAAAATTATCTTCCATTATGATTCTTTATCATTAAGTATAAAGTCTCAACTCGAAAGGCAAAGTCTTAGCATCTATATATATATATATATATATATATATATATATATATATATATATATATATATTTTAAGTCTAATGTCTGTTGCTCGTCAAAGTTTATTGATTACAATTAACGTCAAAACGTTATTTTCAGTCACTAAACTGTTAGAAATCTGTTATTAAAAAATTATATAATTTATAAAATAATTTTAAACAGTAATCTCTTCAGTGACATTAATTAAAAGTATCACAAATAAAACCAATGGAAAATTGGACTCAAAATAATAGTTTCAAGATATAGTAATAATGTTAAAGTATACCTTGTTTAAAGTTACAATTCAGTTGAATTAAGTTGGTCCTCATAAGTTTTTCTATAAGATAAATGATGTAATATGAACTAATTATGAATTACATTTCAAGTCAATTACAGTTAAAGCCGTTTTTGAAAAAAAATGTGTAATGTGTTTATACTAAAATATAAGTAATGTGCGTGGTTTTATTTCGTTAAATAAAATTATCACGATTTTGTAATATAATTTTAATATAACAGATTAAACGTCCCGTGACTGTTGAGATACATACAATAACGAGGAAGAGAATTATTCGCGTCGCCGATCCACACAATTGTTGTCATAGTCTAGCCACAGCTGTAATAGATTAATTTTTAGTGTGGAAAGATTGTGAAATGTAAAACACTAAAAAACCTAGTTAGGTATATTTAAAAACAGGAGCAGTTTGTGTTGGTTTTGTTTTAAATAGAGCCGTTTCCCTTTGGAAAATTAAAAAAAAATTACGAAATATGATATATTATAATACAACAAAATATATCATTTGAAATTTAGACGTTTTTATAGATAATGTAAAAATAAAACTAATTTTGTTCTACACTTTAAATACGTCTAGTTCAATCAAAAGCATTAATAAAATATCTAGATACGTCAATAATATATTATGCCAATGTGTGTAAAAAACTATTTTTATTTAAATAATGACAAATTATGTCGTCCAATACCATGAAATGGAATAAATAATAAGTCGAATAATAATTTACTTCGACAAACAAAGAATGTTGTTATGACATAGCCAAATGTAGCTCAATCGGTTGAACGTTATGGAAGCTTAAACAATGGATTTTTAAAAGTTGAGACTTTAGACTCTGTATTATATTATGACAGAAAGAGCAGTGTACAAAGAATAAAAATATATAGATAAATGTCACATACTACATAGTCACAGGTCCTTAGGATTTCTTTTTATATAAATTTTTATATTTATATTTACTTTGCAAACAAAACAGAATACTATCTATATACTACTTAACGTTAGGGTTTTATAAATTACGATTAGGGTTGATCGTTACTCTATATTAATAATTGGTTGCCATTTATGCTCTTTTATCGTGAAACAAGTGTTAACAATTTAATAAAAATGTTTTTCAAGATAGGTTTAGGTTACAGCGTTGATTAATTTTCACATAGCAACCCAGGAATTTAATACAGCACGATTTTTCCCTATTTTTGTGTTTGAATAAAAAAAAAAGTGACCACAGATTTTTAAAACATATAATATGTATTCCTACTATATCTCTGTTAATAGATCTTCATTCAGACTAAATTTCAGACTTTAAGTCATAAGACTACACATAAAAAAGCTAAATAAAGAAAAAAGCTGAAAGAAAAAGTGGTGGCCTGGCCCAAAAAGCGAGAGGGTGATCTATCTTAGGGCCTCTGATGTTTTGGACATCTTGAGTTCGTTAAATCCATCATTTTCCTTTAACTAATCGATCAGAACTGATATTTTTGTTTAATTAACAGACCAAATTGTATAATTGCACGGACCTACATTTCGCCCCAGTACCCTGTCCTTCCTGAAGGAAAGAGATATTGATATTTTCTCGAGTTTTTACTGTAGTATAGTAGTACATTATTATCTAAAAAGCAGCTCGCAAAAATTTAAAAGTAATTGGACGATTTTTGATAAAGTTAAATTAAAATTAATTTTAAGATGAAAAATGTGTAAATTTTAAGGATGCTTGTCTCGATTTTGAAGGGAAAAGGGTGGACTTTTTAAATTTTTGGCCCAATGAAGTACCTATTAGGTACGATTTCAGATCTATAAACTTGCCACATGAAGTCGGTTTAGCAATATAATTGATATTGTCGCCCAGTCATAAAAATGAAAAGTAAAAACCCATCATAGTAAAAACATTCCCTCCGCATCGAAACTAAAATTTATCAATAAACGTAAATTGTACCGCTATTATACCCGCAGAAAGTTTAATTATCCTTTTATAAAATAATGTAAAAGTAGTAATTCCTTAAGTATCCATTCAATTAAGATTATTTGAATAAATATGAGAATATCTACAAAGATTTTTTAAGGACATAATGGTTACAAATCACTTAATTTGAGCTATAAATTAAACAGTTAGCTTTTATGTATTATAATTTTACTAATTAATATAATTTTAAAATAATGTGATTTATATCGTCATCTAGCTTAACAGACCTTGAAGGCCCGCCGCTGCCATCACTTTCTTGGCAAATTTGCTATCTAGGAGGGAAATGGCCGTCCCTTTTCACTAGAGGAGCGCCCAAGTCCAAGTGTCAAATCGGATACAGTGAGGGTTAAAACACAGACGCCTTACCCACACGGCTACTTGCCCTCCTTAATGATTACGTATAAATATTATGATATTATATACATTATTATAGATTAAGTTTGGTATTGTATATTGATGGACATACATTTAGCGTTCTTATCTATTGTGTCCTTAATATATGATATTATCTATAATATTACTATATTGATAAATATGAGTTAATAACGAATTTTGTTAATTGCAAATCGGAAATTTTTCTAAATTTAAATATAACCCTTTAAGTTTAACTAACGTGTTTATCCTATATAAGAAGGGGGGTTCACAGTTTAAAATCTGTGTAATCATATAATGATAATATATTATTATAGCATAGTATACATACATGATATTATTACATTATACATGAAGAGTAAAAGTGTCAAACGTTCCAAGTGCCAAAGTATAAAAATTGTACTTTATAATTTGATTTGTATTTTATTTATTACCGGAAACAATTTTGTAAATTTTTCAAGTAAACAATAGTTATTTATAAAAAAAAAACAAGCATATTTTAAACTCAAAAATATGTTAAAGTGTTTCCGGTAATGAATAAAATACAAATCAAATTATAAAGTTAAATTTTTATACTTTGGCACTTGGAACGTTTGACACTTTCACTCTTCACATATTGCCACATTTGCTAACATCCTATTTCAATTAATATTGTTATTAGTTATGGTTTACGAAACATTCATCACGTTGTCGGCAGTAGTCTAACGGCTAGCAGTTTCAACTTTCAATGGTCAGTGTAGATAAATATAAGATGTTCAAAGTTATGATGTGAGTTAGAAGAACCAAGTTAAACTGCATAAATAAAGTGTTTATAAAAATGTCAGTAAATTTTATACTCGATAGATTGTTATTAATGAAGTCTGAAGTAAAAGTAAATCGATTTTAGTTATAAAAATAAAGTCACGAAAAAACTTTGGACGGAGGATACAAAAAAGAAATACTAGCCAAAATGTCGGGCAGATCGCAAAGTCCATTGGCCATCTTGAAAAATCGACAAGGACTGGCTAAGGTAGTCAAGGAAGACATTTTGCAGAAACCCGGGGCGTTTCTCTTTTTTACCTCCGTGTCTATACAATAATTCTAAATATACGTTCCACGTGTTATTTTCATAGCGTACAATTAACATCCTACTTTAGTGCCTCCCAAAAATGTATAAAACCCATTTATTCTGTACTTGACTGCTGGTTCCTCCTGTTCTGCTCATCAGCGAATTTGCTATGCCAGAAATCATCGACTGAGCGTCTAAGCCCCGCGTTTGTGCCGGCGCTTGTTCATTCAGTTTCTGTTGTTGCTGCTGCTCCTGCTGTCCTTGGTCAATCACATGTCCATATGCCAAACGAATAGCCAATAACAGGCACACAGCCGTGATCACGTGTGGTGTTAATGTCTGCATGGTCTGTAAATAAGCCGCGGTTTTAAATATTTTTTTTATTAAAAAACAAGTGAAGAAATTGTAGATATTTGTTAAATAGAAGGCACTGGCTAACGGATATATAGCTTGTGAGAGAACACTGGAAACTGCACAGTTTATATGAACGCGCTCGATATAAAAATGGTAAAGCCTACCGATCTGGAGCCAATTTTGAAACGTTACTGCGAATGAAAGTAAAAGTGTCGCATATTGTTTGTGCTTGAACTCCATGTCGCAATTATTATTAAAACAGTATACATAGTTAGGATAGCACTTCTTGCTTTCAACGGACGTACTTAAAGCGGAAATGCATAAGCATAATAAACAATGGTTTAGCCACAATTATAACAATACTCCATACAAGCATTTCAAACTTAGGTAAGTCAGCCGACTTCCTCAAGAAACCAGAGAGATTTCTCCGCATAACAATTGACGTTAATTTATATAAGTCGATAGACAGTGTAAAATTATGTTTGGTATTAAATATTTTTTTTCAAAACTTGTTTCATATTTTACAAAAATGATTAAATTTTTTCTATAGAATTTTGAAAATTGACAATTAAATATGTTCTATAGACAAAATATATTTACTATTTGTTACTATATAAATGATTTTGTCAAAACAATCCCTTATCTAGTAACAAATAGTAAATATATTTTGTTTATTCGCTATCGTGCAAAAAATATTGTAAGAAAATATAAATATATATATATATGTAAAATGCAAATATACATTATACATGTATCGCATTTTTTTTTACTCGGGTTTATTACTAATAGTTTAATGACTTTTCTCTTCAAATAATTTTTTTTTTTTTAATTTGATTAAATAGTATTTATAGTTTCTCATTGTACAAATGTATAAATAAAAATTTAACTGTACTACATACACAACTTCAATATGGTTCGCTGATCTTAGTATCATTAAATACACACAAAATTCAACTGTAGTAATTAGTATTTTTTAATATATTTTTTTAAAAATTGTATTTCCTTGTTGTGGTCAATTTGTTTTAGTGTTAACAACTTCATAGACAATATACATTTTTTTTAATCGCAGCGTTATCTAAATTCTATAAAATTCTTTACATTTAATATTTTCTTTTTAAATGTCTAAAAACAATTAAGTGACTACACAGGATACAATAGAATACAGAGTTAATATTATATGTAATGGCAAACACCAAGTTAAATTACTTATAATAAATTAATTATTTCTTGCTTTTTAACGCTCATCTATACATCAATGCGCGCATCAATCGCGATACATAGTATAAATAGTATAAAAGTTAACCATCTTTTTTATGATCTTTAATGTGAGTTGTATTGCCTAATATTGCATTCTCACGGCACTAATACTATACATTTTTTTTATATTATGTTAAAATAATACTTTACACAAGTAAAACAAGTGTATCTACAATTACAATAACTTTTTTATTACTAATTTGCCTATATACGAGCTTTAAGGCGATCTTAACTAAATAACAAACAGGTTTATCATAATATTTGATGGAATATTTTGATGAATTTTTTTAATCATTTCAATTTAATAATTAAAAATATTTATTGGTGTTCTAGTATTAATAATTACTAATAACTAATAACCAATTTATTAAAATAAATATTACATTTATTTTATATACTAGGTGTAGAAATATTTTTTACTTGATGAGTAAAATAAATATGAAAAGTTAAATATAAACTTGTATTTTTGATTCATAAGTATAAGACTGCATAATAAACTTTAACTATTAAACCAGACATAACCATTAAAAACACAGTGTTCATTAAACTTTCATAACTTTTTACCGTCCATTTCTTATGATGTTAGGTGAGTTGATATTGTATGCAATTGGTATTGGGGTAGATAGAATGTAAAAAACCTTCTTTACTTCTTGATATTATTAAATGTTATAATTTTAGATTTCGATGTACCTATAGATAATTCATGATTTTATTCACAAGAAGTTTATTTAAAATCACCTTAGAAAATTTCATGAGGAGTACTTCAACCCTTGATTCGTAAAATTAGTTTTATCTAAAATTATAATTAGATAACTTTTCACAATAATAATTTTTTTTCCTTTTTTAAAAAACAAAATTTTTTTAACCGTTTCTCAGGTTAAACCCAATATTTGCATATGTTCTGCATACAGAAGAAAATTCACAACTTTATTCAAGTAAGCAGTCCACCATGCGTGATGTCAAGAGACATAGCATAATAATCAATGTTTGTATACATAGTAAATAATAGTAATAACGGTTGTTATATAGTAATTATACGCAATATTGTATTATATTAGTATTGTATAAATTAAATGATAAATATAATATTAATAAACACGAAATAATCAGCAAATTAAATATATTAAATATTAATGTCACAGGAATAAAAAAATATAAATATAATAAAAATACATAATTTTAAAAAGTGTAATACATACACTTTTTGTTAAAATCAAATTGTATTTAAATTAGTGATGGGAATCCGAAAATTCAGATTTTTCAAAAAAACGCTTTTTAAGTCATTTGAAAATCATATAATTATTAAATACTATTACAATATAAATATGTGTACCTAAGTAAAATTTGTTGATAAAAATTTTTTAAAAAAACTCTTAACTTTGTCTATAAAATGCTTTCGGATTTCGGATTCCGGATTTTCGGATTTCAACAAATCCGAAATTCAAAAGCAGTTTATCTCTTTGGTGTTTTGTTTTATTTTCACATATTTATCAAAAAAAATGTTACTTAGATATAGAGCTTTATATTGTAAAATTATTTAACACTTATATGATTTTTAAGTAGCTTAAATAGCGTTTTTTTGTGAAAATCCGGATTTTCCGATTCCCATCACTAATTTATATACTATTCATAGATTTTCATCAAAGCGTATTAATATCGACATCCAACCATTGTCCTTTTTGACTTCATGTGTTTATATTTTAAGAACGATTTTAATATCATAATTATTTAGCGTGCAAGCATAATGTATTAGAATATATCCCCGTAACTTTGAAGTATAGTTATTATATTTACAATTAAATAACCTTAAAATATTTTGACAATAGTATTAAATAAAGAAAAGATGGACATTTAAACATTACAATAGTTAATTCGTTTTCGTTTACCTGCATAGACAATACAGATTACATAAGGCAAAAAGAAAGTATCAACATTGTCATACTACGGTTGTGCACTTACTAATATCATACACAAACGTAATTGCACATTCTTCCATTTCTTGATTACAAACAATGAAAAAGTTTTTAATAAAGGTATTCAGTTTCCTTGTAACTGGGTTCATTCTAATGTGCACGAGAATTATGTGAAGAGGTATAACTTCTAAGATTATTTTAATATGGAAAAAGTAAGTGAAATATGAACTTACAAAATAGTATAAATGTAATAACTTAAATGATAATAGGTATTTAATTATTTATTTAATCATTTATTTTTATAGGCAGCATTTTTATTGTTTATGCTCATTAGCAATTCATTTCAAAGACCGCAACTGGATGTTAATGTATCAACAACAGTTGAACCAGTAGAGACCACCGAAGATAATACTGAAAAAGTGCTTCAAGTCACTGAAGCTACAGCAGTTTCTGTAAAGAGTACTATTAATGTTTCATCCGTTCGCCCTATTGAAGTCTTCGAAGACTTTCAGCCAAGCAACTACTACAGACCAGATGGTAACCCTATTTTTGAAAAGCCAAGTCCACCAGTCAGGCAAGAAATTTTCTACAAACCCAGCTACTTTAATATACCTCCTAGTCATTTAATTTACCAATTACCTAAAAGGCCTGATACTGGCGTAGTGTTTCCACAAGCTACACAGGAACATTATTCAGAACATCAGTATAACAAGTCACAACCACCAGAGTTCAGAAGTCCGATGAAATATGGTGAAGTCTTACCACAATTTAAACCAATAAAACACGACAGCGGAGAAATTACACCCAATTTCAATAATGACTTTAATGACAAAAATGTAAGAAATTATCATGGTAATGAAATGGCACATTATCCCGATATTGTGCATGAACCACCAATGTCATACCACCACTCTCTAGCAAAAAAAAAGTAAGCGCTTTATTCATAAGAATAACTATTTATTGTATAATTGAAAATTCCATCACAGTTATTATCACAATTTTAGAGTGGATCCATGGAAAAGCGTTCTAAAAGTAATGGCTTCTCTTCTGCCAATCGGTATACTTTTTGCATCTTTTCCGCCTACAGTGATCCGAGTTAATTCTACGCAAAATCCATATCAGTAAGTACATAGTAGACTACCTTTAAATTTAAAAAAATATTAAATTATAAAAAATAGAAAATGTGTACAGTAAAGAACGGAAAAAATATATAATTTACACATAATACAGAATGTAATATTTCTGTAGCATAGCTTGACAATGTACTAGCGTAACTGGCGTGATTGGGATGCTGTTTCCCATTAGGCCGTGTTAGTCACAGTTGCGTTAGACCCCTGTAACAGCTTCACGCCGCGGCTTTAGGACATGTATAGAAGGAATAGTATAAACATTTTATGCATGTTGTGCTGCTAATACATTTTTAACAATTCTATGGTCTGCGAATATGAGAATATATATATTTAAAGAAAACCAACGGGGTACAGTGGGGTGAGGTACAAACATAGGTACATAAGTTACAGATCATACTATGGTAGCGCAAATGTATTATGTTTTTAAAACAAATAAATGTGCTTAAACTGACTCACATGTACTTTATTTATGTTTGGAATTATTTTGGTTCTTTTGTGCAATCAGTATTTATTTATATAGTATACTTTTTAGCTAGCAAATCGTAACTGTGCAAGATGCCATAACTAATTACTGACGCACAGTCAGCAGTCCGGTAAATAGGTAGTAATTAAATTATTTGAATTTAATTGATTTTCAAAAGTCAGACTTTAAAATGTTGTATCTTAAATAATTCAATTTCATATTAATAATAATTTATTAAACAATTACGAAAGCTCTTAAGTTTTTAGAACGTCCTTAACATTCACAAAACGTTACATAAATAATGATTAACCGCGCATGTTGTTTGTTGATTAAGTAATTATTATAACTGATAATATTAATATATTAAGTAATTGTTGTACAAACAACAAATAACACAATTTTTAAAAATATTCTTCGTCTTCATTTAGTCTTTTGATTAGCATAAAACAAGTGTAATACATCATTTAATTTATCCTAGTAAATTTATTTGTTTATTTCCCTCGAACCAATTGTTTTATATTTTAATTGGTAAACCAAAATTATTTAAACCTATAATTAAAGACTATAGACCCATGAGTAAATTACGATATGTGAGTGGTCGTATAATAAGCCTAACTACGAGTAATAATTTAGGAAGTTTACTTTTATGTAAGCCGGTATATTGTAAAGTGAAAGTATAAGTCTCATTTCGAAGAGACGACTAATGATAGCCAGAAAGTCCTCAATGTTATTGGTGTTTTATAAAAAAAAACATTTATTTCCAAAAGGTCTCACTGTTAGTTTATACTGATTTCGCACCTCACTGATTAGTTCTGTTATTTTCGCATCATTGCTTATTCATACGAAGACAAAAGGCTACCTAGAGTTTTCTCTTTTCCGGAGGATATCGAGTGCTAGAATTTCTAGGTCTAGTAATTTTAACAGATGTCCCATATCCGTTTATAAAAACTTCAAAAATAATTTGAATCTATGTGTTAAGGGCCTTGACAAGATTAAAAAGTTATTACACTCTCTATTTATATAAAGCTTTATATTTGTATATAATTTATAATTACACACATTTTATAGTGCTCAAAAATGTAATAATTGAAAACTAACACCAACACAATCTTTGATTAGTGTTGACCGCCACTCACCTACTCAAAACAATATACTAGCTTCAGATTTATATAATAATAAAATACATTAGAAATATACGGTAATTTATTAATTTTTTATTTTAATCACTTATTTGTTTTAATGCCGTTGGTATATTATTTATTTGAAACAACTCTCTTTTATCAAAATTGTTTACATTAGTTTATATTATATTTCGTAAAATATTCAAAATAAGTATAGCTCATATATATATATATATGACTGTTTTTTTGTTTGCAAATCCAGCCAATATTAGCTTCAGAAAGCTGCGCATAATAAACGTTTTTCTCTATCGACAGCTCAGACCTGCGTCCTGTAAATCAGAACATATTACTTCTTATTAGTTTAATTTGCATTTCATGTATAATAATTTCACTGTAAACTGTTTGTAGTTTAAAAAATCGTCTAAATAAAAAAAAAATTTTAATCCCACATTATAATAATCTTAATCGCAATTCACTGTAAAAATTGAGTTTCAGTCTAGAATAATTTGTCTTATTAACCTTTAAATTATGTTTGATCAACAACGGTTTTCTTATATTGATTAATTATAAATGTTAATTTACCAACACCTGATTAGTTGTGGCTAATTAAAGTTAATTTTAAATAATCAAGTAATTTTCCTTAATTAAATGTGCATTAATATATTCTTATATGCGTAGTTCAATATATATTTGTACTGTTTCTATAGGATTTGAAATACATTTTATAACATTGTGTTTAAGTACAATTAATTAAAAATAACTATTCATTTTTTTTATTTTTTAATAGAGTCCCGAAAAATGTCTCCCATTATCCAAGTACTTACAATAGTATATATAAGGCACTAAAAAAGAAAGCTGTAGGAAGAAATGTTGAAAATGCAGAAGATAAGTTTTCGGATGATTTAGACGAATGTTCAAAACGAAAATTATGTGAAAACTTGAAGCTAAACTACTCAATCACTGAACTTGAATCGTTATTACAAGAAATTAAGTACAAGTAAGTCCTAACCTAAGCTGTAAACTGTATGCTTTCAAAGTACAGTATTTAACATTAATCTCTCAAAATATTTTATTTCAGTTCAACTGAACCATTTACTACTTCAATGACAAATATCATAAAATTAGCTACGCATATATCTATAGACAGCTGTCAAGAATATATTTGTAACATTTAAACAACAAGAATGATGGTAATAATTAAGTAGGGAGTAACTTTAATACTACTATAGAATTCCATAGTTTTGTGGGTATACTGTTCAAAAAATATCATGCATGCGCGGAATGTCATGTTTAATGGCTATGTCGGAAGTTGTTTTAGCTCTAGGCAAACTTTCGTACCGCGGTAGTCATAAATTGAAAATTACTCAAATTTAAATCTTATAGATATAGTATGAATTTCTACCAAGAATGTGATTGATGACACATTTTTTAAATTACCACTTTCTTAACAGTAATAGTTCTAAAAAGTAAAATGTATACTTTTATGTTTAATCGCAGATTAGCCACTTACTTCGATATAATATGTATTATGAATAATGTATACATATTATGCATTTTGTTTATATTTATCTAACTCTATGTAAAACTATTGAATTCCGAACTAAAATTAAATAACATAATATTGAGATTAAGAGTTGTAGTAAATATCACAAATAGTATAATTTACTAGATACTAATTTCTGGGTGTTCCATTTGAAGTAAGACACTCAACATCACTTAAAATAGTTCCATGTTGAAGTTTTTTATTTTTATTAAATGTTATATATTTATTTTACAATTTTATAAAATTACTAAATATATAGGTGTTTAGTTTTTTCCAGAGCTCTATCAAGTTTTGAAACATAAATGGTAACATATATATTTAATTAACTTTATTTAAATTAAGAATAATTTTCTAAACAGTTTTGAATAATTACTTTTAAAGTTAAAAATGTAGGACAAGAGGTGGAGTGTGGTTGAGTTATAAGCACAGATAAATCTAATACTATTTCCCACTATTCCTTCCGTCCTATATTTTAAACCTAAATCAAGTTTGTTCAAAACAAGATACCGATCAGTCAACATTTTTAGTAAATTATTCTTAATTTAAAAGTTAATCAAATATATAAGTTACCATTTTATAAAATTTATATTGCATATATTATAAAACTTAATTATAATAACAATAACAAGGTATTTTTTTAAACATAAGTTTGTTTAAAATGTTAGGTTGCACTAACTTTATTGGTTCCATAAACTGTTTATAGACTATCGTGATAGGTGCAAACGAGGTTTATGGAACGTTTAGTACTTAATTTTAATGGATTCATTAAACAAAATTACATAGCATTTCGACTTTTTAAGCTAATAAGTATGATAATAAAATACTACAATGTTAAAGTATGTTAATAATACTAAAAATCTGTTTAAAAACCATAAATTTAATGAAAACCCTAGTTGGATAAATATTAAGTATTTACAACTATTATTATATTTACTAATTTATTTATTGTTATTATAATTTTATTTAAGTGTTGTAATTTTTAAAATTGTATTTTTTTAACTGTTTAGTACATCTCTTTTTAAATTTAGTTTAAATATATTATTTGTATTTAAGGACTACGTCTTTGATTTCTCATTTCTCATAACGATTTTGGTTTTTTATTTTTTTATTTTATAATTATTATAAGTTAGATTATCAGAAAAATTTAATTATAAAAATATAATATGTTGTATGAGAAAATACTACGAATTGCTTCCTTTTCTTATCGTAACTTTTAGGGTCACGATCTACTAGTTATAATAAGCTTATAATAATATAATCGTTAGATCTATTACCTTAAAATATAACACCAATACTTAAGTACACTAATATAGGTCAATGTTAAAAAAAAGGTTAGATTACCAAATGTTAAATATATTAACGAAGAATATGATTTTCCCTCTAAAATTTCATCTTTCCATTTTATAAAAAGGCTTTTACACGAAAACTACCATTGACTAGTAAAACGCATTTACGTTTACATTTCAAAAACATTTGGATTATTTCATCGAATATTGATCGAAAAATGAACATTCCTCTTCACTTAACTAATAAATAAACGTTTTTCTCCTGACGGCAATTCTGATATGTTAGAGAAGAATAAATCTGATTGCATAAAAGTAATGGAATGCACGTCACTTCATTATGAAGAGCGCTCCCCCGTTGTCATGTATTCTGTGATAAAATTATGTATACTACAGTACGGTATAATGTTATCTAAATTAATAACTATATAATAATAATAAATATGAGGAAGATGAAGTATACTTAAAAGAATATAGACGTAGGAAATAAAATGAGTTTAAAAGACAAGTGAGAAATATGTGTGTAAATCAAAGTTGATTTACAAAGTACGAGTAAATTTACTCGTACCTCCAAAACAATTATTATATTAAACTTTGTCTAACTAATGACCCGAATTGCCGAGATAAAAAAAACAATAATATAGACAATCATTTTTTTGAAAATTTTGAATTATATCGTCATGTATACATATATAATTGGTGTATGTACATTCTCTTTATATACATTTAAAATAAGATTACATTTTTTTAATGAAAAAGACCACTAAAACTTAAATGTTAACTAGTTATTATTATAAAGTATAATTCTATAATTAAACATATGATATGCTTGAACTCAAGTTCTTGCTTTCACAATTTTAATTGCCTGTATATATAAGTCTATGGCGTTAAGGTTTATAAAATATTTGTTATGTTGGTTTCATCTTCATTTTCACTTTTTTTTACTATCCGGGACAAAATTATAATATTTTGATGATGTCTGATGATAATAAAAATAAAATACATTTTTAAAAATCAAACATTTAAAAGAATATACATCAATATAACAATATAATTATTATACCAGCTAGTTCATATCATGAACATTTCATTCACAAATAATGTTACTGGTCAACAGCAATGGGAAGATCCCAAAAGTACCTACACAATAATGTGCACTTACACATACGTTACAAAATATATATGTGAGTCAAGTCTAGAGAGCAGGGGAAATTAGTTAATGAGTGAAAGAAAGCATCGGTGCGTACAGACGAGACTACTACGACATTAGGTTTAGTCTTGTGTAGTTTGTTACAAGTCTAAGATCTTGGTCCGGTACGACCGCCAATAGAAAGTGAAATGTAAATATTTTTACTTTTTTTTGTTCTAACATAACAATCTGATAAGACTGAACAGAAATACGATTTTTAACCAAAAAATAAAATATATATATATAGCAGTGTAACTCTGTGGATATATCAGACAACTCGTTACAGTAAGTTAAAAAATTACCTATATATTAATGAAAAATGAACATTAAAATGTATTATTCTATAAGAGTATTTTTTTTTTTTCAATTACATTGCCTGTATTATTTTGATTTTTATGAACCTCTGTACAACGATATTCCATTGCCGCCACTTTCCACTTATTAACCATCGTAGCTATATAGTATTTTTTCTGATAATGCAACAATTAAATCAAGACTAAAATGTCGACTTTCAACCCCCCTCCAACAAGTACGGCCTTAAATTAAATATCTTTATTTAATATTATCTAATCGGGTCCCAATTTATTGGACACCCTGTATGCATTTTATTATACATGTTTTTACGCACTAAAATATACTAATTTTTAAAAATAAAACTAACAATTAAATTAATGCTTGATACACATTACTGTAAGTAAAATAAATATGAAAATTTTATATCAACCCATGAAAACTTTAATACTGTTAAGGAATAAATATTTCTACGTCACAAAATATGAGGGTTCTCCCCAAAATAATGTCTTCATCTAAATTAATACCATTTTTTGGGTTTCGCTAATCGATGCTCCTTACAAAAACTAGCACGTTTAAAATTATCAACTAAAAATTACACATCAGCTTGGATTAACACAGGGCTGAAATTTTGTTTTTCTTTCAGTACATTAAACGTGCTAGTTTTCGGAATGAGCGTCGGTATGTAGAATAGGTAATACCGGTTTGGACCCTTAATTCAAAACGCTATTGCTGCAGTTAGGTATCCTTATAGTGTACCTATATAAATCAGGCAAACTGAAAACCAGTTTGAAAAAGGTTTCCTCAGATATCTGGGACAAACGTAGGAAATATAATGGATTTAATGATGGTTTTTATCAATCTTTTAAAAATCGTTTTTGAACAGAATATAAAAATATTGATAAAAAATAATTTGACGTTATACGAAAAATTCATAAAGTCTTGGTCACCGTGTCTAGTAATATAATATTACAATATAATATTTAGGGGGTGAAAGCTGGCGGTTCTTAAACAGTTTTAATACAGACAATATTTACCAAAAAAAAAAATGTATTTTATACATTTCGACAGAATAAATGATCATCTTTCGACCATAACAATTTATTTTCAGGTTAATATTTATTAGATTTAGGGTATTAGTTTGATAGTATTATAGGGTTTTTCTATGATATAGACAATTTGGTGATACAATAAACTAATGTAGACCTAATAGCCTGACAAAATTACGCCTACTTAGAATGGTCGGATTTTAATTCTGGAATAAATATTTAAGCTCATCTTGGCAGATTTTTCTAGGAAGTTGATGTTTTATTAACTGTTTCATTTTTTTAAAAAAGACAAGGGTAGTTAAGTAAATCCGAAAAGTTTGAGAAACTTGATAAATCATTCATACCTAGAAAAGATGCCGAAAACTCAAATATTTCTACAGAATTGAAATCATACCACCCCATATAGTCCTAATTTTGTCAGAATTTTGGGTCAAAAACGTCCAAAAAACAGACCGCTTTTGATCCCTTTAAGTTAAAGTTTTTTTTTTTAAATCCATAATCCATTTTTTAAAATCAAGTATTGAAATCGTTACTTATATAGTTGCAAGTTCTATTTATATACATGATAATTTTTACTTCATTCACTAACGGACATTATATATATATATATATATATATATATTAACGGATCATTAGATACAATATCTGTAAGTAGTAAAACGTTACGTTTCTAGTACCATAAACCAATTAAATAACCATAATATAAAACTTTAAAACCAATAAATTATATAGTTTGTTTGCAGTCTTTAAATATTCCCGTTAGAAAAATGATGCAAGTAAAAACGTGATTGGGTTGTAGGGAAGCAATTTTATGGATTAGTCATGTTTTTTATGCCACCTTTACGTTTTTATTTCAATTACCGCAAGAACATTCATGACATTGGTAGGTATATATGCATCCGGTAAAACAAGTGAAAGTGTGAGAAACGCATAGTTACACCTATCTCATACACACCGTCGTTTGATACATATCAACTGCTTTTACATTCAAAGGTACATTACTCAAAAAGCATTAAAAATTATTATTATTATTATTATTTTCTAATAATTACTATCCTTTCCAAATTTACGAATTTATTAACTAACTTCATAACCAAACACATTCGTAAACGGGTAAAACACAGAGCATCGCGTTTCACCGTTGGGACCTGTCTAGAATAAACGTTACAGAAGGGAAAGTTAACTTCAATCCTAAGGTCAATGGCACTCTTAACGTTTGAATGTAATGAAATAATCATATAGCGTGCTTTATTTATTTTCTAAAGGTACTATACAAAAATACTGTAAAATGATTAACCATAGCTGTTAGTGTTTATGCATAAATTAAATTTTATAATTTAGATAATAAGTTATCAAAGAACTTACAGACTGGAAAACAATAACCATATATGTGTACATGTATAAAATTTATCTTTATTGGATAATTTTCTAGTGATAAAATATTTAAAACTGTATAATAAAACGAGGACAAACACATTAAATATAATTTACTACACACGCTTCTACATGTTTTAAGCTCCTGAATAATTAAAATGTGCCAAGTTAAAAATGTAAAACAATGTTTATTGAATAAATGTAACATATGTGGCACTTGTCCCTATGTTTATGTATATATTTATATATAGTAGGTATGACCTAAATTATGATACTCGTAACATGAAATCATCTATAGTAGGTGAACTGTGCTTAAAAATATGTTTCAGTAGAAACTAGTTAAATCAATCATTAGTTAACTGACATTACATTGATAAAGCTGTATGACTATTTGTTTCCAGATGTGGATAATACATATACTACTGCTAGTTTTACCTCTTCTGGTATACTCTGAACCAGAAAATAATGTTCAAATGACCAGAACTTCTATCAAAGTGGCTAGAAACCTCGACCCAAGTGCTATGGAAACTTTGGAAGTTAAGACCCGAACCGGTGATATTGCGACTATTGTAGTGAAAAAACGTGACGGCAGACAACACTTCTCCAGACCCATGGCGAAATCAGATTTTAATGTGACAGCGTCTAGTGGTGAGGCAACGTTTAGGGTACCAGATCCAGTGATCATACGGTCAGAATCTGTTTTTGTAAAAAATCAAAAAGACCAAGAAGAAAAAAAATCTAGAAGTTTATTTCACGTCGACTCTGACGGTATACCAGTTATTACCGGTGTTCGAGAGCCAGACGATGAAAACGACTCCCAGGTTTGGAGAAACGCGAGAGTTATCAATGGTATTTTAGTACCAAATACCAACAAAACTGACCATCATGTGATGAAAGAAGAATACAAACCTGTTGCTCCCATGTTCAACGGAGTTTGGCAGGTCGCTAAAAAAAAACCGGAATCGGATAAAGAACAACCTAACTCGAACAATGACCAGACATATTTTTCTCCTCAGGATGCGGTTCAAAACGAAAAGTATATGACAGATAAGATTTTGGGTTTTATAAAAAACATCAATGGAAATATTTTAAGCGACGATCAACGACGATCCGCAAGGATGGTAGAACCTCAAATTGAAGCTCGCGTTCTACACGCTCCAAGTGTTAGTGTATTTCCGAATTCCGCTATGTACTCGCCGCCTAAAAAAGTTTCAAGAGTGTCGTTTGAAGAAAGTGCAAGAACACCCGTGTTGCAGTACGCCCATCCAGAACTAGGAGTACAAGCTGCCAAATATGAGCCGTCCGTAGAAGAAACACCGAGGGACGGGAGAAGGCAACAAGCTTTAGCGTACTTTTCTCACGATATTCATGCAGATCGGAGTCCTTTTGCATTCGAACCTGGCTTAGAAAAAGAATCGAGGGTCAAAGTTCCTAAAAAATATACACCGCATTATAACTTCCCTGATAAACACGGAAAATATGGTTCAAATTACTATATGAACGACGATGGATCTTTTTGGAATTTGATGAAAGATAAAATGAAATCCAGTTTTAATACAGTCACTGATCTAACGAGACCAGTTGTGGATCCACTCGTGGAAGCAACACACAAAATTACTGGAAATTTGGGTTTTGGTAATGGAAATCGAGAACTTACCAATGTTGTTAAAGAAAAACTAGGTATGGTCGCATCGCCATCTGTATTACTACCAGCGTTAGGCCTAGTAGCTGGAGGAGCCGCTTTGGGACTAGGAGCAGTAGCTGTTGGAAGGTAAATATATTTATAACTTAAATCATAATTCATTAAATATAAATGTACAGTGTGGTATACTTTACTAAAGTGATTCCCCTTATGTTAAATATTAGTATTTAGTAAAGATGATTCATGTTATATTTTATATTTCTAAATTAATTAATAAAGTGACTAGAGAAGGAAATATGATAAGTTGATTTTTTTAATGTTAATAAATATATTATTATAATAATATATTAACAAAAATCACGTTAAAAAAAATGACACTTTGCTGATTTTTTTAGTTTTTGCTCAATAAGGTAAAATTATCTATCAATTAAAAGTAATCACCTATTTAATTAAGTTTGTTTCAACATTAAAACTGAACAAAAAATATTCTTAACTATAGTATAATGTACTGCATCCTGTGTAAAAATGTTTAAAAAATGTATAGACCACACGCTTAAACGTTCTCCATACATAACGTAACGGATTTACTCAATTTGTTAACAGATCATGTACCTTATACATAACAATATTTTTATAACATAACGCAATCATTATTATGAATAAACACATAGTAGGTAGTGTTTCTTTTTAGTAATTTCCCTATAAGACATTTTATAATATACACATAACCGATGGAAATATTGACGAGATGACGGAAAAACGTAAAAGAAAAAGTACAAAAAACAGAGGATTTCACTTTTTCCAGTTAATCAATTGAATACAAATATGTATGATTCCTTGGAGCTGGACAGTGGTAGAGAAATCGTTAAAAATACGTCAACAGCACCAATAACAGAAGACATGACTGAACATTTTGGTTAAACGAAATATTAAATAACAAATAACATGCAGAGCATGACATTGAAATTGAAACGAAAACACGGCGACGATTAACAAGTCTGGATACGTTTCACTTTCCACCTGTTAGCCGGACCCATCGTACGCTTACAGACTACTGTTACACTGCATACCGTTACTTATTATTTATTTTGCTTTCTATCTTCCCATTATTATTATCAATCATACAAAGGTTGTTATAGCGAAATTAGAAATAATATAGACTGATTTTGTACAGTTCCATATTCTACTTGAACAAAAATTTAAATATCGAACCGAAACTTCTTTAGGTATAAAAAAAATATATATTTAATGTTTTTTTTTCTTCTTTTTGCAAAGCTCTATGAGTTAACATTCTGCAAATTACTAACAATATTATATTATATTTTGTATACAATTTCAGGTAATAGAGTGTAAATTATTAAAGGAAATTATTTTTAAAATAGTAGTTTTTAGTTTATTACTTATTTATGTTATTAAATTCATTAATAATACAAATTATCTTTATTCTTAATAGAAATACCTGTTTTATTTAAACAAATTAATAATACTAACAATGCTAGTCTTAAAAAACTTCGACAACTCTGAAAACAACTTAATATCAAACAAAAATTAATGATACCATTTAAAGTTATAATTTAATCGATTCATTGATTTAAAAACCAAAACGGCGACGTTAGAATCCAAATGAAATTAAATTTCGTCAACTTAATAGTCATAGTAATTTAGTTAATAATAATTGCAACTTGTGGTGTAAAATAACTAGTAAATGTTCTCTATAGTGTATAATATTGATTTACATTAATATATATATATCGCTTTTATAGGTACTTGGATTACGATGTCGTTAGAATGAGAAACAACGATGACTATATTGAACTGCAACGAGCATTGAATAATGGAAAATTCCAACCATTTGTAGTCGAACCTGAAACTTCAGAAAACAAAAATACCGAAACAGCAAAGAGAACTCGAAGATCATTACCAATCGCAACACCAAAAATCCATATGAATCGTAAATTAAGAAAAGTTAAATTAAATCGTAAAAAACTTTTAAAATCCTAATAGTACCTAAATGTAATAAAACACCTATTTGCTTATAAGTTATAACAATTTAACTAAAGGTAATAATTACACTTAATCTGTTCTATGGTCATAAATAATGATTAAGAATATGTTAAATTAATTTAAGTAACTTATTTATTAGTTTGATAGTAGTATGATGTAATAAAAATATGTAATGCAGACATGCTTTACGACTATATAGTTAATGCGTATTTGTTTTGAAACTGACCACTTTTTATTTTTTACACTATAAATCGAATTATAGGGTTTTTGTTTGTTTTTATATAACGATCATTAAATCTGTATAATAATTTGACGACAAATTAATAATTCTCCAGGAATATTTTTAATTAGGCAATAATCGATAGATATTCAGCAGAGGTAAATAACATTTAAATCTCAATAAAATTATTTATTCTGAGTGTACTTAACAAGGTGAAAATCCCATTTATATTTCTAGGGTGAAGCAATTGCATAATACTATATAATAATAAATTATGTTCTATTAGGTAGTATACATTGTATAATGATTCGTCATAAACTGAAATCTATTTATTTTTTAGACAATTGGCTCTAAACAATATAGGTTCTACACTTCTACATCATAACAGTTTATGTTCTGTTCTCATGAATTGTGAGTCTATTATAGAGATAGTACAAGTACAAATTTTATGTAACGTGCCTAATGTCTTTTAAAATCATAATAATAATAATAATAATTGACAATTATATTCCTTAGTCATTACTCATTAGCTTCTAACTGGCTTAGCTTTGTCCTGGTTAATAAATACATTATACAATTGCAATTTGAACACAACTCTTATCAGTTATTTAGGGATAATCAAAATGAGCTATATATCGATATGAGCTTGAGTTTCATCAACGCCCCCCCCCCAAATCTATTCATATCCCTAATTAAGCACTGTATCTCTGAAAAACAACTATATTTTATACGTAACTTTTCATAACCAACTTAAATTATTTTAATTATTAAGAGTCTATGAACAGTATCATATTTAGGGAAGTATGTTGGAAGGCTGGCCTTTCTAGGGGCAGATCTAAGAATGGAAAGGGGGCTAAAAAAAAAATTAATTTTAAGTACATTATATTATAAACAAATAGTCATAGAGGAGTTTACATATCAAAAAAATACATTTCTAAACTATATTTTATTATAAATAAAACAAACACAAAAATATACTTTTAATGCATAGGTACAATTTAAATACATAAGGGAGAGGCTACAGACCCCATAGCCCCCTCTTTGTATCCGCCCCTATACACTTCCAATCAGCAATCACTGATAGCCGATTTCAGTGACCGTAATTGCGCGAGTATAAATTGTAGGTAACTAACTCAAATTCAAAATCCAAATTGCTTCTATAGTTCTATTTGTTTGATAATACATTTGCTTAGGTTCGATATGATTAGGTAGCTACAGCTGCTGTGAAGGCTTTGTATCTTACTCTTCCATGAAATCAATAATGATGTCATGAACGGGCGTGTAACATGGTATGTATGGGTAAACATACTATGTGGTAGTCTTTACTATGTATTATATCTATAGTTGTGAGTTCTCAAGATAATCACACATTTACCACAGAATAACCAGAAGGGATACTTTAAGCAAATTACAAGAGTTCTTTTGAGCCACCGAAAAAGGCCGATTGCCATATTGTTTTTGCGGCTGAGAGCCAGAGCCAGACTATAATAGACAATTCCAGGAAAAAGTATAATAAGAATTGTACGTAATCCGCAAAAACAAAATGTCGGACACTTATCAGTCCCAGACTTGGATCCCCTTCTGGTTATTCTGTGTACCTACGTCGCATTGTTATCAATAAACAAATAATACATAGGTAACATTATTGTTATGAGAAAATAGGAATTGATTTGTATTGGTTCATTCTGTTAATTAGTTATTTAGTTTTATAATTAATTGTATTATCTGGTTGTAAAATTTAAACAAATTTGATGTTATTAAACTCAAGCAACACAAACAGAACTTCTTTAAAATTTAATAGTTGTATTCAAGAACGTGTTTGAGGTAAGGATGTGTGTGTGCCACACACATAGCCAAGTATTCAGAATTTTTTATATTATATTTCATTTGTTACTGACAACTTATTTATTTAGCAAGGAAATTTGAATTGGCCACAGTTATATTATAAAGCGGAACATACATTAAAAAATGTATGTAATTCACAGTATACTAGATGACCTGGTTTTGCACTAGAACCCCTAAATAGCTACAATACATTCGGTTCCTTCTTTTCTTTTTTATTATTTCATTATTAAAACAATAGGGTACGCTAACCATTTACTTATGTCTTAACAAAAGAAAGACAAATCATCGTAATCAGTTTTATTAGTTTGGTACAATTTTCATTATATTCACGTTTACTTGGCAGAATTTATAACAATATAAATTATCCATCATTATTTTATTGGTAAATTTCAAACTTAAGAAATACCAACTATATTTCTTCTGATTTCTAATATTCATTGCTAAGTTTAATTTCCTTATTAAATATAATATTCAACTATTAATATTAATGTTAAGTCAAAAAATGTATTAATTTCATGTCTAGCATTGGAAGAAAAAAATGTACAAGAAACCTACTAGTCCATTGTACGCTAATGTCTCTGATGTCAAATATCAGAACAGTAAATCACCTGTAAACAATGAACCCACATACTACAACACTATAACCAATAAAGCCACTACTCAGCCATCTCAACATATTTATAGTAATTTAAAAAACCAACAAAGCTCAAGTAATATTTATTCTAATATTACGGAAACCAGCAAGCTGGGCTACAAAAACACTCAATATCCATTGTATGATAATGTGAAGCCATTAGGTTTGGGACTGAATCATTACTAATAAATCAAAAATTATTTTAAACTTTGTTTTATACAACTATTACCATTATAATTTATAGGTAAGGATAACATGCATTGTCCACCATCGCCAGTTAGTTCTAGTTATTCAGAGTTACATAAGGCTGTAAGCTATGAAGATGACACAAAAGATTTTGATAATTCTTCTTCACAAGTATTTATTCATGACATATTAATTAATATTTATTACAACATATTTATTAATGTGTAATTTAGTTAGTAAATAGTTATTTAAGAAAACACTACCGACCCGTGATTTGTAATATGAAAACAAAGTAAAAAATTTAAATGACTGATAGTCTTGATAAAAATTAAATAACTAGTATAGGATACTTATTTATGCATAAAAAAATATAATATATATGTATAAAATAATATATACGAAAGATTGCCTATACTTTACTACTTAATAAATGAGTCGGTAGCGTACTTTTAATATTTATTTACTTAAATACTAGGGTCTGGATATAATGTTCATGGTAAAATTGACATTTTTCTTGCTAACTAAAAAAAAATATTTAAACCTAATTATGTTTTCCAAAATAGACAAAGCTTCAGCAAATTGTTTTCGATTGAGACTAACAAATAAATATCACTTATTATAGAGAGCAATGAATGTAATGGTTTTCTAAGTGCAAATTAATAGTCTAATTCTGAAAAACATATTTACTTTTAGAAAATGTTTTTATTTTTAGTTAGCAAGTAAATTGTTATCTTTGCCCAGACTTCATCCAGAGCCTTGCTTGTGTATTACTTTTAGGCATCAAAAATGTATGAATCGATTTATGAGCCAATTAATACGGTTCGACCACCAAGTGAGTTATCTTCTACATATTCTATGAATAGCTTGTCACAGTCTATTGCCGTCCGAGAACATGAAACCGAAGTTGATTCATTAACTGATCTCCTAGTAAACTCGATGTCTGTAAATGAAGGAAAATCAAATTTAGAAAATAATCAAAGTTCTTTAGACTGTAAGAAGTGTAGGTTTTTTTTAAAAGCTCTAGAATAATTTGCTTATATTCTGTTTTATTTTGTAGGGAACTGCAACAAATGTAATGAAAAAGTTATGGAAGAAGGTCTCGGATGTACTGCAATGGGCAATATTTATCATATAAAATGTTTTACGTGTACACATTGTGGGGATCAGCTTGAGGGAAAACCATTTTATCACATAGACAATAAGCCATACTGTGAAGAAGGTTATTTAGTAAGTAATGATACTAAGGTGTCATTTTATCATAAACTAGTGAGATAGCGCAGACCATGTCTGCGTGGGCTAGTGATTTATTTCTGTTTATCCATGAGTTTTAATTAATATGTTAATTAATGATGGGAATAAACAAATGATAAGTAATCAATATAAAAGATAATAATGATCAAATTAATTTGATTGTTAAACAAAAAATCTATAATAGTAATCATGACTGGCGATGAATCTCATCGCGGTCGTTAATCAGTCGGGAGTCCGAACGACAATACGCACTCGGGCTAAAAGGCGTCCGGCAGTACCAACCGCATTTTAGGATTTTCGTTCCGGTCAAGTTGCCTATTCGAAATTGTATATTTTTTATTATTTTAGTACATAGATTTACTTGAACTACATTTATATTAACTGGGTATAGTTATATCTTATAAATAATATTATGGTTATACATCTAAGCTGAAATTTGAAACTGATAATTTTTTAATTTAAGTATTTTACATCTTCATTATACATAATTGTTTCAACACTATCCTTTGAGCTAAATTGATTAGTAAGCAACAGTTGCCAAAGTAGTTTGAAAAAATTAGGTTTTCATTATTAGGAGTAAACAACCCCATTTTATGTTGATACATATCGCTAATTATCAACTTGGTTGTTATTGGCAATGTTATAATCTATTGTTTATATATTGTTTAAGTGAAACGCCACCATTCATATTAAATTTGTTTTTTCTTAAACTAAAGTTTAGTGCTAAGTAACTGATCTGTCTCCAAAAAAATGTAAGTAGAACATATCCCCCACAATTCAATAATTTGGCTAACAGTATAACCACCAAAAAACAGGTATAATAAGGTTGTCCTTAAAAAGTCCATTTTCGATCTTGACACCCTCTAAAAAGTTTCCAAATATAATAAAAAAAGTAAAAAAAAATTTTTTTTTATATTAATTTTAACTTGCACTCCACAAGAGTTGAAATTTAAATTGGATTTAACATAGGTTATATTTTGAATTAATAATTAATATTTTAGAAGAAATATGATATTAACTTTAACTATTTAAAGTTTAAAATAAAATCCCTAAGACAAACAAATACAAAAATGTGTTTTTACTTTTAAATTTAAAAATTATTTATTTATATAATGCTGTCTTTTTTTTTAGGATACTTTGGAAAAGTGTTCAGTTTGTCAAATTCCAATATTGGACCGCATTCTTCGTGCAACAGGGCGACCATATCATCCACACTGTTTTCGATGCATTGTTTGCTCATCTCTATTAGATGGAATACCTTTCACTATTGATTCTGCCAATCAAATTTATTGTATTGATGATTTCCACAAGTAAGATAAAATCATGCTTTTTTTTTTTATATGCTTAAGGACATTTTTATTTAAACGATTAAAAAATCTTTATAAATATAAATCTAAAGAGTATTAATACATATGCATACATATGCTTATTAACCACTCTAAAATAAATGTATTTTGTGAAATTAAGAATTCTTTAACCTTTCAAATTAAAAAATTATAAAACCGGGCAATAAATTGAACTAAAATTATATTTCTATTAGTTGTACTGCTGTTAGTATTTATGAAATAAATCTGTGATAATAGTTGTAATGTTTTTGTGTAACATGTAATGTATTTTTTCATAGGAAATTTGCTCCAAAATGCAGCGTTTGCCAATTGCCTATTATGCCAGAGGCTGGACAAGATGAAACCGTCCGATTTGTGGCACTTGATCGAAGCTTTCATGTGCAATGCTATAGATGTGAAGTATGAGCAATAATAATATCTAATTTTTTATTTATCAAATTTGTTTTACAACATTAATATTTCATTATTGGTTTTAAGGATTGTGATACATTATTAGGATCTGAATCCGAAGGTCGAGGCTGCTATCCATTAGACGATCATGTATTGTGCAAAAGTTGCAATGCTAAGAGAGTTCAAGCTTTAACATCTATAATGATAACGGAACTCTAATTTCTCACTAGTACCTTACCGATAGTTTTATTAAGCAAAATTCATAACATATTTATATTAAAGTAGACTAGTTTAAAATTTGACCAAGTAATAAAACAGGTTTTATATTTTTTAAATATAATATTTAAAAACGATTTTGAAGAAACTAAAGTAAGACATTTTATGTGGCAAATGGGTTAAACCCAAAATAAAATTGTTAATAACTAAATTGAACTTGTAATATTTTAATAGAATGGCTATGTGGTGTTGACTAAAAGTGTAAAAACATAACTGTTGCTACAGGTTAATCCAAAGTGCTAATTCTAAATTTAAAAAATGTCTTGTGGGTATCTTAAATATATTACTCATTTATAGCCAACATTAACATAAACATGTATTATATTATAACTACTTCTTGTAACATTTATTGTTATATGATTATATAAATTTTGTATATTATTATTAAGCATGGTAATCATGCTCATTCCAAACTAGTCCATTCCAATCGATAATAGTATTATTGTTAACTTTGGTTTTTAAACTTAAAAGCTAAAAATATGCTTCATCTTTATTATTCTATCCAGCTAATTATTATTTATAGTATTATAATCTTTGTATTCTGATTTTGTGCATAGTTTGTTAAGAATAAAGCTCATTATAATTATAAAGTAAAATATTAGAATTAATATATTTACAATAATGGTAATCAATATTATTCAAAAAAAATAATTCAACAACAAACACCTTGTATTCAATTTTAAAGTATAAAATTATATTTAAACTTTGAAATTATAATATTCCATATGAATTGTGAGCAATTAAGATTTTCCAATTTTATACGTTATCATTGTATTCGAGATACTTAAAATATTTTACTATTTACAACATTAATTTTGTATATTTATAATATAATATTTATTAATCACTATCCTATTGATGCATATTAATTGTTATATAGTATTTGCAAAATAATAATACTTGAATGTAAATATTTGAAATTTTGTAATTATAAAATAAAATTTGGTATTCCATAACACTGAATTACTTTAAATTGTTATTTAAGTAACGTTTTTTTACTACTATTATGTTTATATTATTACCTACTCGGTCGTGCAGCCAATAAAAAGTTAACAGCATTAGTCTTCACAATGGACTTTTATACTCTATTTTTCTTAGGCGCAGTTTCGGACTTCAGGTAAAGATCTTAGCCGGAGACGTGCAAAGATATGTAGCTGCATGCACTTATCGCATTAGAAGTCTATGTGAGCCAAAACATTTGTATCCGAGTTCGATGTACTTCTAGTAATAAATGACTGAATTCGGTAGGCCTCCCATAATTTTTTTATTCGTGGCCGACTGTAGACTAGCCTTTAAGGCTATTGCCTATCCATGGTTTAAATATACTATGTTATTGAATATCCCCGCTTTATTATATTATCCATTCACAAAATGGCAGCGTAAGGGAATATCATTGTTTTTTGATAAACATATATTATGGTATCATATATTATATATATATGATACCATTATAAAATAAATTAATTTAATTGGCTGACCTTTACGCAGTCATATTATTTTTATCGTCAAGAATTTCGATGGAGAGGGGTAGAGGTTCAATAACCTAGTATTTAAAAGACCATGGCCTTCCTTAAACATAACGTCTGTGTTAACCTATGGTAAGGGTATACCTATTTAAATTTAATTATTAAATTTACAATTCATCAAAACTACTAAAAATACAAATAAAGGAATTTTTAAAAAATCAGTCAATTTTATTCATTGGTTCACATACTTACAACTATATGGCACAAATATAATACAAAATATAATATCTTTAAGTCGACTTGTACAGTGTATACATTTTAATTACAAAAAAAAAAAAAGTTTGATTTTATTTACACGTTTTTGACAATATCTCGCAATTCTATTAAATAAAATCTATTCACAAATTTTTAAATTAACACTTCTCATTACACAAAATCCTCGGTAGAGGCTAAGACAATAAAACATAATAATAATTAAAGACTAGCACCAATGGAAAATATCCGTAGTTTCGGCGGTCGCGTCAACGTCACACATACTCTTCTGGCGATTTGGTGGACGACCGCGAACCGGCGCCGCTCCTCATCTGCCGGCCACCCGTGTCCGACCGGTCGTTGTCGTCGTACGGTGGCTGCATGGGCCTCATGTTCGGCGACCAGTTGAGCAAATAGTCCCAACCCAAACCCACCGGTATGCTGGACGACTCTGATGGGTTATTTTGATTTCTGTACATTGGCCCGTCATCATCAGACGCTACCAACGTGCTCAACGAGCCGCGAAACGAAGAGTCAAACGTGTCGTATCCGACCACGGCCTGCTGCTGTTGTTGCTGTTGTTGTTGTTGTTGTTGCTGCAACGCGTGGTGCTGTTGATGTTGCTGTTGCTGCTGTTGATCTATTATAGAACCTGGCCGACCCCGAGAGTCTTTGTCCGAATTTGGACTTTTGATTTTGTTGAATATCACGTCGCTGAGCTTTTCGCCGGACACGCTGTTGTTGTCGTATTCGATTTCTGAGCACGTGAAAGAGTCATTGCCGCTTTCGTCTGACGACGTCGTACTGTCCGTGTCGTCATCGTCATCGTCTTCTCGGCCGCCCTGCGGTACGACCATGTTGGGCGGCCGTCCGCTAGAGTTGGACACCGCGTCCACCGTGCTCACAAGACTGGAAGGACGGCGGTCGCCGTGTGACGACAACACCTGTGAACGACTAGGCACGCCGCCACCAGACAGACCGCTTCCACTCAGACTGTGCCCGCTCATCACCGGACTGTTAAGGCTCCGCTCGCTGTTACTATGCATAGGACAGTCTTTGCTCACCACTCCGGACGACGATGTAGCCAGCAGCGCCGTCTGCAAAGGCTTACCGCTAATGTCCTGTAAATAAACAACAAGAAATTATTAATGTCATTACGCTTTTTAACACGCTTATATTAGCTTCACTTGTATGTATGTTTGTATGTAACTATGTAACTAAAAGAGATAGGCAACCGAACGTACATGCGTGTATTCATTGTTGTTTACCTGAAGTTTTCAAGTAATAGAGACACGTATGTACTAGAATTAAAAAACACGATTTTAAAGCACATCGAACTAAAAAGTGGAAAATAAATATAGTTTAAAAAAACTAAAAAACACGCTTAAATAGTAAAATAAACTAAAAAGTAGAAAATAATTTTCAATATAGAAATCAATTAATAAAAAATAAATAGTATTATTGTGAAAAAAGCGTGGGGTGCTACATATATCAGTTCTTGAAAAGCGCCCCACACTTTTTTCACAATAATACTATTTATTTTTTATTAATTGATTTCTATATTGAAAATTATTTTCTACTTTTTAGTTTATTTTACTATTTAAGCGTGTTTTTTAGTTTTTTTAAACTATATTTAATCAGAATACCTAATGCAATATTATATTTTTTTTCCAATTGATACACTACAATTATTGCCATATTTTGTTGTTATTATTATTACGATTATTCTCTCTTCTATCTCTGACCAAATATTTATTAATTACTAATGATTAATGAAGTTTTATCTATATCCATATTGAATAGTGAATACTATAATTTTCAATAAATGAAATATTAAGACTTTTGATGATTAATTAACGCTCATAATTATGAACATAGGTATTTATTGTTTTTAAAAAAAAGTTATATTAATATCAACAATATATTTCCATACACTACTACATTTGTTGTAGCTTATTAGTTATTAGCTTCGATGCGCAGCTGAGAAGGTATTGTTTTTTTAATTATGTCTTTTAACTATTTTTTAATTATTTTGTATCTAGACTTTCTAAACCGCTGACAACCGATTTCCTAATGCAGGAACTTTATAAATCAGAAAACGTATCTAAAAGGTACTTTTATGGGCCAAAAATCGAAAAAGTTTACCACTTTTCTTTCAAATTTGAGAAAACACCCCAAAAATGTACATATTCTATTAACTCAAAATAAATAAAGCTTCTAAAAATTAAAAATTTTCTTTATTTCTTTTTTTTTTTAGCGAAATTTAGGACTTAAGTTCTAAAAAGATTAAAGGTAAATCTGGAGTGGGGCTATAAAATCTACGATTTTCTTAAAAATCTGTAGTTAAACTGTTTTTTTTTAAAAAGAAAAACCCCCCAAAAAAAGAGAAAAACTGTTTTTTTACCGTTGTACATTTATAGGTTCTTATGTGTAATTACGATCTATGGTTAAATTGTTATAAACAGACAATCAACCCTAGTCCCTAATCGTTCCTCTCTAATACTTAAAATATTATTTTAAACACAATGTAGCTATTACAATATTTGTATCGCTTTTTGTATTTCTACTGGCTACACACGGGAAAAAATAGATAGGAAGTTTCTAATAAATTTCTAGTATGAATGACTAAATAAATAGTTGGCTTAACTAAATGTATAGTCGCTTTAACTAAAAATTTAGTTGGACCAACTATGTATTTTTTTGTTTTTTCATTGAAGCGTTTATTTAATAGTGATTTTATCACATTCAGTTATAATTATTTCTGATGACCTGTGGCCGTCCTTCCTCAGTCCCTACTATCCACTTTTTTTATATTATATAAAAATATAGTATTAACCGTCAGTATTATCATTAGCAAATTAAACACAAAAACAACACACCACAAGATACAGCACAACACACAACAATCGCATGACAGTGTAGCTGTAGACATAACAATGGTGGGGACTCCCCTGATCCGACTCATCGCCGTCATACACAACGCCTCGCACCACGCGGTCATCATAATAATATTAATAAACTAAACCAAGTATCTCGAAACCTCAGAAATGTTGTACTGTTTTGCTTGTAACTAAGAAAGTATTCAACCAATCAATATGTAAATTTGCTCGATATGTTCATTTCTGTCAAAAGCTATTAAATAAAAAATAACCAGCTTTAAATATCGCGTATTTATTAGCAATTGATATCTTAAATTTATAAAACGAATTATTTTTAAAAAAATGTACTGAGTACACGTACATAAAATAACTCATACTCCATCATGTCACTTAAAAAAGTATTTTCCAGTAGTAAGAATTTCCAATATTATGTATTTATGTATTGTTAATGTACGTACCCTTAACGTTAAGATCCTAGGTAACTGTTGACTTAATTCACTGCTAGGACTAAGTCTCGCTAATGGAGTGCTTTGGTGTTGCATATGGTTAGAGGATTCCAATGGCGGTGGAGGAGGTGGTACAGCTGATCGACTGTCTCTAGAATGTGGCGATTGGAAACCACCGGAGTGTCGCATCTGCTTATGGTACATGCTTGTCGGCAACCCAACACCCAAATGAGTTTTCATCTTCCTTAAATTACTGCCATCTCGGTAACCTATATTAATTATAAAAATTAAACATCAGGCCAAAATTACATCAGGTGATATTGTTCTTAAAAAGAAACTTACTTTTGTAATGATAAACGATATCTATATCAGACGGAGCGATAGAGCTGGCGTTTTCTAGATCATAATGTTCAGGAAGATCATGATCCGCGGTTGCACTGTCATGATGGAGCATATTTTTCATATGTTGATTGAGATCATCTCTTTGAGGAGGTGGAGATTTTCCAACAACTTCTCTTTCAATGATATCTGGTCTATGTGGTCTATTATGAGTATCACTCATTCCTAGATCCTGATCTTTGTAACGCTTAGAAAGTAATTCCGGTGGCATCATGTGATGTCTTATAACGTCTCCAGTTTCAGTTATGAAGGAAGACACTGGAATAGCGTTTAAGGCAGGTGATTCGGAATGAAGGCCTCGTTGAAAATTATCTTTGCCGCTATCAGAATCCTTGTCGCCCTTTGTGTGTTTTCGAATTTTAAAGACTACATAACTGACTGTTATAGCCATCAATAGTATGACAAAAAATACTATAACTAGAGTGATTCCAAGACTTAATGGATCTGTGACTACTACACCGACCGCGGTTAGACCAGCCAAATCACAATCAAAAGACATTTGTCCGGAATGATAAACATCAGGTAATATGCTTCCACTGCCGTTGAAAGGTTGAAGTTCTTTATTAATTGTGAAATTAGAAAAGCATCCTGTGAAGCCTAAAAAAAACAAAGTAAATACTATTATTATTTTGCGATTACCTACATATTCAAATGAATGTATATTATTTAAATCAATCTTTATTAAATTAAAAAAAAAAAAATAATGTTACATCTTATAATAAAACTTACTATAAGCTTCAATTCTTCCTGAAAAATATTCGTGATCGATACCCCCTAGGTATAATTTGGTCAGGTATGGATCCATAAAGTCGTGAACACTAGCTGAATCCAACTCTTCGCCGACTTTATTTCCATCCAAAAATATTTTCAAACTTTTAGCTCCAATTGTCATTGTTAGATTATGCCAGTTTCCATCATCTAAATGATTTTCTACGGTCATATTCACTGTCGATGTTGATGTACTCAGGTATGAAGTATAAAATAACTTGCCATGTGTCAACTGAAAAACATTTTTAAAATAGTGAAGGAAGTGAAAAATGTTGGTAGTTAAAAAAGTAATAAAATACCTTTACTAGGGTGAAATCAGTATTTGACGCCGCCAAAAGTATAGTAGAATTTGATTTCATTGTTCTAAACATTAGACCTAGTTCCTTAACAGGCGTTACAACAAAAGTATTTCTTTTTGTCCTAAATTGTTGTTGGCGCCAAACAGTTGTACCATTGTATATAGACTCTAATAAATGCATACGTCTATGTTTCTCTGTAATCTTATATTCTAGGAATGCACCATCAGCTAGTGACACTGGTCTGAAAGCTTGATTACAATTTGGTGATAGTATATCGTTTTCTTGGCACTTGCACATAATGGAAGTCCATCGTTCTAGACACGTAGATCCTTCACCACATAACAATGACGATTGAGAGGAACATTGTCCTTGACGATTACAGAATGGGTCAACATATTTTGAAGATATTGGACTACTCAAGTTTAGGGCATATCCATTAATTGATACACTATGTAAACATCCCACAAAGTCGTCCGAATGTACTTGTCCCGGTCTTTCTAATAAAGGATCGACAGACATTACTCCACCAATAAGTAAATGATTTCCATTGAAATTTAGAGTCCTGTAATCAAAATAACAATATTGGTTACCAAAAGTTAAAACGATGAATAAAATTTAAAAACAATTATAATCATCTAATAAAAAAATATATTTATTTATAAAATTGCATACCCTACAGTTCCTGTATTATCACTGTAGCAAGATTTATCAGATGGTCTGCATTCCTCACAGTTGTCTCCATTGTCAGCACACGACGCAACACTCAAAGACAGAACTTTACCGTTTCTTACTGCGGTTATTTTATACCACGAGCCATCTGCCAATGTGGAGCCATCACTTTTGCCAACGATAATTGATGTAATTGAACTTCTAGCGCCACCATATGAAAATACACATTTCCCTTCGATTAACTCAATAGCAATAAAATCTGAACGCCCGCCGACTTGAGTTCCATAATTGTACAGCAATAAAGAATCTGATTTTGTAGTAGAAAACACAAGCGTTATATCATTTGTTATACTGTCTAGAGGAGAGAACGACATAAATGAATAATCATTGAAACCAAACGAAGATTTTTCACAGTGTCTTCCGTGTAAACCATTAGGACAATTGCATTTGTAACCGGGCTTGAGAGAAACACAAGAGCCTCCGTTTAAACATGGATTTGGACGGCACGAATCTGCAGAAAATTCGCATACATTTCCACGGTACCCTGGTCTACATAAACAGAAATATCCAACGTTATCCTGTATCTGTTTACAACTTCCACCATTCATACAAGGGTTCATGTCACATTTATCATAACGTTCCATTTCACATTCAGGACCTTCTCTGTTTGAAGGACAGAAGCATTGGTAACTAGTTCCTTGCCGCCTGCAAGTACCACCGTACTGGCAAGGATTCGGAGCACAAGGATCTTGCCGTTTATCACACCTACGTCCAGCATACCCGTCTGCACAGTCACATGCAAATCCTTGTAGAATTGTAGGCGAAGTAAAAATAAAGTCTTGACTATTTATTACATGAGGTTCTTTAGAAATCGATAAAGAAGTAGAGCAGTTTCCATTATTTTCACATGAGTTTTGGTGGCATGGAGTATAATCTACGACAATTGATAATTTCAAAGCTTGTGTAAAGTGGTGTGATTTTCGTCTCATTATATCACTGACTTGATCTTTGCCTAAACCTTTCACAAATATTGCTAGTTCTACGCCATAGTTTACTTCACTAATACTGTATAATAATGGATTATTTTCTTCAAATGTGGAATTCAATACATCCATAAATTTCAAATAATAATTGGAAATAAAATCAGTTGCTGTTATGTTATTTATTCTTGAGAAAATGGTATCCTCTATGACGTTCTTGTCGATTGTTCGATAATCAATTTTAATTACGTTAATAACAGAGTCGTGCTTCCCATCGTTTCCAAAAACTCGCAAAACAGATACAGGTTTTGTTATTCTATTTATATGTAAATCACATGCTTTAGGAATAGAAAAGTCATCAGTTGGCATTTCAAAGAAACATTTATAGTCTCCCGTTGAATCCGGATCAGTTGGTTGAACATCTGCTATTTTTCCAACAGGATATTCATTTTTGAGCGAATAAACAACTATGTTAACAGAACGCGAACTCGATGGACTATCATTCTGATCTAAAATTATAATGTTCAGTAAATTTTCAGTTGTAATTTGCGGAGAGCCATTATCCGTGATTGATATCTGAAAAATAATAATTTTCGTTAAATACATAAAATAAACAATTACTGTGTATTTTCAAAGTTATAGCTAAAATGTAATAAAATTAGCGCTTACCACAATATTAAGGTTTGGTGTTTGTTCTCGGTCAATTGGTCGAGCGGTTTTCAGGAGTCCTTTTGATTCATCTAGGGTCACAAATTCTCTATGTGGTCCACCGACAATTCTATAAGTGAATGGTGCTCCATTGGGCGGTTGATCTGCATCTGTTGCTGACAGTATCATGATACTTGTGTTAATTGGTTCGTTTTCGGAAACATATCCCACACTATTTTCTGGAGCTAATACAGGTCCGTTGTCATTTACGTCAGTTATCATAACTTTTATAACAGCACTTCCTGTTTGAGGGGGAGACCCAGTATCTACTGCACCGACTAATATTTCATAATAATTCACAGTTTCTCTATCAAAGTGACCAACAGTTTCAATAGTTCCATTTTGTGGATCGATCCGAAATAGTTTAGTAACATTATTTAGAATAGAATAAACAAATTGATTGTTTTGCGGCCATGCGTCTTTGTCAACGGCATGGACAGTTATTATTTTTGCACCAGGTCTTGTACCTTCAGAAACTAAGCACTCGTAGTTTTCTTGATCAAATTCGGGAGGATCGTTTCCGTCTTGAATTGATATTATTACTTGGGCTTCGTCAGTGTCGTTTCCTTTAATACTTCCTTCGTTTTTGGCCAAAACTGTAAGAATTATACGATTTTGAGTTTCTCTATCGAGATGTCGGGATACTTTTAATAAACCAGTGTTGCGATCAATAGTAAACCCTTTGTCGTTACTCGAGCCTACAAATAAATAGTACACATTTCCATCATATCCAGCATCTAGATCTGTAGCTTTAACGACACCAACACTAGATCCGATTTCAGCGGATTCAGGTACATCATAATAAAAAACTGATTGGCTAAACGTTGGATAAAACTCGTTAACTCCTTCGATATGAACAATGATTTTTGATGTTCCAGATAGTGACGAATCTGGATTAATTGCCAAAATTTCGAGTGTATATGATTTTTCTTGTTCAAAATCAAATATGCTTTTCGAGAAAATTGCACCTGATGTATTATTGCAATAAAACAAATGTTCACCTGTTCCTCCAGTTATTGAATAATTAATTATTGCATTCTTCGGCGAATCTAAATCTTTGGCCAGAATTTGAGAAACAAAAGTTCCCAATGGTGAGTTTTCTAAAATAAATACATCAAACTGTGTTTGATTGAATGTTGGTGGGTTATCGTTGATATCGGTGAGTACAATAGATAAAATAGCTTTAGACATCTTAGGTTCGAATCCTGAATCAATGGCAGTGATGTTTATTTTATATTCTTTTGCGAGTTCATAATCTAGAACTTGTGCAATAGTTATTGCACCAGTTTCTGGATTTATAACAAATTTATCGGATAAATTTTCAGATGTATATCGAACTATTCCATTTGGTCCCTCGTCTTGATCTGTCGCTTTTACTGTTAAAATTATAGTTCCGACTGGTTCATTTTCTGGTACAAATACTTGATAACTGAAGGAAGAAAATTCTGGATAATAGCTATTTTCTCCAGTTACTATAATGCTGACCATAGTTGTGTCTTGTTTTGGAGGTACACCATGATCTGTTGCTCTGATCACTAAATCATACTTTTTATCTAAATCAGTATCAGTTAGTTTTTTTTTCAATGATATTAAACCGGAATGTCTGTCTACTTTAACTATATCCGTAGAATTTCCACCATAAACAAAATATTCTATTTCTGAATTAACTCCTGAATCATTATCTATTGCTGTAACAGTAATTAATGGTGACCAAATATCTAATGTAGTAGGAACAGGTGAAAAGTATAAGCTCTTTTCAAATTTAGGAGCATTGTTGTTAGAATCAATTACGTTGATAGTGACTAAACATTCTGATGACATAGGAGGTTTTCCATTGTCTGTAGCTACGACTACTAATGAAAATTCATTTTCCGGTGATACATCTTTAACCGAATGTATATATCTCATAGTACGTTTAGTAAATATATCTCCATAAATAGGATCTATGACAAAGACATCAGAGGGTTGCTTTAAGTTATATGAAACGACAGAATTTGATCCTTGTTTATCTCTATCAGTTGCAATTACACGCCCAACAGTTACTCCAATATTTTGTGATTCCGGGAAGTTAAATTTATAATATGAACTTTCGAACTCCGGTGCATTATCGTTTACATCTTGAACTGTAATTGTCAATGGGGTTTCAGCTTGCCATGATCCATCAGCAGCAATTACGTTTAATAAATATTCGTCTTGAACTTCACGGTCTAAAGCAGATTGTACGTAGACATTCCCAGTATCAGAGTCAATTTTGAACATATTTCCTGGATTTTCAGTAAATCTGTATGTAGCTTTAGCGTTAACACCTATATCTAAATCTGAACTAGTAATTCCAATAACATATGTACCAACTTCCGTATTCTCTGTGACGTTAACACTAAACAAACGAGTGAACCTAGGTGGATTATCGTTAATGTCTAATACAGTTATATGTACCATTGCAGACCCTGTGAGCGATGGATGTCCTTGATCAACTGCTTCTATTGTTAAAATATAATGATCATCTGTTTCCCTGTCTAATTTTGTATTTGTAACTATTTCTCCAGACATGCTGTCTATGCTAAATATTCCATTTATGTCGTCTACTAATCTATACGTTAACATGCTATTTTTTCCTGTATCTTTATCCGTCGCAACAACTGTGATAACCGGAGTTGGGGGAAATGTTTCTTCTTGAATTGAAACTGTATAAAAAGGTATTCAAAAACAGGTGGGTTGTCATTTTCATCAGTAACGTTAATAGTTAACAAAACTGCGCTTCTAAGTTTCGGCTCGTCTGAATCGGATGCTTCAACCCAAAGTTTATAATGACTAGATTTTTCATGATCGACCCCTTTATTTCCTATGATCACTTCTCCACTTTCAGGATCTACTTCAAAAGTATCATCAACATTACCTCCTGCTATAGAGAAACGAAGAACACCATCAGGTCCGGTTTTTGGAGAGGTTGCAGTAAACCGTGACACTCCACTTCCAGTACTTGAATTTTCTACTAATGATATTTGTTGAGATCCAACGAGACGTACAACAGGGAAATCGCGGGCTGGCCAAAGTATTATGGTTAGTTCAAATTCCGCTGTTTTTGGATCTTCTCCACTGTCACTAGCCTCGATTTTGATTTTATACTCCATTTGATTGTTGAGTTTATGAATTGATTCGATAACGCCCGTGTTTTTATCTATTTTAAACATATCTTTATCACCACCTATTAAACGGTAGGCGATTTTCCCGTAATCTCCAGAATCTAAGTCTGTCGCAGTTACGCCAAATATAAACTGCCCTGCTTGAGTTTTATCGGATATATAAACAGTACTTTGTACAGTTAAAAATGTAGGATAGTTGTCGTTAATATCTTTTGCATATACAGTTAAATTTACAGCTGAAGCTTTTGGTTCTGTTAAACTTGAATCTTGTGCTACCACAGTTAAGTAGTAAACGTATTTCTCTTCCCTGTCTATATTAGATAACGTTCGGAGTATTCCTGTATCTTCGTCTATTTGAAATTTGTTGTATTTGTCTCCCAAAAGACTATACCTATGGAATAATGTTATAAATTATTTAATTAAATAAATGTTATTTAACAAGCAAGTTAAATTTTAGCAAAAATTACTTGATTTTAGCATTTAAGCCAATGTCTAGATCTGTTGCGGTCAATTGAATTATTGAATAACCGGTTGGACTATTTTCATCAATATAAGCTACATAGCTTTGCTGTTGAAATTGTGGACTGTGGTCATTGATGTCTTGAACTATTACTCGAACAAATCCAGTACCGCTTAGTGGGGGCATACCTAAAACGCAATTATTATTTAGACCCAAATGCATGCAAACAAATATGCTAATTCATTCCTACTTTAAATGTCAAATATACATACCTGAATCCATGGCTACAACCGTAATTAAATGCTCATGTTGACTTTCTCTGTCAAGACTTCTTAATAAACGTATATTTCCAGTTACACTATCTATGGAGAAGTATTCTGTGTCTTTCAAGAAATATCTTATCCTGCCATTGTAACCAGAATCTGCATCAGTTGCTTTTACTACAGCTATGGAAGATTCTTTCGCGTTAGTATCTACATACTCTTCAAGTACATTAATGACGTAAGGAGAGTCTGGGAAAATAGGATAATTGTCATTTATATCTTGAATAATAATTGTAACTGTAATTTCATCGGAATTAATAAAGCTATCTACGCCAGTTGGACTATCTTCTGCTTTTATATTTAACACGTAGCGAGATTTTCGTTCGTAGTTGAGATACTTTGAGACTCGTATTAATCCAGTATCATCTACGATGCTGAAATCTAAGTTTTCGTCTCCACTTATAATAGTATACCGTATTCTAGAATTCGGTCCAATATCCTTATCGGTAGCAAACAACTGTGTTACAGTATACCCAATGGTCACGTTTTCTGGTACAGTTGCGGTATAGTGCCTTGGTTCGAATATGGGACTATTGTCATTTTCGTCCAAAACATTGACGGTTAGTTTTAACAGGGAACTAAGTGGAGGATCACCTCGATCTCGAGCTCCTATTTCTAAATTATAAGAAGATTTGGTTTCTCGGTCCAAAGCACTTGCTACTCTCAAAATCCCATCAACAGATCCTATTGTAAATGTTTTATCGTCACCCGCATTAATCCAATACTCAACAAAGCCGTTTTTGTCTTCATCGTTATCTATAGCCTTCAATACAGTAACTATAGTGCCGATTTCAATATTTTCCATAACTGCCGTTGTGTTTGGAGTCATCCACTGAGGTGAACAATCGTTAACGTCCTTGATTGTAATTGTCAACTAAACGAAAAAAAAATCTCATTAGTATATTTCTAGTAAGATTTATTTTTCACCTATAGAAACTTTTCAGTTACTAATTACCTGAGCTGTGGATGATAGTTCGGAAGCCGCCGGGCGTCCTCCGTCCTTGGCCACAACCATGAGATTGTACGATGCCACGATCTCACGGTTCAAACTTCGACGCGGCCAAATAGTGCCATTGTTCGGATCGATAGTAAAATCATTGTCTTCTTGATCCAGTGATTGAATTGAATACTTTATTTTGCCATTTACTCCTGTAATATTATTTTATATAAGTTAGACCGCCGAAAATATTTTGATTAGAAGCTTGAATACATTGTACTGACAATAAACCAAACAAGCGATTGATTATAAATATATATTTCACTTAACCAACGCAATTTAGAAACTCTACTCATTATTGATTATACAGCTAATAGTATTATTCAAATAAAAAATCAATTAAATTTTAATTAATGTTTTTAAAATATTATAAATATTACAATTTTTAAGTAGGCAAATTCTTGTTTGAACAACGTAATGTTTCATGTAGCAATGACTAAGTACACAATCTAAAACTTGCTTTAAATAAATATTTTACTTTGTACTGATTATGTGGAATACATATTCTTAAAATTATTTTTAAACATTTCAGTCTTTATCTCGATAAAGACTAAGTTAAAACTGCAATCGTTTAAACATTATACCTGATCATGTGTCAACTTGTATTACACAGTGCAAAACCGAAAGACAAAGTTACAAAGTTCACCGGGGAATCCGGTACCACCACATAAAAAAAGTTTACTCTTTGGGGTATTAAAATAAAAAATATAAATATCACTGACATAATCGGATATCTATCTTTGTTTGGGTGTTTTTTATTTTATTTATATAATCAAATATACTTACTCGAGTCACGATCTGTTGCCACTACGGTTGCTACAACCGTGTTGACAGTGACATTTTCGTAAACGACAACACTATAACTGTTTGTCTCAAACATAGGACTGTTGTCGTTTTCATCGATAACGTTTATGTACACTGTTACTGTTGACGATAGTATGGGTTTTCCTCCGTCTTGAGCTTGGACAACCATAATATAATGTTGCACCTAAATTACAACACAAACATTAGTAAACACTGATGTGATGTTTGTTTGGGGAAGCCACTGCGATAATAGTGGTCGCAGCGCTAAAACTCACATCCTCATAATCTAATTTTCCGGTCAAAGTGAAAGCTCCCGTGTGCGGGTCAATATTGAATACATCGTTGGCCCAGTCACTTATTATCGAGTAGGTGACCATGCCGTTCACTCCCTCGTCTTCGTCTATAGCTAAGACGTCACCTATCTTTGTACCCCGGGATGCGGCTTCACTTACATCAACCGAGTAGACACTCTTTGTGAAAGCAGGAGCGTTGTCGTTGGTATCGAGAATCTGCAATAATATTTATAATTTATAATAATATGTATGACAATATGAGAATACATGTGAGATCAATACTATTTTTGTTATTAAATCGAGGACACCATCAACCTAACTTAACCCACGGAATATTCCAGTATATGTGCAACCGAAACTAAATAAGTTCTTACAACACCACAGTGATAAAATTTCGGACACGAATATCAATTATCTTTTAAAATTTAAAACATCAATATTATATGTATTCTATTTATATAGAGTTCAATACAAAGTATAGATGTGAAATTCATATTAAACCTTTTCAACTCGGTCAACTGTTTTATTCGCATTATACATTGTTACAATAACAACAGCACAATAAAATCTAATTTAGAAGTTCCATTTTTTATTGTACAAAAAAAACACGAAAGAAAAATTAATTTTTTCATACTTTTTACTATATTAGTATTTAAATTTTATGATCATATTGGTTTTCTTGTCAATACTATAAAAAAACCCGAAACATATTAGATTAAGATATAATTCTTATAAATTGCTTAATCTAGTTATAAATATTCCTAACGTATAACGAAAAAATAATGTTATCAACATGGCTAAATTATCGAGATAATTTAGTGTTAGTGAGAACATGTTAAGTAACGCACTTGATTTTTTTAAGTAGATCTTCACAGTGGTAAAATGGGTGGGCTCAATCCCCCCCCCCCCCGAAAGGTTTATTAAATTTAAATGTTCAAAATGTATAGTACAACGTCATGTTATTGTACAGTTTTTAATTTTTGTGCGTACAATTTAGTTATCTAAATAAACATTACATTAAATAAGGACGTTACAGATTTCCTCTAAGTATAGTCTATACTCCTATAATATGTATAAACCCCCCTCAAAAAAAAAAAATCCTAGTGCACCACTGTAGCTCTAACGAGATGTTTTAAAGGTTTAAAACGTTTTAAAATAAAAACAATGATTGTTTATCGTCCAAATTCTCATAATCCTTATTGGTGTATTTATAATAGGTGAGAGATCGGATCTGAGATGAAAACCGCAGTAGTGTAAGATGTAATATATTAATATTACCCACCTTGGTTGATGCAACGCAGTACTTACAGTGAATACGACGGACGTGTCGGTGTTATGAACCCCATCAAATACCCGTACTGGAAGCACGTGTCTGAGGCTGGTCTCTCTATCTATGGACTTGCGTATGCGGACGTTGCCAGTGTATGCGTCTAAGACAAACGGCGAGCTATTGTCATCGTCGCCAATTACCGAGTACGTTAGAGACGAGTCTAGATCAGGATCAGTGGCTTTCAGCGTGGCTACCAGCGACCCAGTAGGTATTTCTTCGGATATCTTGAACTCCAACAAACTACTAGGCCATACCGGTCGGTTGTCATTCTTGTCTAAGACCGTCACTTTTATCTAAAAACACGAACAATATACGTTATAATAGATGCATAGATTACAAATTAATTTGTTAATGCCTTTGGTTCGCGCTATAGTTTTATGAGAACAAAAAATCTTGCATAGGAATATTCGAATCGATTGTATCTTAAAAAATAACTTAACAAGTCATTCCGGATCATGTTTTCAAACACTAAACCGTTTTATTCAATGCAGTTTTTTTTAAGAACTTAATAGCTGAATCAACTAACTACTATATAAACATTTTTTTTCTAATTTGTATTGATGTACTATACATTAGTAGAAACATTTTGAAGATCTCATATTTATTTTTATACACACACTATTATATTTATACTCAAACTTGTAGTCATTTATACGCAAATATAATTTTACTATTAAAAAATATATAATTGAAAACATATAATATTTAAATTTAAATATTCAGTTATTTTAAAAAGCTACGTAGTTTTTGTTTCAATACTACATTTTTAACTGTTTATGCTTAATATAACAATGATTTAATTAGTATGTAGAAAAATGGTAAAGTTAAACAATCATATAAAACATTTTAATTTATTTAGGCGTAACCCTCGTAGGAAATCGGTGTAAAGCAAACTCGAATATTCAATGAATAAAGTAACACATGTTTTTGTATTGTTACCAAACGCGGCTATAAAATTATATGTTCTTTCAAACAGTTCAAAAAAATATTATTTACAGAGTTCAAATTTTAGCTTTACTGCGTAGCTTAGAAGGTATTGTTTTTACAATGGTGGTTTTTTTTTTGTGCCTGGACACATAATATCTTGTAAATAGCTGAACCGATTTCGTCATGTAGCAACTCTATAAATCAGAAATCGTAATTGAAAAATACTTCATTAAGCCAAACATTTAAAAAGTTTACCCCTTCAAACTAGAGAAAAATACCCAAAAAATGTACATTTTACACGGCACTCTATAACTTTTTTAAAAATATTTGAGTTAGTTCAAAATTTAGAATATTCTTTAGACATAGTACTACCGATAAACGTTAACAAAGCAAACAAATATCAAAAACCTTTTCCCTTCAAAGGGATAGACCGTACTTTTTCTTTATTTGCCTCTTTTAGGTGACATTTTAGAGCTCAAGGTCTTAAAACGAAAATTGAACTTAGAAAATAAGATTAATGCAGTTCTAAAATGGGGCTATAACATATACAATGCTCTCGAAAATCTATAGTAGTCGAATTTTTTTTTTGTTACGGAAGAAACCAAAAAGAAAGGGAAATATTACATTTTGACCGCAGTAAATTTCTAGCTAGTGTAACTTGTGAGTACAGTTACACGTAGCAGTACCCACTGGGTGAAACAACAGTCAACAGGCATCCGAAAAATATTTTCATGGTTAACAACAGCAACAAATTGTTATAGACAGAGAATCGGCCCTAATCGTATCCACCCTAATACTAAAAATGTAATTATACACGATACAGCTTAAAATGAAAACATAAAGCTAACTATGGTTAGCCTGGTTACCAATAGGTAAGCCAACACTTACATGGTTGTAACTTGTATAGCTATAAAATATCCTACTACTCAAACGTACATCATAGCTTATAATTAATGTATTTTAGCAAATATTTTAGGAACATAAACTCCCCGACTCATGTCAAAGGTGACTATGTGTTAGAATGACAAAGTGCAAAAATGTGTTTAAATATCTTATTTTATAAATTTAAGGCAACGACCATCATACATGTGTTAAATAAACTATAATTTTTAATATATTAAAATGACTTAAAGTATGACTAAGCATATAAAATTATTGTAGTGATTTAGTCTATGATAACATTGACTAAAACAATTGTTCAACAATAAGCCACTTAAAAATACCATATTTTTCTAGTAAGGATAAATTAAAAAAAAGATGCAGTATACAATGCAAAATAGAATGTACTAATATATTATACATAAAATCGTTACATTCTATAGAGCTATTGATATCATTGAAATTTGAATTTATACAGGTAATCTAAATGTAGTTAAAAAAATCGTATTTGACAATAATATTATTCTATTAAAACTTTTTTTTAGGCTATTTATATAAAATATATAGTTAGCGTTAATACTAAAGGTTATTCATTAGAAAATTAGCTGATCATTTTAACTGGTTTACCAGTTTTGAATAATTATGTTTAATGTTATTAAAGTTAAAAATGTAGGACGGGAGGAAGAGTAGAGTGTAGTAGTATTAGGTCATTTTTCTATGTGCATTATTTTACCATAGTCTACCTTCCGTCCTAAATGTTAAACTTTATTTAATTTAAATGTAAGTAAAGAAACTGGTTGTTGAACAGTCTACATTTTCAGTAAATTTTTTTTAATTTTTTAAGTAAATTAAATATATGCGTTACCATTTAAGTTTTAAAAGTCGATAGGGAACTGGAAAATACTAATAAATATAAATATTAACTACTACAGCTGTAGATTTATAATATTTTAAAATAACATACTCGACAATTGTTTCTAAAAAGAAAAACTACCAAATTGCAAATATTTATATAAAAAATATGTCACTACCAAATAAAAAAAATGCCTTGAATAATTTTTTTTAAACCAAAATTTAATCGTGTATTATATTTAAAAGTCGCCTAAGACCGTACTCAGTAAAAAATGAATATGGAAATCCACTGTAACCTTTTATTACATAATTTTGTGAATAAAAAAAAATCAACTTCACCTTAATACAAACAAATTTTTTATTCGTGAATTTTAATGTACCTAATATGGGATCCTCTACAATATTTCTTGTATTTTTTTTTAAACTAGTGTCTTGGGGCGTATTTGCGGTTATAGCAATAGTCTTGTTTGTTAATATCGTAGACGAACATAATATTATGCACTATATCGTGAGAATGTGGGCGTGCCTTTAATATTGTACCCATACCTATTCAACTTTTTAGATTGAAATCTTATTTATGTTATATTGTTTCCTTTATTTCATATGTGAGGTAATAGAATAAATCAAATAACTTATAGTGAAAATGAGAGCAGTTATTATTTTTTTTTAGCAACTCCAAATGTTATTAATATTTTACTAAACCCGAGTATCAACATACTACTTGTATTCATGGACTCCGTAATATAAAGCCACAATAGGTAGGTAATATTTTCAATGAATATTACAGACAAAAACAAAACAAATTTATTTTTCAACATTTTATTTTTTTACGTTAAAATATATAATTATTGTGTCTTAGAAAAAGCAAATTCCAAAACATTAAAAATACAAGGTGATATTGCATTATCAAGTACACCGAAATCCTAGTTATTATTATTATTATTAATATGTTATATTAAGACTGTTACCAATAAAAAACAAGTCGAAAATTAAAAATATTCTACTAGATTATATGAGCATTCTTTTTGTTATTAACTTAATTGTGCGTAGTTATATAAAAAAAAAATTATAATATTAACAAACAGCGTAAAAAAATGTATAAATTATAAATTCCTGTATATCGTGCAAAATCATATTACGCTTAAATGATAGGTTCCGTGGTGTTATTATATTCTATAGTCGTCATGCGACGTCCAACGCTCATACTCTTGCTGTCAGATTGAACCTTGACATTAGAATTACGCAGGTTTATATGAACAAAATGTAACAGTTATCCAAAGATTATAGCCGACAATTCAAATATGCATAATCAAAGTAGCCATGTTTCATGACCACCGAGGTACAAAGCAAGTCTTAGGCCGGTTTTAAGAATATTCGTTAATAATATTAACGCATAATAGAACAAACAGTTAAAAAAATAATAATAATATCGTCGAATGGCTGTCAGTTTTTTTTTTTTTGATCATCCGGAGGATTTGCGCCGACAAGCCGTGAAAATCGATGTGTGATGGAAGAACAAGAGAAGGCGGGCGTGCCCAAAGATTAAAATTTGTGTGCGGTCATCTAGGCGCTACGCGGATCACAGAGGAAAAATTATATTCGAAAAATACATTTATTCTTTGTATGTTTACAAAAACCGTATAAAAACCATGAAAAATATTGACAAAAAGGAAACTTTTTTACATTGGATAACTGAAACGTGACTATTATCACTTAAATTATGATAATAAAAGGTCACGTATAATGTAACCATAAAACCCCTTGTCAACCGATTTGTATAAATAAACGTTTCATCGTTATATTAACAAGTCAGCTTCTGGCATCTGCATTAAACACGAGTAATATACAATAAATCTACTTATACAATTAGGTAACACAAAAAATAGTTCAAAATGTACCGACTACACGATAGTGTTGTTACGTGCTAACGATAAGCTTTACTAAGACAGGAGCTAAATAAAAGGTGAGATCAAGAGGACTTGGTGCACCTGCTTCATACGCTACTTAAAAAACATTTATTCCACAAAAGGTAATATTAAACTTAAATATTTGTGTAATGTTATACATTTTAAAAGAAAATGATAATATATAAGAACTATTACTAGACAAATTTTAAATGTTAGAAGAATTATTGAAAATAAATTGATTACGTTTTCTGGTTTTATTTTTAATGTATTCTCCTCCTTTTTTGAACAAAATTAAAAAAATACTGCGTTTATTGGTTGAGTTATTAAAATAATATATAACTACAAGAAATAAATTGGCTCTTCCACCCCTCCAAAAAAACAACTATTTGCAATTGGTTAACAATTTACTTAACCTAACCTACCAATTATTTTTCTAAATTAACTTAAAAGAAAGAAAATTACAAAAATAATGAGGAAAGCTTTGAAACATATACCAACATTTGGTATTTGGAGATATATTTTCTATTTTTAAAAAATATATTAATAAACGATTAACATCTTGTAAATAAATAGTATTATTCAAAATTAAAAAAAACAGTAGAACTATTGATAACTTAATAAACTCTTGTTCTAATGAAACCGTAAAACAATTATGGCAGAAGCGGACCCCTATGAGACTGTCCCCTTACACGCTGCGGGAATTGTTAAATTGTTCACTACTACTGATCCACTTTGAACTCGCCGCGGTCTATCAAAACCTAACCTAAACTAACTAATTACAACCTGGCGAATCGAATAAATAATACAGTAAGCGAACAGTAATAACAATAATGATAAAGTTTCAGATACCGCAAGAAGGAAGATGGCGCAGTAGAGTAGGTAGCAATAAAAATAAAAAAATACCTGAATGTGACCGGTTTTCGGTGTCAGTGATCCAGCTTTAGTAGCATAAACGTGCACAACGTACCGTTCGGCGCCACCCTCTCTATCTAGTACCGCGGCTGTGTAAAGCACGCCCATTTTAACGTCTACGGAGAACATTCGATCCGCCTGCTGTCCATTTGGCCCTGTCACGTTTACAACGTAGTATTCAATTTGTCCGGGCAACGGGTCCATCCTTAACACGCTGGTTCCCAATGGCTCATTCTCGTACACGGATCCTTCGTAGTCCCTGATGTCTGTAAAAGTTTCACCGCCGTCTGCGTAGTTCAACAACGTGATATACGCATCCGTCGACTTACGATCAGACTGTACGGCCTCGTCCGTAGCTCGCACTGTCAGCCTGTATGAGCGATCGGGCCTGATCAGGTCTCGGCGCAGATTAATAGCACCAGTGGTTCGATGAATGGAAAAAAGCTCAGAATCGCCTCCTACCATTTCATAGGTAACTAGTCCGTTTGTGCTGGAGTCCGCATCTCTAGCAAGGGCGTACATGATATGTGCCCCGCCATGTTTGGCTCGTATTAATCCAGTGTCCATTGAAACGAACACGGGCGCGTTGTCGTTCTCATCGTCGACTATTATGGTAACAGTCTTTTCAGCAGTCAACCTAGTTTCTTCGGGTATGGCCTGATCTACCGCCGTCACGGTTAACTTATAAGTATCAGCGTATTCTCGGTCTATAGGCAACACCGTACTGATCACTCCTGTCTTTTCGTTAATCGCGAAACTCCGTCTGTCGTTATCCGGTTGTTGATTGGAAATCGAGTAGTGTACCAGTCCGTTAATATCCGAATCCGGATCGTCGGCGACCACGTGGACAATGGACGTGCCGATAGGTAGGTTTTCGACGATTTGCCGTACTATAGCCGTACTTGGAAATTGTGGTGGGTTGTCGTTGCAATCCAAAACGGTCACGTAAAAAGCCAATGCGGAAGACAGCCTGGGGTTTCCGTTGTCGTAGGCTGAAATATTCAACGCGTAAGAACTGATGTCCTCGTAATCTAATCGTTTATGCAAATAAAGTACGCCAGTTTTAGCGTCGACATGGAACGTGTCTCTTCGGTTTCCCGAAACAATGGAATACCGAACTTCACCGTTTATGCCCAAGTCGGGGTCTGTCGCGTGAAACCGTATCAGTTCTGAGTTGATTGTCGCATTTTCGTATATTTTCACGCTAGAAAAAGGCGATTCAAATTTGGGGGGGTTATCGTTATCGTCTATCACTTCTACAGTGACCGTAGTCGAAGCGTTGAGTTGAACGGGAGAGCCATTATCATGTGCGGTGACACGCAACAAGTAAGACTCACACACTTCTCTGTCTAAATGCGAATTGATCGTGATCATGCCGGTGCTATTATCAATGCGAAAATGTTCGTCCCCTCGATTTTCTATTGTATAATAAACAATGCCGTTTTTACCATCGTCCTCATCCGTCGTATAAACTCGTAACACGTGTGTGCCCACTGGAGATCCTTCGGACACCTGCACCCTGTACGGTTGCCTGAAAAACCGCGGTTGGTTGTCATTTACGTCGTCCACATATACGTTCACCTTGGTCTTGTCATGTAGAGGGTGCTTGCCGTTGTCCGAAACAATTACCTCCAGCGTGATAACGTTTTGTCCGGTTATTCGAATTAGCTGTTCTCTGTCGAATTCTCGCTGCGTTCTGATAAACCCGTTTTTCGAGTCGATCCAAAAGTCTGTCTTGCAATTGATCAAAGAGTACGTCAATTCGGCATTTCTGCCCGTGTCCCGGTCAGAAGCTGATATTTTGCCCACAAACGTACCGGCTAATTCGTTTTCGTTAATATGGAAATTAAATGTAGTGTTAGAGAACTCCGGTTTGTTGTCATTTTCGTCGGTGATATGTACCACGGCCATTACAGACGAACTACGAGATGGCACGCCTCCGTCTCGTACGACAACGGACAACGCGTAATAATCTCGATTTTCCCTATCCAGTCGGTGTTTAATATACAGCACACCATCCGGAAATATTCCGAATTTGCCCTCCGAATCACCTTCCTCGATAGTATATGACAATCTAGCATTCGATCCATAGTCTCCGTCAACAGCAGTTAAGCCAAAGAATCGACTGTTAACGGCCGTCGACTCAGATAGTGAAGATTCGTATGAGACTTGATCGAACACGGGCGTGTGATCGTTAACATCTTGTACGGTAAAGAGCACAACGTGTTTTGCGCTAAGTGGAGGATTGCCTGAGTCGGTGGCCATTATTTCAGCGGCTAAAAGTGTACCGGGTGTTGTGTTGATCGGCTTGTGTAAGTAAACTATTCCGGACGATTCGGCGATGCGAAACAAACCGTTTGGATTAGATACCAATCGATAAGTCACCTGACTGTTTAAGCCGACATCCTTATCTTTAGCTCTAGCGACACAAAGTTCTTGACCGACCGCCGTGTTTTCATATAAGTCTACCTCGTCTATAATTGTAACGAAATTAGGTTCGTTATCATTGATATCTAATATAGTAACATTTACAAAAGTTGTACCATACTTTCGTCCCGCTCTAGCAGCTATGAAAATACTATAGAATGACTTCGTTTCCCTATCAATTTTTCTTCTTGTCGTCAGAGCGCCGTTGTTGTCCACATTAAAATTGCCATTGTCGCCGTCCAAAATGAAATAAGTTATATCGCTTTTGACATCTTTAACCCGAACTCGACCAACTAGTCGGCTGTAAGTGAGTTCTTCTCGCTCGCCGTGATCTTCATAAATCTGAAATGAATAGCCCTCAGTCGAGTCAAATTTAAGAGTTTCTTCTAAGTTTTTTATTATTTCAACGACAGCGTTTTCTGCCGCTCGGTGACCATCCTTGTCGGTCGCTGTAACATTTAAGCGATAAAATGATTTTGACAGGTCAATGCCACCCTTTAGATAAATCGAACCGTCTTGAACGTCTATATAAAAAAATCCAGAATCGCCACCACTCACTAACTTGTATTCTATGACTGCGTTGTCTCCGTCATCGATATCATATGCCGAAACAGTCAATAACTTAGCACCTACCGGCTGATGGTCGTTAACGTATGCCAAGTATTGTCGTGGATAAAATACCGGATCATTGTCGTTGATGTCCAAAATGTCGAGTAATACAGTAGCCGTAGACGATTTTGGTGGAAATCCTTGGTCCTTGGCCAAAACTTTGATTTTATATTCAGACATTTTTTCTCGGTCTAGTTGCGCTTTTACAATTAATTGTCCGGTCAACGAATCTATCACGAACATGCCTTTGTACTTGTATAGGACCTCAGGGTGTAAGCTATACGAAACGCTGCCGTTAGTGCCTTGGTCGTGATCGGTAGCCGATAACATTGCTACCAAAGTGTTTTCAGGAACGTTTTCTAATATTTTTACGGCAATTACTTCTTGCGTAAACTCAGGTCGTTCGTCGTTTTCGTCCAACACTATGACTTTTAACTGCGTAAAAGCCCACTTTGGGTTTGGACCGCCGTCCCTGGCAGAAATTTTTAACTCGGCGGTGCCCATTTTTTCTCGGTCTAATCTTCCTTTAAGCGTCACCAAGCCGGTGTCTGGATCGATATCAAACCAACCGAAAGAATTTCCGGAAACAATCGAATAAAAAATCTGTGCGTTAATACCAGTGTCTTCGTCCGTGGCTGTTATGCTGGCCACGTACGTACCTACAGGCGATAGTTCACTCAGCGTGGTCGAGTATTCACTCTTTTCGAATACCGGTTCATGATCGTTAATGTCGTTGACATATATCAATAGGTATGCCGTGGTGGTCCTGGCGGGGGTCCCTTTGTCACTGGCCAACACGGTCAGATTGTATTTGTTAATCTGTTCCCTGTCCAGCACGCCATGCACTCGAACAATGTAAAAACTCTGTGACGATTCCAAGCGGAAATGGTTCATTTCGTTTCCTGACACGATTTCTACAAATGTCTCGCCGTTTAAACCCTCGTCCGGATCCAGCACAGACACGGCGGCGACCACGGACCCGTTAATGGCGTTTTCGTCGACGGTCGCATACGCTGCCGTGGGTGGAAAATAACGAAACCTAATGGCCGGGTCGTGGTCGTTAGCGTCGATCAAGCTGATCGTCACGTACGCTCGGCCGTCTTGTCTAGGCGAACCATTGTCCCTCGCGTGTACGGTAAACACACAGCTCTTTGGACAAGTAGATTTTGATTGCATATGGGGACAGTTTTGTTGCGGGCAATCGGGTACTTCAGTTGTGTATATGGCACCCGTTTCCGGATCTACGCGAAACCCGGACTCTGTTGTTTCCGGTAAGTAGTATGTGACTCGGCCGTTGTCTCCTAAATCTGCGTCCGTGGCGGTGACCTGAAGGGCAAACGTACCAGGCGGAGCACTCTCGTTTAGCCAAGCACTATAGTCGGTTAGTGCGAAAACGGGCGGGTTATCGTTTACGTCCAATATAGTCACGTTGACCGTTTGATATCCATACCGAGTAGGTATGCCACCGTCGCGAACCGATATATTGAGTTGGTAAAAAGGCACGGTCTCGCGGTCTAATTTTCCGGTTGTTTGCAAGTACAAGTAAGAGAGATCGCCTCCCGGGTTTGTCGTTACGTCCAATCGAAATTTATCATCTACGTTGCCTAGCACTATTCTGTAGTCGGATGACACGCCGTTGACACCCGAGTCCCTATCGGAGGCCGTATCCAGAAGCACCTTATTGTCTGGAGCCGCACTTTCCGGAAACGACACCGAAATAACGGGTTCCGGGAATTGAGGAGCGTTGTCATTGACATCGATGACCAAAATTCTTACCTCGATGGGGTAGGTGGGCTGACTGGACAATACTATCAGGTCGTATCTATCGTTCCGCAGAGATTCTCTGTCCAGTTTCTGAACGGTGGTTATCTCACCAGTAGTGCCGTTCAACGAGAACTCGTCGGATGGCTCGTTAAACCTATACATAAACCCCGGTCTCACGGGTATTCGTCCAACGAACGTTCCCTTCGGTTGACCCTCCAGAACTTCAAATTGCACTCTAGCATTATCGGCGTCACCGCCGGCGGCACAACGCGACCGGCCGACCAACGCCGACACCACTGAGCACCATATCACAACGCGCCATATCATTGTGCGCGAGGTGATCCACAGTATCACCTGGGCATTATGTTAAAAACACGTTCACTACACTGTAACTGCACTACCGTAATCCATGTTGCGAGTCAGAAGGGACGCGTGCGCGCGAACTTCGTGTATTACATGTAGATACACACTTTGACATTTACTCACTGAAAAACTAGAGGATATTATATTATTGGACGCACTATAAACGTAAAACGGCGAAACAAAACACGGCTGCGGACACGCGGAGGCGAAACACGTTCCCGACGAATGTGTGTGCGTATACTAAAGACTGGTTGGGTCGGATCGGTCGGATTCGAAGTGGAAACATTCTTTCGGTCGGCCCCCTTCTGCGCGTTCCACGCTATCCCCTCGCCTGCCGCCCACCGCCATCGCCCCACACACACGGGTATATACACACACACACCAGTTCATCCGCTGCACCGTTCCATACACACGCGGAGAGCCCGTTTACCTGTCAAGATAGCCCGCCGCCGGCCCTTGTATCTGTATGCGTGTGTATGTGTACTGTGTATACGCCGGTCGACGGCGGTGCTTAAGTATTTTACTGCCGTTCGGATACGGCCGGATTCTAGTTGAAGGTATTCAAGATGGCTGCACCCCGTTCACCACTCGCGCCCACCACCGGATTTCTTATGACGGGGATTCGCTGTGCCCGCGACGGCGCGCGCCCATTCATGCGAGTGCGTTCGCGCTTTGTCTGTTTGGTCATCTCGCACTATTTTTTTTCCCCCAAAATTGAATCAAAACACGACAAATATACACGTATAACGTAAATTGACATTACTCATTTGTCAGATTCTCAGATCTAAAAACCCATCGCTGGTTGCCGTTAACCGTTGTAAAACAATCGGGATCAAACACAATAATATACAAAAACCACACGGTTAATTAACGTCGAAATTCATCGACCGTATTTCTTCTCATACAAACGATTCCGAATCGTTTTAAAATAAACACCTGTATCTCGCCTTCTGTGGTCCTATCATTTTATTCCACTCCCTACACCTATACAATAAACGGTTATTGGTTCTACCGCCCGTTCCTGCCGACTAAACCGTCAATTATTAACGTTTTGTTTTATTTTTTTAATGTAAACACATACTCGCGTAACATAGTTTATGTGTATGTGTATGTTACATGTATAGTAAGATCCACACAAGTAAATGTAGCAGCAGGATCTTTGAAATATCACCGTCCGTTCCCAGGTGTCCATTCAAACGTTTTGATTATCGCAGCGGTATGCCACGCATTGTGTCCTAAGTACAAATCCAAAATATACTGTTGTGCGCAAATGGCATTACATTTTTTTTGTGTATTTCCTCTTTATTCTTAATTTTTTTTGGAAAATTATTTCGTCTGCCAGGTAGTTCAGTACACTGTATAAGAATTCTGAATAACTATTGAGTATTACGGCCGCTTGCGCACCGGGGGTTATGCGAACCCGTAACGACCTTAGAAAAATCCAATGCGTTTAGAGGCTTTACCCGTAACACTAATATTTTATTTTTCGACAATTTGATACACACAACGCATTATGACAACCACAAAATTACAAATAGATTCCAGATAAATGTATTACATTTACATGGAAGAATTTATTTTTTTAAACTATCATTGTAAAATTACAAGCTTAGTTCTCAGCTTCGCATCGGAGTTCCAAAATGGCATTATACCCAATACCTATACACAAATTGAATTTTTTAACGCGTGAGAAAAAAAAGAAGAATATAATAATAAATATTTTAACAAATATAAAAAAATCAATTTTAAAAATTCTATTCTAAAGATTTACAGATTTTGCCAATTAAGAATTAGTATCACGTAATTAACATATTGCATCACTTATAAATCAATAAAATACTTGTATTTCTCTCCATTAGTATTATATAACTGTATTTATTTTTTAATTCAGCGATTAGTTTTGATATTGATCAACTAAATTTGCATTGCCATTAAATTCATTTTTTTTTTTTGGAACAACATCCTAATGTTAATTTGTTCAATGGAGGTACACTATAATAAATTGTTATTTTTAATTACTTATGTTTTATTATATCGTTAAATAAACGCGACGACTTTAATTTAATTGTCGATCAATAATCGAGCAAAATGCTAAAAACCATGACTATTTACATATTACTTTTATGAGAAATTAATGTTAAAAATAAAATGCATTATTTATTATCTTTCATTACAACAAAAAACAGTGCACCGAGACATCGAGTTAATAGAAAAATGTGTGTACACTCATTGTCCGTGTAAATGTGTGTTACACATTTATCAGTTCATGCTCGTAGACCATAACTAGCGGAGTTTGAAAATTCAACGTCTAACCTTTTGTATCTCAGACCTGTTTGTTCATTTGTCCGTCTCGTGTTTAGTAGGTACTAGAGACCGGTTAAGTACTGCCGTACGCGGCGCTTTTAAGAGTTAATCGATTCAATAAATTATTGTTTTTTTTTTTTAATGGCGACAAAAAATTGCCGCGTTCCGTGCACGTTTACAAAGTTTATTCTGTTTTTTCACTAACCAAGTAGATGGATTGTAATAATTGTGCGTTATATAATGTTTAAAGTCATTCGGTTTTTTTATTTTCAAATGAAGTTAATGACACTTTGTAAAAAGGTAAGGTTAAAAAAACAATCTAATAACTTCAATATTTTATTTAGCAACTCTTATGCTATCTCGACAAAACCAATAACACTTGGGTGAACTCGTGGAAAAATAAAGGAGTTAACTGTTATAATTACATCTAAACTCCAGTGTCTTGATATATTTTATCGTGTGTAGTATATTATATACAATACGATACAGTTTTGCTATACTTATGCTGTATCACACCGGCTGATCTAGTATAATTTTGACAGAACTATCGGAACATAATAATATGTGGGCGTTATCAAATCCCTTAGGGCAATAAAAAAAACTAGAAACGACGTAGTTGAAAGAATGACCTGTACCTACTATTAGTCTTATCAAGTCCATACCTCTGTTATTCTCCTTAATTGGCTATTGTATTTTAAATATTATACGTAAAACGGTTCTAATGTTTTTTTTAAATATTTACTGATTTTTGTTGTATTATTTATTGGAGAAGAGTTGTCAAGTTTTGAAGAACACAAATTTTATTTGATGAGAAATTTTAGGTCATTGTACCTAGTATTTTTACATGCTTTTCTTTAACTCGCTATCACATACGTACGGGTATTTTTTAAATCTTGCAAAATTAATTTAACCCACTTCCCGATCGTAGAGGGCTGAAACTTGACACAGACACTCATCTCGGATGACAATACAATATCCTGTAATAATATTGAGACTCGGACATCCAGGTCGCCGTACACAGGGTCATGTATGGGGGACATTTCACTACAATTTAATGTTTTTTCAAATCTTCCAAAATGAATTTAGTAATCAATTCACAAGTGAAGAGTGAAATAAAAAAAAAGTTTTTCAGGCGAGTTTGCAACCACGAAAAAGCATTTTCATGTCTCGTTGAAGTATCGAATAAATATAGATTAGTTGTGGAATTATAATTAAAAAAAAAAAAATTACATGGAGCTTCCAGTTACAGCATAAGCCACGGAGATTAAATTATGTACAATCATGTTTCTGGCTAAAATTTTAGTGTTTATTATCTGGCCAAAAATAACTTAACATAGTTTAATATATAGAGAATTAAACTATTTTGAATTTATTATTTAGTTCTAATTTGAACGTTGAACGTACAACATATCTCTTATCTATATCTTACCCCTATCCCCTACCCACTATTTCCCGTCCCTATCACTCACCCCTATCCCCTACCCCTATCTCATATCTCATATCTCATATCAGATAACAGCGTAACACTTTTTTCGTTACGCTTTTTTGGTAACACTTTTTTTCGGTTATGCACCGGCTAATTCTCACCTCAACCCTATTCCCATTCCCACCCCCAACCTCATCATCAACCCCATTTTATTTTTGGTAACGCTTTTATGGTAACGCTTTTTGACATTTTCATGTCTTAGCTCTGGCACATAACCGAAAAAAGCGTAACGAAAAAATAAATGGGGATGAAGATGAAGTTGGGGGTGGGAATGGGAATGGGGTGGAATTAGCTGTGGTGCATAACCGAAAAAAAACGTAACGAAAAACCTATCAAAAACATGTTTTTAAAAATAGTAAAAAAGTAGTAATGACTTATGTTACCTTTATAAAAGTACCAATTAACAACTTATTAATTATATTAATATTACATATCACACATTTATTCATCTGTATTTAAATTTTGAAGCCCTATGCAGACTGTAGGAATTTATTTCTTAAAAAAAATATACTTTTTAGGTACAGGTATTATGGAAAAAAAAATAAATAAAAATATGCTTTTCTAAAAAAATAAACTAAAAAGTAAAAAATGATTTTACTACGAGTAAGCCTTATTCAACTAAGTGCCTAATAAATTTATCAGATATTGTTTTATATTGCAAGTTTTTTTGTAATTTTAATTTGGTTCAGTTTTAGTGTGTGGCGCATACATTTCATAATACTTAACTCAATGAATTTGGACTTTGTTGAATAGGGCCCACGCTTTTCTTTTTAGTAAAAAAATAAAGATGTTTAACATTATTTAAAATTATAGTTAATTTTCGGTTGTTTTTAATGTATTTGACATTTTAAATAAAATGTGCTACAATTGATTTGTAAATTGTTCTTGTAGTAAAATTATTTTTTACTTTTCAGTTCACTTTTTTACTATTTTTTAGAAAAGCATGTATTTTTTTTACCTAAAAGGTATATATATGTATATTTTTTTTTAAGAAAAAACTCCTACAGTGCATAGGGCTCTACTTCGATAGAACGCGTTTGAAATTACCATTTATTTTACTATTTGTGGTTTTTATGTCTGTATATATCACTGTCGTATGTCAATATTACTGATGTCTGATGAATTGTGCACAACACAAACAATTATTATTAATAATTTCAGAAGCTTCCTATGAAACGTCATCTCAGAAGACAAAACAACTCAATAAATAAATTATCTTTTGACACTAAAATATCTTAAGTTTTGTTTACTATAGTTCAATTTGTCTATTAGATTAAGAGGAAATTAATAACTTGGACTTCGTAGTATTTCTAATATTCCATTTCTACTGAAATATTTATGACGTACGATATTTTTTTCAGAATGTGCCTTAATTGACATAAACACTAGAACACACACAGCGAGTTCAGCCATTATTAATATGTCTCAATCGTCGAATTAGAAATGTGAGCTGAGAAAACGTAGAACTTCACGTTTTTAAACTTTACTGATGATTGTTAAAATGCCAATTCGCGAAGCGTCATCAGATAGCTGGAACGACACTACCATAGTCTTTTTTGGAATATGGTCACGTTTACTTTAAAGAAATCAATCGATTTTTAAAATTTTTTTTAATATAAGTCGTCTACGTAAAGGGTGAACAGAAACGACTGTTTATGATCGTGTATGTTTTATAACTTCCACCCAATTCCTCTTCGCATGGCCGTATTCAGGGAGGGTTTCCGTTTTACTATTTAACTTCCCTCCTTTCTTTCAACATGCTCAAACACCCTAATCAAACCTAAACTATTCCTTCTCTTCTTCAGGAATGACAAATTATTCCCCAACACTTTTTTCTATCTAAAGAGGCCCAAAAATCGATCTATAGGCTTCCCGATCCAGAAGTACCTTTAAAGAATACATAAGGTTACCTTACTTTTCCCTTTTAGCACTCCTTATATTGTAGAAATAATAATTCTATGTACGATCCCTTAGGGACAACAAAATTTTTCACGTGTATGATTTAAATAACCTTACCGAGAATCCTATTTAATTCTGTTAGAATTTCTACACGGAAGTCCAATGTGGAAAACTTTTTTAGGAACCAATCCCTCCATTCTCTGCATATAACTGGTCTTAAATAATATTTAATTTATTTACGCTGTTATACTTATATATTATGTATGTATATATATATATATATATATATATATATTTATATATATATATATATATATATATCCTCATAAATATAAAAACATGTTTTATATAATAAGTCCTAAATCCAGTTCCAATGTTATTAAACATTGCATTCCTAGAATCGGCCTGTTCCTTTAATCATCACCTACTATTCGCTCGAGTACCGTGGTTATCATGGTTACAAAGTGTTTATTTTGAGTTAGCAACGAAAAATATTTCGTATTTAATGTAGAAAATTCGTGCTTGAGGTCATCTTTAGGGGTGGAATTTTCGAAAAATACTATACCAGTTACCTTCGCGGGAGTGTACTCAACAACTTCCCAACGTTTCATGGCGATCGGATGAACGGTGTACAAATGCATAAAGGACACACACACATATATTCATTTATATTTATAAATATATATATTTATATAGAAGATTAATATTTGCATAAACCAGACTCTTAGTTATGTATCCACTGTAAAATGTAAGCTATAATTTCAACGCATTGTACTTAGTTACTAGAAAGTAATATATACAAAGCGTAAAACACAATACAATTTCAAATTTAAATGTAAACCATTTTTGTTTATTCGGAAAGTGGAATGAAAACGTACGCACTTTTAATATTCAACGACAAAGAAAATATACATTTAACACTGACATCAGAATTCGTCACAGACACGAGCCGTTTGGTATGGGTCAAATACGACGCCCGCTATAAAGTAGTTCTACCCTAACATTCTCAAAGACCGCGGTGGTCAGGTTGTCTGTGGAATATCACATACACATATCACAGTACACACACCACACTCCTCCGACAGCCTAGGCATAATATTGTGCTCTTAAACTAAAACTATATTACTGCGTAGTGTAGTGTGTACAGCCAATGTAAAACGTAACTACAATTTGCCATAACGATAATAATTAATAAACACCTGACATCTTTACACGGATTTGGCTTCTAACTTGTAATATACACATATATGTATATATATATAATGCCTAGTTTAGTTGTGAGCATTACACGAAATGAAAATATTAAAATATATGTTTCATAAATTAACAAAATTTCCGCATGGAGTTTTCTCCTAATTATCAAACCGCCCTGGGCAACGTGTGGAAAAAAGTCAGTAATTAGCGTGACATGGTCGGTCGGCTATGTAAAATAAGAAACAAGTACAACAATAATGGAAGACAGAAATAAATCGGTTACACAAAATACCAGTCCAAACTGAGCACATACGCACAGCAATGAAAAACGATAAGAAGTTACTTATGTTAACATAATATTATCGTTGATTGATAGTCGAACGTGAATCGTGGACCGAATAACACTGTCATCCCCAGATATGCATATGCTCTCCGACTCTTAACAAACCATGTTTTATTTAATTTGTGAATTTTACTAAAGTATTATTTATTGACAAAATTTATTTTGTTCTACCACGCGGTAAGCAATATATTCACAAGAAATACAAATAGCATGGATTTGTATACCGCGTGCACATTGAATCACCCCAAGGTTACCGATTTACTGAGGTAATTATTACAATGTTATTTATCGTCAAGTTATTTGCTTCTTGTACATTTTTAATTTAACATTTTTTATTGCATATCATTTTTGTTACTGTTAAAAAGTTTACAGCGAATTACTTCGCTGAGTTTTATAGTTTTTAACAACTAATATATTAATCAAAATGCACCTAAGTATGAAGTCTGAACTTTAATATTCTACGGTCGTGTAAAATCTCGATATAATTATTTGATTTTACCTTTCGGTGTATAAAAAAAACACCGTACCATGATTTACTTTCGAATGACAGTTTTTCTTTAATAATAGTACTATAAACGTATTTCAGGACAGATGTTTACGTTAGGTAGATATTGTATAGGTAGGTAGGTAGTTAGGTACCCACAGCACGATCGTTGTTATTCATTTCACCTCGTTATTCTTATAAAAAAAATGTTTTAAATAAAGCGATATTATCCTTAAATAATACTTCGATAATACTTATTAAAAATTATTATTTGTACACAAGTTGCAAGTAAACATTTACATTTTTATTATTTCAGAATAATTAAGTTGCTATTTAAGGTTTTACAATAATGCGTGTAATTTTATTGTGTATTATATATATTTAATTGCGATTTATTTTAATGTTAAATTCGATGGCGCTCAGGAAAAACTGGCTGTCTAATATTTGGAATTTTCATTATTTAAAAATTAAAACTTTAACGCAAATAAGAAATAAGATAATGTCCTATTTTTCACAAACGTATAACGACTGATAAAATCGTTGTTTGACTTAGATCGTTTTACCCACAAAACCGTATCATTTTTCTGAATCTATGTATGACATAAACTCATTTTCGCAAATTTTAAACTTAGCTATTTTTCCCGAGCACCATCGAATATAACACGTTAATCTCAATATCACGCTAAACCGTAATGGGAAAAAAATTTTAATTTATCCTATAGAAATGACTGTGATAGTCTGAAAAAAATGGCAATTACTAATGTATCCTTATTACTGTATTAATAAGTATATACTATAGTTCAAGCTCTAAATTAAGTTGTTGTAAAAAATTGTCTATACATTGACTCCTTAAAAATGGATGGAGTGGCGTCCTCTTAATAGATAAAAATATCCAAATTTGTATTTTCCTATTGTTAACATAAACAGCTAAAAAACAATTAGAATAGTACAAAAGAATAATATGGAATGGCATTTAAATAATAAAAAAAACATACATAGGTAAACTTCAAACATCCACCTAAACTGCCTTTCCACTAACATAGAGAATGACTACTTTCGCAACGATCCCACCCCCGCAACTTTCACCGATTAAACGCTACTGCAATACTCAAAGCTCAACAGTTTTAAACCTATCATTAAAGTATATTTTTACCGTAACTCAGTGTCATTAAAACTATTTTAAATAAGCAACGGTTCTTAAATATATTTATTAAATGTTATTTACAATTGATATTCAGTGATAGCTTAACAAAGTAACAACTAACATCATGTATATGTAATATGTATACATACATATATACATACAGTATGATGAATTTAACGTATGACACTCATTTTCTTGTAGAATATTTGGTCATTATTTTTTTTTTAACATTTTTGTTTATCTTATTTTACAATATTATAAAATTACTAAATATTTATCTTTTTTAGTATTTTTCACAGTTCTATCAATATTATAAAACTTACATGTCAACGTATGTATTTAATTTAGTTGATAAATTAAGAGTAATGTGCTGATCATTTTAACTTTCCGACTAATTTTGAATAATTATGCTTAATGTTATTAAAGTTAAACATTTAGGACGGGAGGAAGGATGGAGTTTAGTGTAATTTTTATCTACCTTCATTACTCACTACATTCCACCTACCACCCTAAATTTTAAACTTTTATAACTTAAAAGTTACTATCAAAAATTGATTAGTGACCAGTAAAAATGTTCAGCAAATTATTCTTAATTTATAAAGTAAAATAAGTTACCATTACCATTTTAAAAGCTTATAAAGCTCTGAAAAAAAACATTCAAATTTAAATATTGTCTAAGGTTGTAAAATGATATGATCTAAAATCTCTAAAAACTAAAACTACCAAATTGTAATTATTTTAAGAGAAAATAATTAGCTTGCGTTAAATTGATCAACCTGTGTATTTTTACTCTTGGGTGTAAACTAGCGATGTACATAAAACATCAAGAAATAAACAATCTTTAAAACGAACAAAAAAATGTATTTATAGATCCTCAGTTATTGAATTATTGAGGAAAATGTAATAGTGAATTTATCCAAAAGAGGATATTATAATTTACAGATGTGTGCATATAGCAGCACATACATCGTATATTATTGTTTGAACATCAAATGACATTGAGCTGTCAGACCATTTTAAGTAACAGAACTCGATAAAGTCAATAATAAACATAATATAAAATACATATTTTTTTAAAAAAACATTTTATGTTCATTATAAAAATTATATTCATACTTAATTTTTACTGAAAAACTAATTTATTTTGTCATCTACAACGTACCTAACCAATAATTTAAATACTGATTAACGACAAAAATTACACTATTTATGATTATAATATGGTAGTAACATTGAATGTTAAACTCTAAAGTAGATACCTTGTACAAGATTAAGATTTTAATAATATGCTATTTAAGACATTTCGAGATAAAAATATAATATAACTGTACATATTTTTACTAATAATTGAGATACTCAATATTGTATCGATAATAAAAAAAATAGACAAAACTAAACGAGTAGGGTATTAGATTGACAGTACAAAGTACTTTATACAAATAGCTAGCTTTTGCGCAAGGGCCCGGATATTGTTCTTAAAAAGTTCCTATCCGGTATTTGTTCCGGAACAAATAAATGTATTTGTTCCTATCCGACATCTGTTCCGGAACAATGAATCTATTTGTTCCTATCCGATATTAGTTCCGGAACAAATGAACCTATTCGTTCCTATCCGATATTTGTTCCGGAACAAATAAACTATTTTTTGTGACAAACAAACTTATTTGTTGTTTTTCAACTTTTGTTCGAAAACTAATGAAACTTGGATATTTATAGGTAGGTGTTTTTTTATATCGTTTAAAAGAAAAAGACATAATATAGTTATAATATGATAAAAACATAACAATAACATTATACATATAATAATTAATATTGGGAATAATTCAAATACTATACACTTAAAAATGTATATTTTATTTACTTTTAATTTTTATAACTTCTCTTAGTCTTATAAGTATAATATGCTTCTTATTATTATTTTTTAGAGATTCTCGTCTATCAAAACAAGGATTTCATCCTTAGTGATGGACGAAGCAGTGCAATATCAATATATGTAATCCATTCTTGTAAACGTCAATACTGCTAAATAAATTATCTATTATTATTATTATTATTATTATCTAAATTTATTTCTTCCATTATTCATACATTTATGAATACCTAATAGATCTAAAGTCATAATTAATAGGAAAAAGTAGGCAATGTAGTTATTTAAAATAAATTTTAATTTTTTTTTGCATAATATTCGTTACGATTTACGATGAATGTATTTTAATTATATTAAATTTAATCTATTTGAAAAGGAACCGCCACCCTCTCTCCGGCGACGGACTGACGACCCGTCCCGGACAGCAAATCCGTCTATAAACCAATAACCATCATCTCATGATGGCAGCGTTGGGCCTTTACGGGCCGTTAAGCTTGATGATGATGATGATGAAATTTAAATTTTTCATTTAAGTCTTTTTTATTTTTACACGAAATTTTAAAAAAGACCTATCTCTTCATATATCAGAGTTTTATTAGTTTGGGAACAAAATTTAAAACAAAAATAGGTTTGTTTGTTTCAGAAAAAAACTTTATTTGTTCCGGAACAAATAAACTGTTTAAATATCGGATAGAAACGAATAGGTTCATTTGTTGCGGAACAAATAGTACCATTTGTACCGGAGCTAATACCGGATAGGAACTAATAGATTCATTGTTCCGGAACAGATGTCAAATAGGAACACATAAGTTTATTTGTTCCGAAGACCGGAACAAATAAAAGAATAAACAAATTTTACTTCGGAACAAATGATTAAGTTCTGGAACAATTTCAGGAACTTAATCCGGACCCTTGCTTATGATACCTGTGAAAAACTATAGTCAATAAATATTCAAGAAATCAATGTATTAGTAACTATTATTATTTATAATATATTTAAGGCCTCTTTTTTCCTGAAAAAGTATCAACGACTAAGAACTTTCTATTTAATTTACAATAAATGTAATCGGCACACTTGCATATGTACCTATTATCTAGTCAAACCAAGTTAATTATTTTGCGATAAGCATACAGATATTAAACGATAGTCTGAAATCAATTTTTAAATTTATCCTTTCTACAAAGAATAAAAAGCTTGTTCAATTTTACCATTTTTAGTTATTTGTTTTATTAAAATCGATTGAAAAGAAAACACAAAAGTCGCATTTATTAAATAGTAATAATATTATTACACTATTGCGAAATCAATTAACATTAAAAACTTAACTATGATCTATGTAATAATTAATAACAATTTTATTTGAATATTATTCATCAGTGATAACTTGAACACAGCCAATAACAAGGGATGGACATACCTAATGTACGCGTGTTATTATGGAAATGAAGCGCTTGTCAATCGTATAGTGGACACAGATTCAACAACTTTATTTGCAATTAACAAAGACAAACAAACACCATTGATGATAGCGATTATGTCCGGAAATGTATCTATCGTAGAGAAAACATTCCACGTGAGTTGATTGAATCAAACGTTTTGTCCGACTAATTTCAATATTCAGTTGGAAATGGTCAACAATAAGGAGTAAATTTATTAGTCTTTTATAAATTAACCGCATATTTTTTTTTTACTAACATATAGTGTATTTCAAATTGTTTTATATGTATTTAAATAATGACCATTATGATATAATTCAACGTTGAATAATGTATACATTTTAAGGAGGAATTAACTTTTTGTCTCCCTGATATGATTTTTATAAATCAAAGTACTAGTAAAAAGTACCTGTGTCTTCGCACAAACATAAAAAAAAAATAATTTAAATCGTTGTAAAACTACATATTAAGCATAATTAGGTACATTATAATGTACAAACATAACATTGATTAGATAAAAAACGATATTTGTATTTTGTTATACTATACATAATATATTAGAAAAAGTTTTCGCTTTCGTCTTACAGAATAACAAATTTGTTTTAAAAAAACTTTAATTTTATGCAATTCCTTATAATAAACTATTCCCATTAATGAATAAATAACTTTCTTTTTGTAGGGATTTTTAACTTGCTGCTGTTAGGTATATAATTTAATTTTAAAGACCCCTATACAATCTCCTTAATTTTGAATGAATAGGCAGCCTAACTTACACTATTTACATTTTAATGATTGTAATGATTCCCTAATAACATTAACATAAACTTAAATATATACTAGCATATGGTTTTTAATAAAATTATAAATTAATTACAGTTTTATTGAAATTATCAAGTGCTAATTTAATAAAATAATATTTTTCTCTTTCGATTTAGACACTATGTAATTCACTAATAAATATGCTATATTAATCGTAATTATATAAACTCTAGTGTATACTTATTATTCAGTAATCGGGATACTTTATTGGTTAGTATTTTATGTGTGAAGCTATCACTGCGATGGCCTGACCCACTTGTACACATTTTCAAGGCTAAAAATTAATTTGTACTTTTTATAATAATAGTTTTGTTTGTTGTAATTTTTTTAGAATGACATAATGGAGGTACCTGATAAGTTGGGTAGAACAGCAATGTTTTATGCAGTGTTGTACAACCAAGAAGACATTTTGGAGTTCTTTATCGAAAAAGGAGCTAATTCTGACGTCATGTTGGTATATATTACAATTTTAAAGTATCAACTGTAACATGTACATTGTACATGTAATAAATCTTTGAATATTTATATTTAGTATTGGTTAATAGCTATATCACCTATATCTTAAAATCGTTTTATTGTTTTTAGTGATAAATTTGGGAAAACTATGACGATGACTGCCATTTCTAAAGGGTTTCGGAGAGTAATGAAATTGCTTTCGGGATATTGTAATAAACGAGGGAATGATATCAAGATAGAAAACACGTGGGAAGACCACCATGAATTTTCCAATTTTGACAAAGAAAACGACAATGAGCGTTTAGGTGAATGGATTTAAGTTTTAAAATATTGTATAAGTTAAAAACTACTGTGTGATCAGGGGCCTATTATTAGGACAGAATACTGCACGCTAGTGTAGAATTTCCGTGCAGAAAAAATACAGATTACTATGTGTTATTATGTTTCCGCCTAAATATTCCGCAAGTGTAACAGGGGCCTACCTAACATGCGCTGTATTTCGATTCATGCATGGTCTCCATATAGTTAAAAGACGACGCCACACCGTCCATTAATATCCACCGTCGATAATAATTGTTATATGAATGGATCCTAACGTACGGAAACGTTCTGTACGATTTTATAATAAGCAGCCCCCTTCCCAGAAAGCTATACCCTTTTCACATTTGTATAAATAACTTATATACAGTTTGACGTATTTTGGCAGTGATGTTTATTATTAGCATTGAGTATTTTATAACTTGTATGTATAATTATTAGTGCCTATGATTTTAAACGTGTAATTTAAATACACGTGTATTTAAAAAAATTAATTTTTGTCATAAATTTCAGTTTGAGTTATTATCGTATTTCCACAATTATACTTGTGTTTGAGTTCGTATAATTAAATACACGTGATATTAAAATCAAAACTAAAATTAATAACAAAAATACATTTTTTTAAATACACGTGTAATAGGAACCTCTAATAATTATTAATTATACATACTAGGTATTATATTATAATGTATTGTATTTATAATTAATGATATTAGTTTTTTTTATGGATCATTTGAAAATTGATAAAACAACTTTATAACATGTCAAAAACTCCTTTATTATTATTTTTTGAATACCAATTATAAGTTCTTGGTTCCATCACTTCGTATCACTGTTTCCCCATCTATTACAACGTATAATACATTAATAACATTAATATGTATTAATATATAATGATATAAATATTTGTGTAAATAACCTAGAAAAAATAAAACAATGCATGTAATTAGTAATGTTTGATAAAAAAACCATTAATATTTATAAATACTTAGATTACCAACTAGAGAAGCTATTACGACAATTATCATTGGAAAAATACTGGCCTATGTTTGACGAACTAAGTATTGGTTATGAAGATTTTTTGAAATTAACCGAAGAAGACTTAAAAAATATTGGCATTACGTGAGTGTTTTTTATTAATTAACCCATCATTGGTTTACAGTGGCGGTCAAATGATCTTGTCATGGGAGGGGGGGATGTGGCTATTTTTTTAACATGCATTATTTAGTCATAACAAACTGTATTTATAAACATAATATTCACATATTATTTTTATTATATTATTAAATCTATTTGTTTTTTTATTTTTGCCAATTCGTTCAGTACTTCGTTTGAGGTTATATTGATAACCCCACGATGAACAGCCATGAGACAGTCTGACAGTTTGACTCATTATCATCCACTGAGTGTTTAGAAGTAGAGCAACTTGCAGCAAAACAGCTAGTTATTTTACTTTTACTAGACATAATAAAATGGACAATACTACAGTCTACAGTAGATTATTATTATTACAATGATTTTTTTTATTACAATAACTGGATAATATTCCTTGGATAAAAAAACAAATTTTGGCGTTTCATCCAGTGACCACCAGCAAATCTGCGCGGCTGATAAGCTAAGAACATACCTTGTTAATTATATCATGGTAGTACGTATACGTATCGGCCAATGCACGGGGCTTGTGAGGAGGGTGTATTATCGAATATCTACTCTCGATTACAGAGCGAGGTAATTCCCGTATATTTTGTATAGACAACTAAATATAAATAATAATAATAGACTAATTCCTAGATTGAGTCTAGATAATAATATACTATATATACACAGTAACACAGTGTATAAGAATACACTGAAAAAAATTGAATACATTATATAATATAAATCGTTATAAATATTGAAAAAAGGTCTTGGGGGGATCTACCCCCCCCCCCCCGATTTGACCGCCACTGTCTTAACATGTATTAAAACTCATTATGAAGTAAAGATTTTTTAGGATTGTTATACATATAATACTGATCAAATCAAAATTTAAAACAAACCTTTCTATTAAAAGGTTCTTTTATATAAGAAAAACACATGTTTTCACTAGATATTTTCAGACAATATACATAATATTTTATTAAAAAAATGTATACAAATATAAAAAAAATATTCTTTTTATCTTATTAGACATGTTTTCTTAACATATACTACGTATTACCTACTTTAATATCCTTATTTTTTTAGCTTATTCGGTCCAAGAAGAAAATTAATTATGACTATTAATAAATTAAATGAATTGAGATCTTCAGAAGAACACACAAGAAGTTAACTTAATTATTTTATTTTATAACATTTTATAGGTAATAATAATATATTTTTGTGATTTTTTTTTACTACAATTTATTTTTTACAATTTTACTTATGTTAGAAAATGTGTTGAAACTTGAACTATTAATTTTTTTTTTGTCGAAATAACCTAATTTTATATTCAGAGACGTAAAACATATTTTATAACTATTTTATTTATTAAAGAATACATGTATGATTAAATTTAATTAAAACTTATTTAAAATTTTGTCTTTTTAGAAAAATATTATATTATATAAACTGGATATTATACTAACGTCGCTTCATAAAGACAACACAGACTGACAAAATGATAGTTCTGGTTTGTTTTCAGTTTTATTAGTGCTTTTATGAATGCTATTTCTGCCACCAGACGACTAAACTTAGCCCCCGTAATTCTATTTTCAGTCGCAACGCCATATTAAATAGAAAAAGTTGGTTAAAAAATTATATAAACCATAACTATAATAATTTTTAAAGAAATTACACACCCTATATATACATACATAAATACATATACATATATTTGGAAGTGGATTAACTATTATTATTGAAATTAAATTGTCTGAATAATAGCACTTTATATAATTTTCTTATTATAATATTAATTAGGTGCACTATTTAAAATAATAAATACAAAAGTATTATAAAAATAATTCACAATGTTGTGATGTATATTTTAAAACTAATACAAAGGTTATAAATTATTTAAAACCTATAATTAAAAAAGCACTTTGTAGTAAATAACTAATACAAATTAAATTAGTGTAAAATAAAACTTAACTAAAATAAGTTGATATATAAATAATTTGTTGATTAATAATACAACACAAATTAGAAATGTAATAAATTGTAATTAATGTAGGTGGGTTTGTATTTTATTCCTAAAATTAGTTTTGAAATTTTATCATATTGTATGTTATTATTTATATAAAATAACTATATTTTTACTTGTTAAATTTTAGTTACTAAAATAAATGGCATTAGTGACATGCTTTCAGTGAAAAACTTAATCAAAACAAAAAGATGGACAAATATTAAGCCATTGGTTAATTAATGGTTGTCTTCAAGTTTTCGCCATACAACCTATAAAATAAAATAAATTATTATCTTGTTTTTTTTTTTTTTTTTTTTTTTTTAATGCAAAATTGCAAAATTACATTGCACATTTCTCTCAATAATGCTTTTTCTTCATCTTCCATGTCAACCCTATTATTGCTATCTTCTCCCTTACTCTCTAACTGTTCACGTAGTTCTAAAACTTGCAATGCTGTCATGACTGATTCTGGATGTGTCAACTTCTAAAAATAATTACATACTTCATAAAGGTGTGTTAAATTATTTTTGAGAGATTTAAATAGTGGAGCAAAAATATACACACTACAACTACAGCATTTTTTATAGTTCAGTTGTTAAAAATTAGTATTTTTAAAATTTTTATTGAAATTATGAAAAGGACGCCACTCAGCCCATATCTAAGGAGTAAAGTATAGGCAATTTTACATCATCATCAAGCTTAACGGGTCTTTAAGGTCCAGCACTGCCATCATGAGATGATGGTTTCTAGATGGATTCGCTGTCCGCGACAGGTCATCAGTCCGTCGCCGGAGAGGGGGATGGTGGTTCCTATTCATGGGACGATTGCTCGCCTGGCAAACAGAGCGCCCATAACCGAGTGTCGAACTGGCGACAGTGAGCGCTAACACACTGCTGCCTTACCCATTCGGCCACTCCTCCTTCAATGGCAATTTTACAAAAAATCTTAATTTAGAACTTCAACAGTAGGATATACTTATTACATACAGTAGAGGATACTTCATTGATAGCCATTTTTTTTGTCTGACTCACTTTCTATAGGATAAATTACAATTTATTTAATTTTTCATATCAAAACTGCTTTGCGTGGGACAAGTATGTGAGGGCAGTATTAACAGCAGATTTATGAAATTTTCACAATGTATAGAAAAAAACTTAATCTATGAGGTAGCGTTTTAATTTTTTTGATATCTATACTAGATTTTTTTTATAAACAAATAAAAAAAGGAAAAAAAATCTTTACAAATGAATAATTTTTACTGTGCTCAAAATAAAACTAAAAATGTTACACCGTAAATAAAGTTTTTCTCTATCTATAGTAAAAATTTTAAAATATATCTTCCCATATGTTAATCAAATGGAAAAGACAAAATAGTTATAGTCACCTATAAATATCTAATCAAGTTTAAATTTTGGTATTTTCTTACTTTTAATCTAAATTAAGGATTTTTCAGGTAAAACAAAAAGAAAAATGTATTTTTTGGGTCGGTCTTATTTGGAATTTGGTCTAATGTGTGTGTATATGTAGATATATATACATATATTTTATTTATCTTTTGTCAAATGCAGGGTACTTTTCATGGGTAAGTTATATACATATTGACTCGTAGTTCACAATCAAAAATTTGCTAAGATTACTGTAGAACCAAATTGCAAATTTTGGAAATTATAAGCTGAGTTTGTATTCCTTGCTTAATTTTGACTAATTTGATGAGAAATTTATAAATAACTGACCACAGATTTTTTACTGTCTACATGGTTTTTCAAAGTAAATGTGATAAGCTCCACTTAGTTGTCTCATAGCCTATTACCTAATTCAGATATTAATACAGTTATATATATATTTATATACAGGGTAAACCACTTATCGTGGTGAACCACTCAATATCTCATAGGGTTTAATAAGAAATTAAAATGTTTTTCTTCATATTGTTGTTATAAAATGTGATCTTAATTTTTCACAATTTTTTTTTGTTTTTACCTTCCCTCCTAACTTAGTTTTTTTGATAGCAACTTTTGAAACATTAATGGTAACATATTTTAGTAACTTTTTCAATTGAGAATTATGTACTAAAAATGTTGACTGGTCACTAACCAGTTTCGGATAACTATTTTTAAAGTTATAAGAGTTTTAAAGTTAGGATGGGAGGGGAAGTGCGGTTGGGAAAGGCGCGCATATAAAAATAATACTCCACCTTTCCTCCTGCCCTAAACTTGAAACTTCAATATCTTAAAAACTAGTTATCCAAAACTGGTCATCGACCAGTCAAAATTTTCAATACATTATTCTCAACTTAAAAAGTCAATAAAATATATAGGTTACCATTTAAGTTTCAAAAGTTGCTATTAAAAAAACTAAGTTGGGAGGGGGGGTAGGTAAAAACAAAAAAAATTGTGAAAAATTAAGATCAACATTGTATAAAAAAAATATGAAAAAAAAAATTGTAATTTCTTATTAAATCCTATGAGATATTGAGTGTATATATATATATATATATATATATATATATGTATTAACATATGAATTAGGTAATAGGCTATAAAACAACTAAGTGGAGCTAATAAAGTGTGAAAAAATTGCAATTATTTAAATACTCACTGGAAATAAACCTTCAACATTCCAATTGATAATTTGTTTATCATTAATTTTTTCGTCTTCATTCAATTTCTTAAAATTTTTATTTTTTTCATCTTCTAGTTCTTTAACCTTAGCCTCTAACTGCCTTATATAATTTATTGACCTCTGATCTGGAAGTACATTTTGATCTAAAATCCAGTAGTTAGTCAATAAGAGACATTTTTAATATTATTTTCATTGTAACTACCATTTGATTGATGTAATTGCCTGTGGAAAGGAAGCTGATTTGCAGTCATCAAATTTTCATCTGCATTTGTCGAAGAGCTACTACCATCTCCCTCATCTCTTCTATGTAATTCTTCTGTTAAGTTTGTAGTAACAGTAGAATTACCACATATTCGACATACAGAATTATCCCTTAATCTGTTTGGACCACAACGCTCTTCATCTAGGTAAAGGCATAATTCCTAAAAAAAATACTAGTTATGTTATTAAGTTATTAATATAATATTCAGTAAAACATGCTGTAACTATTTTTAATAAAACCTTAAGCTCCATATTGTCTTCTATTAAATGTTGTTGTTTTGCTTCAAGATGTCTAAGTTTGACCTGATATGCAGCAACTTCCTGTCTCATTACAGATGCAGTGTACCGTCCAAAACGTTGCCATTCTCTTGCAAGTTTGCGTCCCTTTTGCCGATCATCATCCAAAAAACAACATAAATCTCGCAGTTCTTGATTTTCATCATTTAATCGTTGATTCATATCTTTCAAACTATTTATTTCAGACATTAACTGGCCAATCTGAAGTAAATTAGTAAATTAAAAGAAGAACTCGTATTAAAAATATTAATTGGGATAATGGGATGTTGGGATGTTGGATAGTAATCCAATAGACTATTACCTGTTCTGGAGATACTTTGCTTGAATTATCAGAATCAATTTTACGAACAAACTTCAACATGCCCGATACTTGTTCTTCTGGTAATGTCCTATATCTATGGTTATCAGAAGTATTAACATAAGGCTTTTCACCTTGTTGTCTTCTAGAAATATTCACAAAAAAATATTTTTCCCGAATTTGAAATTTAATTAAATTTAGTATTGCTATAAAATATAAATTACCTGTGGTCAGTGCTGGCCTCCAAGTAATTGTTCAGTTGGACATTATACTGACAATTAGGACTTGGCGGTGGTTGATACTTTGGCGGTATTACAACATTTAATTTTTGGCTTACTGCAGTATTTTGGCTGTTATAATTTTTAGGCAGTCCACTGACACAAGACATGTTAAAACATCTATGGACGATTGGGCATGTTAGACTACATAAATAATGTGAACTATATTATAATTCAACAACCTGTAATACAATATTCAATTTTAATAATATACATTTATAATAATACAAATTTACAATAATACACATTTATAACTAATACAATTGTGCCGGTCTGAGTGCGCCAGGCACTCTTAAATTTTACCCAAGCCTTGTTGACTTGCTCAATTTTCATCACTTAAATTTTATTATATGTCGGTACATTACCGGGCGTTTTTGGAGCGCCTATATTCCTAATTGGGTTCCGAACAGTCTATCTGTCAGTATCTGTTGTCTCCACCCTCATCATACAGCTTTACGCTCAGCCTGTGATATTGGTATGGGTAAATTTATGATAAACCGTCCAGTGATAGACACAGCATTATTAATTTAAAAACGCTTTTTCAGTTTACTAATTTATGTTGGTAGTTAGTCTCTAAACTAGTTTAGTTTTATGAAATACTGTATAATATTATACAAAGTGTTTTGTGAATAATATTACACAACTATTTATATGTAAGCCGAAAATTTTAAACATTGTTTTATTGACAAATTTTAATATTATTATTATTTTACCTATTTAACTCTTTTATTTATATTAGTAATTTGTTAACAGAAATTAAGAATCAACATGGTCATGTTTTTGAAACCCTAATCCCTCCTAAAATTAAATTTATATTTTTTCTTCAAAAAAGTAGTTAAATTTAAATTGATAATTGGAAAAATTAAAAGAGAAAAGGGTTGAAAGTAGAAATTTGTGAATAACTAAAGTTTGATTGATAAGGATTAAAGAAGTATAGTTTGTACATACAACAAAAATTATTGGCTCTCCTCGTGGGAAATTTCCTGGCATGTCCATGAGAAAATTATCAAAGGAACTTGTTATGCTGAAATACTTAATCAATTTAACTCAATTTATTATTTATATTCTCTATAAAGAGTTTTAAAGTTAAATTTTGAAAAAGTTAAGTTAAATTTTGAAAAAGTTAAGTTAAATTTTTTATTTTAGAACAATTTGTGATGTAATAAAGAAGTTTTTTCAAATCACTTAATAATTTAGTTTAAATTATACAATATATGTATATATTTAAATTCCCAAGTTATTTTTGTAGGTATTAGTAATTCGCTAAAGGAGACAAAAATAAAAAGTAGGCTATCGTCAGGTAAATTGGCTTATTAACACACTTAATTCCTATCTAGCAAATAAAACAACTTACGCGGTCAGAGGATTTTTTGTTAAACGGTGTTAAATTCTATTCATTCATCATTAGTGCAGTACTTCAATTTTCTTCAGTTCCAACGTATGCAAAATACAAATCCTGGTTTCTAGCAAAAGGGAAAGCCAAATCGAGAAAAATGTCTAACCGTATAAGTAGGAACGTAGTATTGTAGTAACTGGACATGAAAAAATAATAAGTAGGCAAAACTCTAAAAGTGATATCTGATACGAGTAGCAACCTGTTTAATAACAATTACAGTCTATGTGTATAGAACATGGCCATGTACCATGTCCGTAGGTATTTCGTGTTAACCACTACTTTCCAGTAACCACTACCCATCCAACTGCATCATGGCTACTGGTAACCTGTTGCGTTGTAAACAGTTGAAAAAACTCCCGATTTCTGGTAACTGTGGTATCACGGGTCTCCGTTATGATTTTCTAAAGTTAAAACGATTTTAAAAACATTCTAGGTATATTCTATTAATATTTAATTTGTTAATTCGAATTATATGGACTGTAATTATTAATAGTTATTACTTACTAGTAATAACTTTTAACTATATGACACGACAGTGGACAGTAGGGAGTTGTGGTTCTGATTTCTGTCTGCTATTGGTATTACATAATTGCTAAAGCCAAACTAGAAATTAGCTAAAATACTTAGTATATTTTGCCAATAATCATGTACACTAGTGTTGATGCTGATGGCCCCCCATTATGATATTCGAAAAAGAAAATACTTTATCTACGCTGGGGAGGTTATCTACAAATTTTCCCTTCTATTTATCGCTGTCTAGGACCTATAGGTGCCCGGCCCACAATTGTAATTCTGCGTACCATGGTACCATAGATTAAATATACATATTAATATACACGTATATTTAATCTATGATGGTACAGACTACAGCCGTTGGTTTTGAAATGCGTTCCCTTTTATGCAGCCATTTTATTTGTTTGTTTGTGATAAGATATCGAGGTGGGGGTATAATTTTATCTGCATATTTTAATATTTTAGTACTTACAAGTTACAAATTATGTATCCTGTTAATTATTTAGATTTTACCCATGGTAGGTACGTGCCACATCATGGTACGCGCTAAATTACCTATATCTCATTACTCACTAGATCTCTTTGCGAATTACTGATGGCTTGTCAATTGTCATCATTTTCAACATAACTCGCTATCACCCATCTTCACTACTTGTAGAAACTAGAAAACATGTGTGGGTGTTATTAGCTTAATTCCTAAATATATAAAAAGAAAATTGTTATTACTTTTCAATCATTTTATAGTCATTAATGATTAAATACATATTGTGTGGAACCAAATTTAGTAGTTGTCTTTTTATGTAGTGAATTTTTCAAGTCAAACAGATTTTTAAATTGGTAATAAACAAAAAGATGCCTTCAATTATAATACTAACGATTTTTGTTTTGGTATTTACCATACCATTTGCTTTAAATCAGTTAAGAAAATATCTCGACGAATTTGGATTTGATAATACGCAACCATTAAATCTGGGTAAGCCATATGTTAAGAGTTATGACTTATGATTTATATTTTATATCAAGAATAAGTTACTTTTTAAAAATGAATTAATTAACGTATTTTATATAAACATATGATTCATTATTACATAATAAAATTATTGTTAACAGATACAATGAAAGAGCTTATAAACATAATTATTGAAACTAAAATTTGCTCAAAGTATGAAAAACCGGTTCCTCCACCAACTGTGGAAATTCATTCAAGTAAAGGTTTGCAGTTCGTATTGCTTCTAAAAATGGACTTATAAATATATATGTGTGTTTATTGTTTTTACAGTAATCTATGCTATTTTGTCTTGTTTGTTTTGTGCTGTAGTTGGTTATATACTCGGTAAGTTTATCAGACAAATTTTGAAAATTAAATTGTTAAAGATATATGTAGGATACTGTATATGTATATCCTTCACTCCCATTTAGTCCTAATTATCTCCTCTGTTATATTTTTTTTCCTGAGCACTGGTTGCACCATTTAATTAATTTTTTAATTTGTAAATACATGTTTTTTGCTATTATTTTATGTATTTATTATCTTCATTTTTTTGGTTAACTTTGTTATTATATGAGCCGCCAGCCGGCAAAAATGAAAGTGACATAAGTCACATCTAAGTTATTTTGAGAAATAGAAGGTTTATAGTTTGTATTTCCATAACTTAGTATTAACTATCAAAATTTTAAGCGGCGCTCTCTCGCAAACAAAGGCTCAACTTATTCCATTGACTAAATAACTCTTTTAGAGTATACTAATATGCCCTAGCGATATTGCAAATTTTTTAAAAATTTGACTTACGTCACTTTCATTCTCAGTGGATCATATGTAATTGTTCAGCCGACATATTGTTTATAAAAATATAAACATATATACGGAATTAATGTTGTTTTATTTTATTTTGTAGGAATTGAAAAACGGCATAAACTTGTTTGCTCTATCAAACGGAATATCTTCAAAAGAAATGGTGTTTTACATGTTAATAACTTTGGTATGTTTAACTTTTTATTACCAAATTTTTGGTAGAATCATAGTACCTGTCTAGAAATTGTAGGGTACACACATTTCTTTTAGGGGGTCAAACCTTATTATTCTGAAGTAGATTATTTGTTTGGTGCAGTGGACAGTCGTTTCCCAGTTGCTTTAGTCGGGTGTCCTATTCTTTTTCCTGACGATTATTCGCCCAGCAAGAGAAACAACAAGCAACTGAAATTTGAACTAGTTTTTTTTTTATCATCCGGATTTTCAGATTCTCATCAGTTCTACAGACAAAATATGCTTAGTCAATTTTAAATAAATATAATTTATAATGATCAAAAAAATAAAGTGTTAGGCTCTCTGAAAAATGGTTTTGTGGGGAACAAGAATGTGAGGGTAGTATTTGCAGTAACCGTATAAAATATTTACAATGAATAGAGAAGAACTTTATTGTGAGAAGAATAATTTGAGCTGTAGTCTACTGAAGCTCGTGGCTGTTTTTGTATTAAAAAAACTATTAATAATAAATTATCTTAAATATAATACTATATAATAGTTAAAAAAATGTTACAGATAATGAACCATCTATTTGTTCTGTTTGTCTGGATGTATTTAAACCACGAATGGTATTATTACCTTGCAAACATTTATGTATATGTGCCAACTGTTGGGAACAATTTCATTATGAGAGTGAACTTATTTGTCCTATTTGTCGTGAATACATTGAAGACGTGTTAGATGTGTATCCAACATAATTTGAATTAATTTTTTTATCTTCTAAATATATAAACGAAAAAAATTAAAACTATTTGTGCCATTTATATGTTCTTAACGTAAAAGTAAAAATGATGTATCTCATTATCTTCTAAGGTTAAAATATTGTAATTTAGACTTTTGATTATTCTTACTTGATACAAATATAATGTAAATAATGAAAATTGACTGAAGTTTTTGAATGTTAAGTAAGTAATGTATAATTTTATAGAGCAATAATTGTACTAATTAATACTGATTTTTTATATTTATGGTTTTTATAACTACACTTAAATAAATAAGGCTTGTATTTTAAATATTTTACTGTAATTTATCAATGAAATTAAGTAAAGAAATAAAATAATGAAATATTTAAAAAAAACCTTAGTCGCGATTTATCAGTCGTTGTGCATGGTTGTTCATTCTTTATTGTGTGTGCACAATAAGTTTTTCCCAGCTATTTTTAGCTTACCTTGTTCTTCACTCTTTCTTGTTTTAATTAAAAAGATTTCATTTACCATTTTAATTAGTGTTTCTCAACACTAGTTGGCCCTTTGGGCCTAGATTATGTCAAGATCCAATTTGGGGGAGGGCAACTGTTTTACCCCCCTTCGCCGGGCTTCAAACATGTCTACTTCTTCTGACCTCCAACGTTCACCCGCGCGTAATCCATCGACTAACGATAAGAAAACAAATTCTATTGCTCCGAAATCTCCTGTTGGTCATCAACATAAAAAACCCAAAACTTCAAGCAGATCCGTCAACTCTATTTCTCAATCTGAGATGTTAATTGATTCCCCTGAAATCATCGTGGGTAGTTCTCCCAAGTTGCATTATAGTCTCTCAGCAGCAAATAACATTGTTGCCCCTTACGTTTCAAGACATCGGCAACTCAACGATCTTACGTGTTTTCCTTTGGATTACACTGGACCCCTTCACATTCTCATTTCGTCCAGCAGGGAACAGAATTTAGGGAATCTTCATCCAATCAAAATCGGCAAACTCTTTTCGAAATTATTTAATGGCATTTTAATCATATCTTCTATTGGCGCAAAACGTGTGAGAGTCACTTTTGACTCTGTTGTCAACACCAATGCCAGCCTCACTTCATCGGCATTCGGCACACTTAAAAAACGGCGTCGTCGGCTCCATTCCTAGTACATTTTATTGCCTGGGCGTTATTCATCTGGACCGAAATGTTACTGAAGAATACTTCTGGGAAGGTTTAGATAGCTCAACACCGATCGTTTCATTCCGTCGGATTAATTCCAAAAAGAAAGGTTCACTAGTTTCTTCAAGTTTTTAGTCTTTAAGCCTTTGTTCACAAGAGAGCGCCACTTAAAATTTCGTTAATTAATTCAAAGTTACAGAAATTCAAAACTGAAATCTTTTATTTCTCAAAACAGCTTAAATGTGACTTACACCACTTTCATTTTCGCCGGCTCATATATTGCAATCTTAACTATCCTTCTACTGACCGCTCTTGTGTTGAGTGGACAAAACAAAAAGATATTAAATAAATCATGGCTGTCATAACGTCTCTTATTCAGAAGTGGCTCAAATTAAACGTTCCGACCTCACCAATCAAGCCTTTTCTTTCGCTGATATAACTAAAAAAACTGATAATTGTGTAAATAATGTAACCAGTCCTCAGTCGCTCTCATACCCTCCTCTCATATCTTCCTCTCGTTCATATAACCACAACAAAAACAATGTTAATATACTAGCTTGTTCATTATCTATAATTCCACCACTACTCTAAATTTATTCGGTACTTCAACGAGACATGAAAATGCTTTTTCGTGGTTGCAGAGTCGGCTGAAAAACTTTTTTCTTATCTACCTTCTCTTTTCTCTGTTCCTTATACCTATATTCCCCCTTCCGCCAACCCTCCTCCTTCTCTGATCGTTTCTATCTTTAACTTGATTTTCTCTCATTACATTTTAGGTGGTGATTTGAATGGCCTCCTTTTTTCAAATTCATTCATCTGGTAAAAACGTCCATTTTCATTGGGTCCCTGGTCATGCTGGGATCAGTGGCAATGGAATGGCCTGGCCGACTCTCTAGCTAAATCCACATCCTCTTTTCTATTTACTACTTCCCCTCTCCGTCTCATAAATTCCGATGCTTTTCATTCCTTTAAATCAGTCCTTTCCGACGCTTGGCTCGACAAGTGGTTTTCCCTTCCTAATTTTGCACAATGGCATCGGCTTATATTTCCTTCACTCCGTAAATGTCTTTGGTTCCACATATTAGATTTACCCCGAAAAATTATTTCCTCTTTTTCACGCTTTAGAGTTGGTCATAATCTCTTACCCTGATTTACCTACAAACTATTCCTTAATTCTGTTCCTTTCTGTCATCCACATGCTGAAGAAGCTGTCGGTGATTTTTCTCACTTCATATTCGATTGTCCTTCTCTTGTTCCTAATAGAATCCTTCTTTTTAATTTCTTTGCATCCCATGGTATCCAAAATCCTGATTCTTATAACATCCTCAATTCCAGTTCAGTTCCTATTATTACTGCCACCATTTCTTTCCTTTTGAGCGCTAGCTGGACTATTTAAATCTTAACTATTTATTTTTCTCTGCGTTCTCTTTTGGTTTTTTACATAATATCACACATTCTTTATGATACACCCTGTATAACAAATAGTGATTTGTTATACAGGGTGTGTCATAAAGAATGGTGGGGTTTTAAACGGCTGTAGGTTGTGAAGTATTGGACTTACAGCGTTCTGGTAGGGCTTGAATGAAAGATGGAGTTGTCAAATTTCGAATGACTGCCACTAGACATCTCTCCACGTTCCCGTTTGTGTCGACAGCCTTCATTGTTGAGTTTGTTAAGATAGCGTCCTCACAAGAAAAGTAATCGAGTTCGCGAAGCGTAATTCAGTTACGACTATGAAACATCTAGTGTCAGAGACGTCTAGTGACAGTCATTCAAAACTTGATAACTCCCTCTTTCATTTAAGTTCTACCAGAGCACTGTAGGTCCAATACTTCACAACCTACAGCCGTTTGAAACCACACCATTCTTTTTGGGACACTTTGTATAATACGGGTGTATCAAAAAAAAATAATTCCCATTCCACTCTAATTTTTATATATGTTTTAGTAAAAAAAGATGAAAATTGCAAAAATAATTTTCAAATTATTATTTTTATAATTTTTTTTGGGTATAAAATTGTTTGGCGTAATTAAAAATATTTGTATCTAAAATTACAGAAAATTTACATAGCCACAGATATATAAACATACTAGATGGGGACGGTCATTTACAAGATGATAGTGAAATTGTGTCAGTCCGCCATATGCCAAGGGGGCAATATCATAAATCATAACATTGATTAAACTCAAAAAAAAAGTAAAAATTCATATAAAATACGAAAAAACGGGAATTTATCTTATTTTACACATAATTATTTCAACTATTTTGATTATTGTGTTCCTTTTTTTTCTTTCTATGAATTTTTACCTTTTTTTTATGTTTTTATGGAGAACCCAATTTGAAATTTCCACATCTTATGTAAAATTTTCTCAGCTTTCTGAAAAAATATGAGAAAAAGACTTAATTTTTGGGCAGCACAAAAAATCAGTTTTAGATCATAAACTCAATTTTAATGACTGTCTGTTAAGCGAAAAAAATGAAGTATTTTTTTCAGAAAGCTGAGATAATTTTACATAATAAACTGATTTTTAATCATTTTTTTTTTATGGGCGATGTTACTATAAACATTTGATAAAAAGTGTTTAGAAAAAAACTAAAAATTCTTTTTACACCATGGCCAAAATAATCGGGAAAAAAATCCGAAAAAATTTGAGAACATTCTTCTCATCGTAATATACATGCAGACATGCAGTGTAATTTTCAAAAAAATCCGAGGGGGTCGCGCCTAACATTCGTTCGTATCTGGCGTTTTAAGTTAAAACTTCTAACCCATATATGTAAATTGTACATAAAAGTCAATATGTTTGAGGATGGTTGAAAAAAGTAAAAATTGGGGGAGGGGAATATAGCCCACCTATTTCGAAAATATGATTAGCCCACCAAAACATTTTTTTTGTTTTTATTATAAGTTATACATTAATTAAATGTAAATAAAAAAATAATATAAGAAAGGAAAAAGTTGCAAAAAAAGTGTATTTGCCGCCCAGGTTTGAGCCGGATTGTTGTGTGTCAGAGTACCCTTTTCGATCGAATGAATTACAGATTTAGCGCTCTCTATGGATCGGCTCCCATACTACTGAATTTCTGGCTCCAGGCTCCCATTTATGAGCGGCTGACTTTTAACACGGCGTAGGCTATCTATTAACTATTTGTATTTAATCAATGATACTATGTTAGCACGTACATTATTGCTAATTGTATAATATAATATATATACGCATAATGTAGATAGTGATATTTCCCCCTTTGCATATGGCGGACTGACACAAGGTTTGGATGGTCGTCCGCTATGTGGTATGTTTATTGTTTATATATCTGTAGCCACAGCCGCTGTCTGATTATATACCTATTACCTGTCTCTATAACTTTTTCCTAGCATTGAGTAAACCATTGAATAGTTATTGTTATACCTTGGTATAAAAATTACAAAATATTAATATGAGAGAGCATGGTAATTGACGGTACTGTATAATGTGTTCCCTGTTGACGACTCAATTCAGTCGGACGTTGGTTAATTTTTGTTTGTCCGTCGTCCGTTGTCGTTCGTCGTCAATCTTATAAACATTTTAAAATAGTTATTAATTGACATAAGTTTCCTTGTGTTATATTATATTTATTAAAATCTTCAAGTATGGCAGATGAAAACTGGGGAGATTGGGATGAACCGATTCAACAAAAAATTATTCAAAAGCCGAAGTATTTAAATCGAAATCCAAACGATGAATTTATCGAAATCGAATCCCGTTTGGCAGGTTTTATTATTGGTAAAGGTGGTTCAAAAATCAGAAGTATTCAACAAGATAGTCAAGCTTTTGTATCGGTCATTGACAGTGATGTATATGGTTTCAAAACTGTCAAGTTATCCGGTCAAGACAAAGCTAAAGAACGAGCACGGCAAATTATCACTAATATAATTGAAGAAAATGATCAAGATAAAATACGTCAAAAAATGGAAAAGGAAGCTGCATCTTATAAACCTGATATTAAGCCAATATCAGATAGTGATTGGGAAGAACTTATGAAAGAACAGGAAGAACATTTAAAACAAAAACTTGCTGCATTGCCTCCAATTATAAAACATTTTTATAAAGAACACCCTGAAGTGGCGGCTATGAGCAATGAAGAAGTTGAAGCTTTTAGAGAATTGAAAAACAATATAATGGTTAAACATGTAGATGAAAGTAATGTTAGTCAAATTCCAAAACCAGTTGTTAAATTTTATCATGCATTTGAAAATTATCCAGAAATATTAGAAGAAATTAAAAAACAAAATTTTGAAACTCCTTCTCCTGTACAGTGTCAAGCGTGGCCAATTATTATGAGTGGACATGATTTAATTGCCATTGCTCAAACTGGTACTGGTAAAACATTAGCATTTTTACTTCCAGCTTTTATTCATTTGGATGGCCAAGTTACTCCTCGTAATGAACGAAAAGGGCCATCTATATTAGTGTTGGCTCCAACAAGGGAGTTAGTGTTGCAAATTGAAAGCGAAGTATAAACCTTTGATATTATTACTACTTATATTCTTTACTTATATTTTTTATTATGTATTAACTTCTTAGGTCAACAAATACTCTTATAAAGGTATTAAAGCTATCAGTATTTATGGTGGTGCTAGTTCTGGGAAGCAAAAAGAGTGTCTAAGAAAAGGAGTAGAAATTGTTATTGCTACCCCAGGTCGTCTTAATGATTTTGTCGGTAGTGGGTCCATTGATCTATCAAATGTAACGTACATTATACTTGATGAAGCTGATCGTATGTTAGATCTTGGGTTTGAACCTCAAATACGTGTTTCATTACTTCAAGTACGGCCAGATAGACAAACGATAATGACCAGTGCAACATGGCCACCTGGTGTTAAACGTCTCGCTAAAAGTTATACATCAAATCCAGTTCAAGTAATGGTTGGCTCATTAGATTTAACTACAGTAAATACAGTGAAACAAGAAATTCTTTTTATGGAAGACGATGAAAAAGAAGAGTGGCTTAATAATTTCTTAACAAATATAAATGAAGACGACAAAGTATATGCAAAACAAAAAATTTAATTATATTTTATTTTTGACATTTAATTTTATTTTTTCAGGTTATAATATTTGTCAATAAAAAAGTAACAGTTGATCAACTTTCAGCAGACTTGTGTATGAAAAGGTTTAACGTTGAATCAATTCATGGTGGTCGTGAACAATCTGACCGTGAAACAGCATTAGAAAGTATGCGTGATGGTAGTGTTTCTATTCTAATAGCTACAGATGTTGCATCACGAGGCATTGATATTAATGATATCACAGTAGTAATTAATTATGATTTTACAAAAGATATTGAAGAATATGTTCACAGAGTTGGCCGAACAGGGCGTGCAGGTAAAACTGGCCTTGCAATAACTTTAATGACAAGAAGAGATTGGGCCAAAGCTAAAGAACTTGTTGATTTAATGGAAAAATCTGGACAAGAAGTACCGCCTGAACTTCATGATATGGCAAGAAGATTTGAAGCAAGAAGAGAAAGAGAAAGAGCTGAAGGAGGCGACAGACCTTTTAGGGGTCGACGTGGTGGTGGTGGTGGAAGAGGTTTTTCAAATGGAGGTGGTGGAAGAGGTTTTTCAGGTGGAGGCGGTTACGGTGGTAATAGGAACAACAAATGGTAACTCCAATAGTATTTGACAAATTGTATTATTTCATATTGATAAGTAAAAATGTAATTGATCTTTGAAGTATTTATATTTGTTATTGTAATAACCATGTTAAAGTTATTTTGTTATAATTCATTATTTTTTCTAATATCAAACAGTTTGACAAGTTTAAACAAACTATAAAGTCTTTCTTGTTAACTTGTTCATAATACCTAATTAATGTAAATAAAAGTTTTTACGGAAACCTGTTTTCTACTAACTAGGTTTTCTTTTTACTAATTTCTATACTACTATAATAATTTATAACATATTTTTTCACTTTAATAGAGTTCCACTATTATAAAGCTAAATTTTTTCCAGAGTTAATTAAAAAAGTACTATAAGTACATGGGTTACATAAATGTAGCAGTCATGAATACATAATAAGATTTGAATTTCTGTTTTAAGAGATACCACACCTCTCAATTTTTTTGATTTTATTAAAAATGGCAATTTTAAACAATTAGTCAAAATTAAGCTATTACAGATATTAACAAAAACACGCTATATGTTGAATAATAGTTTTCTATTACCAAAATTTCAAAACTATACTATAAACAAAATAGGACAGTTGAAGAAATAGAAGCTACCTTTATACTTAAAATAACAGACGTATGGCCATTAACCGAGATTTTTATTATTAATCATTATTTTTGAGAATATACTTCTTCGGACATTTCTAGGGTAGGGTAGTAAGTAAATTGCTAACAGCAAAAAGGGGACACATCCACTTTTTTTAAATGTTCATAACACAAAATACTAATATTGATATGACATGACTCCTTTCTATTGTAATCTGAAATTTCCAAACGCTATATTTATTTGATTCCTTTCTGCAGTAAACAATATATTTGTTTGCTTAGTACAAAACGATAATAAAATCAAAATAGATAATAATCGACTTGTCCTCTTTCTGCAGTTGGCGATTCAAACAAATAAAAAAAAAAAAGTATAATCTGTTAAACATTAATTTTTTTAAAATATAAAACCTAAATTTAAGGGGGAAAAACACTATATTTCAGCAGTAAATGAACAAATAATTAGGAAATTTGAATATTGTATTAATTTTAAAACAAATAATATATTTAATTGAGTAACAGAAAGTTTGAAACAAGCTATTAAGTTTTTAGTATTAACAGTAACATATTTTTCATATTATGCGTACAGACAAACTAAAATCAATAATTTCAAATACAAAAGGATTATATCATCAGTAAGAGTAAATAAAATTAGTATAAAATATATCGTCATAATATATAGTATATGAAATATATATACTAAACTTAGTGTGTCATAAATATATTTGGTAAAATGTTCCTTTTTATATACAATTATTAAAAATATAAAAAAAAAAGACTCATTTTTTATTATGAGAGAAAAAACCTTCTGCAGCTCTATAAGTACTAACATTACAACTTAAATATAAATGCTATGTACATAATTTATAATTAAAATAGTTTTTTGAAGGTTTTTTGAAAAACGCTCCTAAAAAAAGAACCCTATACTAATCTTTTTCGAAAAGCTATTCGATTTCGTTCTTCTTCATCATCACTGCCATACGTTGAAGACATGCTTGACACAGCACCACGCCAGGAGGTTGCTTGCATTAGCTCTTGATCAGGCTCAGTACGATTTTCATACAACATCAAATTGAGACATTCTTCATAAATTCTTGCCTCAGGAAAGTCAACCTGGATGAAAAATGTACTTGTTATTAATATTAAACATTAAACAATTTTAATAAAAAATACCTTGGTATGTTTTTTATCAGTTGTATACACAATTGATGTGCAACAAACTTCAGCTACTTTGACAGCAAGGCCAAAATAACTCCAACAACATATTTCACTGGAACCACTAACATCTTTAATAAACAGGAATCTTGAACCAAAACGCAATGATAGTTTATCAAATAATTCTTCATTTTTCAGTAGATTATCATCAGAAGCACTAGGAAAATTACATTTTTTTTTAAATATGTAAAACATAAAATTCAAAATTGTATTACCTTGTATATGAATACTTATTGTTGTGTCTATTTATAAGAAGTTTCACAGTAGGCTGTAAAAGAAGTTAGAATATAGAAGATAACTTATATAATTTTATTACTAATTGTAAGACTTATAAAATGTTATTTAGAAATAATGATAAATCTTTAATTTTTAAATACTTTAAATAAATAACCCCAATCTTTTTTAAAGAATAATAATATATATATAACATATATAATCTTTTTTTAAAAAAACGTAAGAAGGGTTCTTATTAGGAGGAATAAACACTAAAAGTCACTTAAAAATCGCAGTTTTATATCACAAATTAAATAAATTTATTTTGAGGTACAAATTAAATAAGGTTTTTATTTACTTTGGTACTCAGCGTAATAAGTTGACTTAAATCAGGACTTGACGATATTAAAGGAACACGGCACTGAGGCTCAATTTTACATTGTCTTGATCGTAATGCGTGTTGACATGCTTCAACTAGTGGTGAAATAAGATAAAATTTGGCTTCAGCTAACAGTTCTGCAATTTCATACGTCTTATCAGGAAGAGCTACGTGTTCATCTCGTAGAAAATTTAATATAGAATTAAAGTGTTTGCCACAACGGTCTATGAGAACCCACCCTGTTAACATATACACTTCTATAAAAAAAAAACTTCATTTATAATTATAATTAGGTTATATAATTTTATCAATTTACCTTCTGTGTCAGTAAGGATTTTCATACGACCACTAAACATTGCTTTTAACATAGTGTCATGTTTAGTTAGTGTACCGATTGTTGTGTAAAATAGAGAACCACCAACATTTAATTTTGCATATTTTAGCTGGATATCTTGCTGTTGCATTTTTTTTATATTTATATTTTTTTTATAACTAGATACCATACAGTTTTTAATGAAAATATTTAAGGGTCGTATTTAACAACTACTTATGTACAAAAAAAAACCTTATGAAGTGAAATTTAAAATATATATAATATATTGGTATAATTATACATTTATAAGATGCATTATTTACTTAATTAATAATCATAATAATTAATCCTCCACATATATTAAACAATATATTATAATTTACAGTTCCGAGTTCAGACTTTTGAGTTTTGACGACAAAATACTAATTATAAATGAGTAATGACTAATAACTGTTAAGTGATAAGAGTATAATACTATAAGAGTTAAAGGGGTTCTCAAATTTCTAAAAAATGTTCACATTAAAGTCTAAGCTATGATTATATATAATAATATTCCAAATGTGAACAAGTAGTAACAACAGTTATTAGTAAAGACCTATGAACAAATTTCTTTTTTGGTCTAATGTCTATGGTTATTAGGTATTTTTTTTAATCTTGTTAATTTTTTATATAATGAAATAATAATACTATTATAATAATAAAATTATTATTATGTATTATACATATAATTTGCTGGGAACTTAAAAGATTAGATTAAACAGTGTTGCTTTCAAAGGTACTACCAATGCTAATTGTAACAATACGAAGTAATTGACATTTTATTAAAATTAATATTATTTACCAAATTATTTGTAATCGACTTACACTTATTATCATTATAATTTATATTATTTTCCCTCCAATATTGTTTAAAAGCATAAAATTAAATTTCATTAAATACGTAAATTTAATCTATGTTAAAAGTAATAAAGTGTACCTATTTAACATCGAACTGTGATTACAAAGGATTTTGTATATTGTGTGTAATAAAAAGTAGTTCATATGTAGTTACTAGTTATAAAGTATTTAGAAAAAGAAAACTATATGCACTATACTCTGTTCAGATTCAGAACAGTGTATACATGTTATTTTTTAAATGTATATTTTGGTTAACTGGAAAAATGGGCTACTTCATAAAGGTAAAACCAGGAGCGTCATTTTGGGGGGTATAAGGGTGTGCGACGGCCCCACTAACAATCTGCCATTAAAGCACCAAAACGCCGCCATAACTATCTTATAAATTATATAATATATAATCATTATATATAGCCTGATGAAGTATTAAAATCGGTCTGCCTAAAAGTTTGCATATCCTGAAAAAAAAAACTTGAATGACGCCCCTGGGTAAAACTCATAAAACAATACACAACTTTTGTGTTTTATGTCATCCAGAGAAATTAAATATTTATATATTTTCTATATATATTATATAGATATATTTAATTCAGAGAAATAAAACTCAAAATATTGAGAGCACATTATTATTAATAATTGTACATTAGAATTAAAAATATAAGACAGAAATTAAAATCATAACAATTGTTTAAATAATTTTTCATAAGTACAATGAACCATCTGCAGGGCCAAGATATCTAATAGAGATCAATAATACATCAATAAGTGTCCAGACTCCAAGACCGCCAAAACTGAAAAGTTTTCCAATACCTTCTTGCCAATGACCCAAATAAAACCTAATAAAGAAGAATATACAACATAAAACATTATTTATTGTTAAATCTATTAAATAAATTACTCTTAAAGTTACATCTATATAAACGGCACCTATTTTTCAAAAGAACTAAAATATTAAGTTACTTCATTTATAGAAACAACATATATATGGACTATTATTAATTATCTTGAAATACGGGTATTATTTCAGCACTTTTAAGTGGTATGCATTTACTATAAATATTAGAAAACAAAACAAAATGCAAGAGAATACAGATAAAAAAATCACAATTTTTCAAAAATATGAAAATATTTGCTGTTTACAAGAACATAACATGTTATTAAGATAAAAAAGTATTTTAGCATAGTTACTACACAATTGATGAGCCTTATAAGGGAAGACAGAATAGGGCTGTGGGTAGGCTATTATCGCCTGAGCTACTTATGTTTTGAAAAAAATATTTGTGCAAATATATCATTCATGATTCAAATAAACGATTGTAAATTTAAAATGTTTATTTAATTGTATAGTGAAATATGAATCATACATTTTAGTTTTGAGCTAGCAAATACTACAGCATAATGTAAAAATAAAATTGATCCTAATATTTAAATTACAAAATTATATAAGAGGGATATTTTCTATTTAACTTTGTGTAAACTAAAAGGGGTTAGTCCAGGATTGATTCTTGTCCCCTCACTAGTCATAAATAATTTCAAATAGTTTTATAACTAAGCTATACACATTACGTGAAAATCTATGATTGGATGGTACCATTTAACACAAAAATTATAATAAAGATACATATTCAATGAATTGAATATTCATATAAGATCGACAGTAAAAATATCAACGAACATTACAAATTCAAAATGACACAATTTACATTTTTTTAAATTTTTATAACAATGAAGAAATCTTAAGCATTAGCTGATAAAATAATATTATAAAAATTGTAGTTGATTATTATTATCATTTAAAATTTGTATTACCTATCTACACCGAATCCTCCCAAAGTAATGCTCAAGATTAAAGCGGTAGACCATCGATGTCCACCAGTCCAGTTACATCGTAATCTTTTATAAAATATTCTATTTCCCAAGCATAAAACATCTTTATTGACTGTACAATTGGTTCTAAACAATTTATAATCAAATTATTAAAAATGTTATCAGCAATACAATGATTATAAAATATATAACAAACCGATAATAATTTGGTGGAGATGAAGCAGAACTGCAGGTGGTTTTTTTGTCACATTTATGTTCCCAAAGCTCAGTTTGATAACAATATCGGCAAGTAAGGTTCTTTACAAATACAATTTCACCCTATAATTAAAAATACATACATTTTAATGTTTTTCACTCGCAAAAGGAAAAAATTACAGTCAAGGGTAGCTTATTCAACCCGAGGTTTCAGGAAGTAATAATACATTTCAATGTATTATATGACCTATTGTTAAGATGGAGCTATTGGCGATTAGGTGAGCTCTTTCTGGTCGCAACAGCTACCAGATTAAAGCTGACAAAAAAAAAGTTTTGGATTAAATAGTAATGTTAGGTTAGAAACTGCCAGTATTAGACAGTCTTTAATTAAAATTTTTAGTTTTCTACATACCACACATTTAACATTTGCTTTACAAGTAGCTAACGTTTGATTGCCATATGTACAAGTTTCATTCATATAACAATGTATACAAGGGTATGGTAGGGTTGAACATTGTTTATCAGAGTCTAAACATTCCAAGTCTTCTTGATGATGTATCTAGAATAAAATCATAACGATAAAGTATTTGTTGAACAATTTAAGGCATAACTGCACTTCACCGGGCACCCCTTTTTTACCATCTTGAAGTATATTTTACGCTGATTTCAAATAAAGTTAAAAATTGGCGGACTCTTCTAGCTCCAAAGTTAAAGCTATTTGAAATGTTCATATTTCCACAATAACAATAGGCAGCGACTGAAGCGGCCGTTACGACCGCATCCGCCCGCCACACTGTACCTTTGTCTGCAACGCAAGGATAGGTTAGGCTAGGTATAGTTCGGTCTCTGACACTTCTAGAATGGTAGGTTAGATTAGTTTAGTCCTTTAGGCAAGCTATATTTTCCAATGGATTTGGGGTCGTGTCACAAAGAGTCCTGAAGAGGTTGGAGTTGGCTCCCAAAGCCGGAAGAGGTAAGAAGTTGTTTTATTAGTTAAATTAGTTTGAAAAAAAAATCGCAAAAAAAAGGGTGCCCGGTAAAATGCATATGTTCCCAATTTAGTAAGTAAATAATTTTACCATTTTTAAATTGGTATTATTTTTTTTATTTTTCGGTTTTGAAAGTGTGTCAACATGGTCATCGTCTAAAAATTATAAAACACCAACAAATCTTTAATTGTATTATATGTTAATTTTATATAGGCAAGTCGTATTTACCATTTTGTGATTCTAAACTGAAAGTTATTGAATTTAAAAGAAATATTATAACACAGCGGAAGTAAAATGTCTTCATAGTTTATTCATTTCATACGGTACAGTTTTTTTTTTAACTTGGTAGTTATTTCATATTTGCATGTCAATTATAAGGGTTACAAATAACAATACTAAGTAATAATAATGAAACTAATAACAATCTTAAATCTTAGAAACACGAATTAGTCTTAGATCGGGCTTTAAAACTACTGACAACTTCAAATGTTTAATAAACTCATTTAAATTTTAAAATAGATAGCCGATAGAGTTACCAGTGACTTCCCAACACGGTTGTACTTTGTAGCTTTTATCTATTATGTGGTTGTAGAATGTAGATAATAGACTGGTTGCGTATCGAGCTATTAAAAAGCGGCTACAATCTAAAAAGTCAGTGACTGTTAGCGCTCCTTGTTGAAAATCGTGGAACTTATTATTTTTCACTGAGGATCTGTTATATCAGCCGCGTATATGATAACAACCAGGTTATCGGAGCGCTAGCAGTCACTGACTTTTTAAAAAGAACTCTTGTAGCCGCAGATAGAAAAAACGGAATAACTTATTTATTCTAGTTATTCTGTGATAGAAGTATAGGCCGATACGCAACGAGTCTAATGTCTATCTACAGCACTGAACTCAACCGTACTGCCCATCTAATCTGTAGAACGCATTGTCAAAGATAATGATAATGACATATTTTGTCTATGCTTATCCACAGATATAATAATAAATTTATTATATATATTATCTGTGTGTTTATCACACAAAAACACGGCGGCCACGGTCTTCCAACGTCACAGTGTGGCCATTTTCGATTATCTATTCTGTGGTATTGCCATTGGGGTCGTTTGACAATCATATTATCCTAAATCGTGCTATAAACACGTTATTAGCCTGTAGTGATAACCAAGGTCATTGATAACTGTTAACAGTCGAAATTCGAAGTAAACTGGAGATTGGAGTAACTTTTTATAAAGTATAAACCATAGTTTCTTTAGTTAAAACTTTGTACGAGTCGTAGAAAGTTGTTGAATTTTTTTTAAATGAACCAATATTACAATAATTAAATGTCTTTATTACGACTTTGTTGTTATTGTATTAGTAGAGATAGACTAGCAATTACTTTACGGTCTACATTTAAAATAAAACCCCTATGTTTACCAAATCCAATAAAATATGGTAACTATTACGCACATACAAAGAAATCCGATTTCAAATGCTGGAATTGTCAATCTGTTGCACACACTAAGCCAAGTTTATTTTGCGAAAATTGTTCTTTAATACAGTCTGCCGTTCTACAAGATTTCAATTATTTTGAGTTATTCAATTTAGAAGAACAATATAATATCAACACAGTACAATTGACCACAAATTTTAGAAAATTACAAAATCTTATACATCCAGATAAATTTTCTAATAAAAGCAATGTAAATTTGTTAAATTTATAATTTAAACAATTTATTATAAATTATTTTATTTTTTAGGAAGAAAAAGTGTTGTCCGAAACCTTTTCATCCCTCTTAAATAAGGCATATAGTACGCTACTCCATCCATTACAAAGAGGTCTGTACATGTTGAGTGTACATGGTATTAATCTTGAAGAGCACTCGATTACACTTGATAAAACATTTTTAATTGACATCATGGAATGGAATGAAAACATAGAGGAAGCTGATACAAAAACTTCTATTGAAAAATTAAAAGAAGACATAGATGGAATATTAAAAAATACTTATGAGTAAGTATGCAAGATAAAATTAGAAATATATTTGGTAACCTAATGTTTTTGACTTTTAGAGAAGTGTCAAATGCATTTACAGAGAATAATCTGAATGAAGCAAAAGCATTGTTGTCAAAAGCCAAATATTTTGTGTCAATGTTGGAAAAAATCAAAGAAAAAGATGTATGAGTATGTAAGAAAATATTTTTTTATATAAGTACATTGCTTTTTACTATACAGTTTAAAATGTAATAATTATATTAATTCATTAAATTAGTATAAAAATAAGTGAAACACTATTTACGTACAAATGTCAGACAACTTATATATTATATATATTTTTTTAATGTGGCAAACAAATTATTTTTAGAATATTTTTTGTGAAATTGATGTATGAAGAATAATTAGCTGGTTAGTCCATTTATCAATAGAATCGTAACGGCTGATTGCGGGATCAGGATTAGCTAATGTTAATACTTGTTTTATTTGGTCAATACGACCCTTAATAGTTCTGAAAAATAATTAATATTATTATAATATCTATTATATTAGTTATACAAATCATTCAATAAATATACTAACTCATCTAAAATGCACGTGACCAGAAGACTTTCAACATCACTTTCTTCAATATTTAGCTCCTTAGCTATAAAAGGAATATGAACTCTAGTATAAGGTTTTATCAATTTGATCAGAACTTGAGTACGGATATTACTTAACAAAGCTGCAATATAATACATTTTTTAATGTTATATTTTATTTTTCAGATAGTTTTTATTAACCTTCTATATGTTCTCTAATAAATGGATCATCCATTATATTTTTCCGATGATTTTTCAAAATAGTTTCGAATTCTTTAATGTCATTATTTTGATAAGCTTGCACTAAATTGGTCATTGCTAAAATTTCTGGATCATTTTTGTAAGGCTTTGCTTCTTGAGAATCAAATGGATTGATTCCAGATTTCATTAACCTTAAACATTATGATGTAAAATTTTAGTTAAATATTAATTAGTCTGGCTTTATTGTAAGGATTTTGTTTATAATTAGGATTTATTATATTTAACGGACTTGTGGGAGGTTTGGCTCCCACACTCTCCTTTTTAATATTTTAACATGATAACTATACTTTGTTCTAAAAAGAATAGCCAGACAGCTAACCACTTTAGGTCTGCGCATGTCCTACCTAATACAAACCGGCGGTTTATTAAAGCAAGTTAAAATACTTTCTTAATCATATACAGCATTGCTTGCAAGGGCGGCATTTAGGTACACCACTTATTTGGAAAAAAATGTGCCACATATAAACCCGTGAAGTTAGACTGGTGGGACTGACCGAGTATTCTTTAGTTACAAAACCATATTAAAAAAAAAAATTGCACAATTACAAAATATTCCTACGCAAAGCTCTAAAGTGCAGCCATATGACATATGGTGTAACTTAAAACCACAAGCGCAGCAAAATTTTAAAGGATTTACTTATTTTTATAATGTTTATTAATCACAATAATTTTGTTTTTTTATAAAGATAAAAAAAAATTTATAACTGAAAATCTGATAATTTGTCAAGTTATATTTGTTTTATGCGTTTAGGGCAATGTCCGGGAATAGGTCCAATTGCTTAGTTCGGACGCCTGCTTATCAGTCAATTTGACTGATAAAGCATTTTATATATTCTTTACATTAGTGTTAATTATAACACTTTTAAGTTAAATATAGTCACTAAAGTGTACCATAAAGTGGCAATATTAAATATTTTTCAGATTCAACGAAAGAAAAATTAAAGTAAGGCCTAAATTTTATATTATAATATCCTATACACTTTTTTTTGAAGTACACATTATCATGAAGTCAAATGCACATTTTCAATTTTCTACTGCATAATTAGTGTCCTACAGCACCTTAAAATAAAGTCTGACATTAGAAGTGCTGGAAATTTAAAATATACTTACATGTTTGCTAATACGAGGTATTTCAAACACGTGGTACGGCGAGGACTTCCAGACTCATCATAATTTTTAAAAGCCTCAAAAAAATCAGTGTGAGCTTTTGAAAAATGCCCTTCTTCTAAATGCATTTTACCACCACATTCTGCAAAATTTGTTTAATAAAAAAGTAACCATAATAACAATACAGAAAATATTTTAGTTTATACCTCGAATAACACCCATAATAAGTGGATGTGGTATAGCAGATTTGATATGCAAAGATTGTTCATAAAGCTCTTTCAGTTTTTTATTATTTTTCTGTGCCGTGTACATTTGTATTTCTAATGCATATATTTCCAAAAGCTGTGTACCTTTTTTGAGATCATCTTCTCCATTATCAGTCTAAAAAAATCATGTTAAATATAAAAAAACATAACTAAGTAAAAGTAATTTATTTGACTAAATGATAAAATATGCCATTAATTATAATACATATAAATAACATGAAGCTCACTTGACATGAAGCATGCAATTGTTTCAGAATTTTTGTTAGCTTGTTGTAGTCGGCAAGGTCAAAATATAATTTTCCTAATTTTGTATTTGTTTTAAACCATAATCTATCATTTTTAGCATCTTTTAAGGCATCTAAAGTTGTTTCATAGAAATTTTGTAATAATTCCATCTAAAAATAAATTTTTATTATAATATTTTTACAGTTATTTTTAAATATAAATAGTCTTCTATCTCATACATTTTTTGATGTTGAAATATAATCTAGTATAGAATTTATAGATTTTTCACTGTGATTCCGTGTAACTGCAGTTTTAATGTATGTTAATAATTGTTTATAGCGATTCATCATTTCATTGTAGTTGTTCTATTTATGAAAATAAATCAAATCAATTACATTAGTTTGTGCTATATTTTATTGTGTTTATTTATAAAATATGCCAAGTATTAAACATTTTACTTGAGGATTGCAAAACAAATATCTTTTACCTTATTTATTACAGTAAAACCTAAACAAATTTTATCTACATTCTCAGAAGTTGAACCTTCTTCTTTTCTGACTTTAAAACTCTCCAAGAGTTACTACCTTTCATCAAGGCTTAGTTGGTAGTTTCTTAACATAATTTTTTTTTTACCATATAGAGTTGCTAGCCCTACGGTCAACTTGTGATACTCTAGGAAGAGAAAGCTCGAGGCCTGCTAAGTCTGTAGACACTAGCTGTACACCCAGAGGGTATAACTCAGAATAGATTAAATTTATTCTATTCTATTATATAATTTGATCATGACATATTTTGTTATTTAAATTTAAGGATTATATTACATTAAACATTATTTATTTATTTAATCATTAAAACGATTCTTAAGGAGATTACATACCAGTTATTCCTGTTTCTGACTAATGTTACACACAACATGGGAATTAAGATATTTTTTGTGTCTATTGTACTAATCTACCTACTGTAGTGATAAGTAATCTGAAAACGGATTTAAATGTCATTAAGTTTACTAGGGATTCTATTTTTTAATTTTTATCAATTTGTAATTTTCTTCAAATTAAAATTTTATTTTTTGGGATTTTAAAATTCGGATTTGAAAAAAAAACATTTTAAGTCAACTCAGTGATGAATTTAAATGTTTTTTTACAGTCCTAATTAGATCAGTAGGTAGATCAGAACAATGGACAAACTAATTCCTATGTTACGCATGAGATGGACAAGAGACAGTAGTAATCGGTATCTAATCACCTTAAGGATTAGAGAGAAAAGTTGGAGGAGGAGTGACCGAGTGGGTAAGGCCGCAGTGTGTAAACGTTCACTGTCGCCGGTTTGACACTTGGTCACGGGCTTGCAATCGTCGGGTGAAAAGGAACCGCCATCCCCCTCTTCGGCGACTTATTGACGACCCGTCTCGGATAGCGAATTCGTCAAGACACCATCTCATGATGGCAGCGTTGGGCCTTCATGGCCCATTAAGCTACATGATGGTGAATCCCCTTAAAACGAAAAACTTATTTGAAACTATTAATAATGAGTCTATTTTCACTACTTATATATACATGTATGTATAAGAAAAAAAATTTGCTTAAAAAAGTTCCTTTTTCATAAATGAAAATTTCAATTTCAATTATATCCTGTTTTAAAAATTATAATAATATACATAAAAATAAATTGTGATGCATTTAAAAGATAATGCCAATAGTTTTTTTTTCAATTTCAACGTAATGCTAATAAGTTACTTACAAGTCGAAAATTAATTTTTATCATTTGTTTCAATGCTTTGAAACCCCATTCTCCTTTTTCACCAGCTTCAAGATCTAAAACTTTTTGAAATGATACAAGTGAAGAATTAGGATCCTTTTCTTTTAATGATTTTGAATTATAATACTGATTTTCCAAATCCACGTCTGGTTCAGAGTTACTATCTTCAGAATATTCCTAGAAAGAAAGTAAGATATTTGTGTTAATACTTAAAATATTCAAATACTTTACCATAGTTATCTAAAATAGAAATTATATAGAGATAATATATTATAATACTCAAATTGTTGAATTTTGTTTTTTTCATAAGGTATTAAATATTACTCTAGGTATTAAAAAATGTCTTGATATTTAACTTAAAAAATACATAAAAATGCACAAGTATTGTTACCCATTATTAGAACTAGCAAAAAACATAGGATCTGAATTGTTGTCCAAGAAAAATAGGAAAAACTGCTTAAAAAAGTATTATAGAAATTATTTATACTTTTATATTTTTACTTATATAAGATTTAATGTACCTTCTTATAGAAAATATTAATGGTAAAAGAAACAATTGTTTGACTAATCTTTATGCATCAAATCAAAAATGAAATTTGTGTAACAGCATATCAGCGAATCATTCACAAATACTTACAAGACCATAGTCTTCATCATCTTCACACATATAAACATCTTCCGTATCAGACATGATGTTTGTTAATTAGATGTTAATTGACAATTGTACATAACACAAATTTTAAATTACAAAAAATGTTTCATTTAAAACCCTAATGATCGCATAATAATAAAATAACACAAAACTCAAGACTGTAAGCAACTACTATCTACTACTAGACAATAATACAAAAAATATATATTGACTCTAGCATAAAATACAAAATAAAATTTAACGCATGATATTACAAAATACAAATATGCCTATATCGTAAGTCACACCACATTGCACACAATGCAAAGTTTGCGCCTTGCGGTATTACCTAGTGATAACACATTTGAGAATTGACTATTGAGATAGTGATGTCGACAAGGTTATACTGGTAACAATCACCATAACACATAGATATATATATAATAAACCGTCGGCTTGAATTCTTATCGCTAGTTAGCAATCTAGTTTATTATATATATCTGTGCCATAACATGGCTTAAATGTACAAGGTACATCCCCACTTTATTTATATTATCATATAATATATCAATTTATAAAATGGCAGCGTAAGGGTACATCCAAGGTGCATTTATCAGGTGTTAACACTCGCTACCCGGGAGCACGACACGGAGCCACTCGACAAACAGCCACCGAAAATCGACACGGAGCCACTCGACAAACAGCCACCCGAAGAGATACCAACATGTACAATATTTATGTAAAATGTACGATTATTATTTGTGTATGTTGTGCGGCCGACACCACATATTATAACGGAGTAATAGCAAAAAATGTAATTTCCAAATTGTATATCAATAAAAATAAAAACAGTAACTTTGTAGAAAATATTATATTTTTATTAAAACCCCTATTGTATAGAAGACATTGTTACTATGTTCATTGTAAACATTTCAATTTACTCAACAGGATTTATTGTTAACTCATGCTATTAATAATAATTATTGTTTCTAAATACTTTTACTCTATTATTATAAATAATTATACATTTTTATATTATTGATACTTATTTATTAATATAATACACAGGTAAAAAAATTATGTATATTGCAACGATATTAATTGAATAATATTTTAACTTGCTTTCATGTATTCCAATTAAATTACAAATATAAAACAAATGAAGTTATTGAACATTGTTTAATTTGTGTGCATTTTCATGAGTATCGGAATGAACGATCCATGTATATATTATATATACAACTAAAAAGTATTTGATAAAGGTTTTTACTTTTTATTGACTTAGAACTAATTATTAAAAACTCAGAAGCAGAGGGTTAGAATTAGATAAATACCGATATAAAAATCCAAAAAAAGTACATTTTTAGCTAATTGGCAAATGTGTATATTTTCCACCCATTTGGCTTATGCTATAGGCCATCTATATAAATTGGATTTTTTTATCTGATTAATTATTTCTATTTTTATTATCTATATATATATATATATATATATATATATATATATATATAAATTAATGTATGTGTGTGTGTGTCCCTCACAACTTTCATCAGAGTTTGTAGAAAAACAGCATTATATATTTATTTTGTGTTAATATATGTAGAATCATAAAATATAAATGAATAACCAAATTATAAAAAATGATTAACATGTATTGCTTTATAATAGCCCGTAATACTTTATAATATTAGCGGGGCGCGATAAAACATTAATATTTACTACTAAGTCATCCTCAAGTCTCAACAATGTGCATCGGGCGCGCCAAAAATTGTTCATTGTTCGCTATAACAAAATCCCAATTAAGTCAAATATTAGCGTGATGAAATTATGATGCAAAAAAAAAAAGGACCACGACGGGCGGGAGGCAGGTAGACGAGGAATCCGATGATAATTGAGCGGCGATCGACGGACGAAGTACCCAGCGGGCGCGGGTAGACGTGCAGTGCCGGGGCGCGCACGTATGTCGATTTCGGCGAAAGTCTGTAACTTCCAAACTAAGTGCGAGCGGCGCAAATTTTTTACATATTCGTAATCAACATTAAAAGTACTGTCGATTTAAAAAAATAATCGAAAAAAAGGGTGCCCGGTAAAGTAGATTTATACCATAATTATTTGTAATGTTCTAACTATATTTTGTTATTTTTCCAACTATGTTCAAAATTTAAAAACTATAAGCCAAGTGTAAATAATTTAGTAAACATTTTTTATAAACTTGATTATATTAATTTAGTATTTTTCTTTAATAATGTACAATTGTTTCTAACTTTAATATTAAAATAACTTGTATGAAATCCGTTGTGTTCATAATATGTACACTATTAGTTTTTATTCAACAAATGATTAATATTATATGTTTATTACTGCTGATAATAACTTTTAAAAATAAACATGTACATAATCATTTTAGAAAATACATTTTTGTCAAGGCTGTTAGAATACTTCAGCCAAACAATTTTTTTTTTATTAAATCGTGGTCATTAATAAAATAAATTTTAATAATTATAACATTAAAATTTATTAAACAGTAACATCATCAATTTTTTTAGTAAAAACTATTTCCTTGCAGTCTTTTGTTAAGTACCGGCCACCGCCAACGTGTTGAACCATTATATTTTTTTTTTTGATAGCTCGAATCTCATAATTATTTAACATCAGTGATGGATGGCCGCAGTTGGCAACCAACCGTTAGTTTGTATAAACTTGACCATAGTAAACTTAGTAATATTAACGTTTCGTTAATAACTATAACCGTATGAGACCCACTTCACGTTAATTATAATATCACACACTAAGTATCAATCATTTTGTGAAACCCTTGTGTACTCTATGCACATGTATAAAAACATCTAGATAATGCAATCGACAACGCCAGTACACATGCCACTTAAATTTAAGTTATAGCTAACTTTTAACTTGTATATTATAATAGTGTGAAATAAAGAAATCTGTGTTTATAAATATAAATTTAATATACTTGAATTTTATTGTTGTTTGTGCATTTATACATAATATCTTTGATTAATGATAATCAATGATAATATTATGTATATTATATTATAGCACCTGAGCCATGTGAATTTACTACTCATAAATTCGTTATAGTTTGACTTGGTTTATATTTATTTTAATATAGATTGTATTATAAACTATTAACTATTAACTCCAGCCTTCCTCTTGTATCTGACCTTGTTTACACATAAACTGGAGTGATCTATTTTATATATTAGCTGGACATTAGTGATAAGTCTGATGAGTGCATCATATCTAGATCCAAAAGAACCATACCGGTTATTTTAGACCCCAAAAAACTACTGCCGGCTTAATAATATATAAACATTTTATTCAGCATCGGCAAGGTGCCAGTCTACCATAGGTTGTCCCTGTTTGAATTTACTATTGTGTAGCTAAGTATAAACAAATACTAACAATTAAGCATTGGTAGTATATATGGAAAAAAAATGTCAACCACAAAATAAAAAATAGCTGTATATTTCAATAACAAATGGAACTTATCACAGATGTTATAAAAATAGCGTAGACAGTAGACACAACGCGGTCACACAGCGCGCGTAACACTGTTTTTTTATACTATTATAATTTATAACTTATAAAGGTTCTGTTCAAATAATAAGTGTCAGCTAAAATACGTTCGATGACATTATTTTCGACCTAAATATTTTTCGTAAATATTATTTTCGACTTAAATATTTTTCGGCTATTATATTTTTGGTTAATATATGTTTCGGTTCTAAATATTTTCGGAATTGTTATTTTTGGCATATATATAACATGATAACTAATACACAGATATGAAAATATATAATACAAAATTAAATAATATTTAACTATAATTTATTATTGTGTTATTGCCTATTGGAAGTTGTAAAGTATTTAAGTAAATGTGTCTGGTATCTAATAGTTTCGTATGAGGTATTCACGATATATTGTTTTAAATAGATAGGTATAATATATCGGTATTAAATAATTTAAAAAAAAAGTATAATTTCATTGAAATTTGATCAATGAACATTCTGCTTTACTTATTATAAAACGTGTAAGTATGTTTTGAAAAACATTTTTTTTTTAAAACTCAAGAGACAATTTATTGTTGGTAAATTATCACTATAATATAATATTGTAAATATTGTTTCATATACTTTCAGTTTTTTTTTTTATATAAATTTCAATAATAGAAACTAATTTGATTATAACTTAAATAAAAAAACTCAAAACCGGAGACAGGTCACACAGTGAATTAAAAATAGTTCTAGCCTTATTGCATTAATTATGAAATGTACAAGTTTTCCCCTTTAAATAAACAATACTAGCCGCACAACATACACGAATAATAATCGTGCATTTTTTATAAATATTGTATATGTTGGTACCCCTTTGAGTGGCTGCTTGTCGAGTGGCTCCGTGTCGATTTTCGGTGGTTGTTTGTCGAGTGGCTCCGTGTCGAGTGGCTCTTTGAGGTGTAACCTCGCTACCCATTACCGTACGAAAGGTTGATGGACAATATCGCACCAGTTGAACACTCTGCTAGATCGCGTTGGTTACCCGATAAAATCTCAACAATGCATGTACAGCATACGCAAAATTGATTTAAATTGAAGTTATTTACATCAAATATCAATTATATTAAAGTTTTATTAATTTTGGTTGTTGTAATACATTTACAATACATTACGAAATTTATTAAAGTGTTATGTAGAATTAATTATTTCAATTAGTAATTAGTTATGCCCAAATAGGTAACCTTTTGGCTTCTGCATTAATAAGTGCATACCTTCCTATACTGCATTAAATTAATATACTTGAATTTACCTACTTGTTGTTAAAATGTTTTATAGCAATATTTAAAAAAAATTGTTTATCAATGTTGAACTGAGATATTACTCAGTACAACATTGATAAAAAAAACATTAAAAAATGGAGTAGTTCTTAAAATATTACGCATTTCTTGTACAACAATAGTACTAAAAAATAATATTGAACAGAAATTGTATACATGACAGCAGTAGTCAAAGTTTTAACGCCCTAAATTAGTTTACTCTTAAAATAATTGCAAATGTGTAGTGGTTATTTTTGAAAAACATTTTGATTATACTATATTACTATATAAAACAGTATTTAAATTTTTATCTTTTTTAGTATTTTCTAGAGCTTTATCAACTTTTGAAACTTAAATGGTAACGTAAATATATTTTTAACTTTTTAAATTAACAATAATTTGCTGAAGATGAAGTGAAGCTAAATTTCTGTCGGCTCTTGGAATTTTTTGATTCCATTTATCAATCATATCCTACATAATAATAAAACTATATAACTGAGCAAATTGAAGTTGTACCCTATGTTTTATTGCATAATATATGATGTTGGAATTCCTAATTTAGATCTTACTCAACTCTACCTTTAAACTGTCCCTAACTTAACTATATACAATATTTAAAAATGCTATTAAATAGATTGCTGCATGTATTCAATAATTATTGTCAATTTTTACTAGTCTATACTTCAGATATTTGTTTTAACTTTCATTAAACTGACTCATTCATGTTTAAGTCTTGCTAAGAAATTGTTAAAAACTAACTACTAAATAGTATAAAGTTCTGTACGAATACCATGTCATAAGAATTAAACCCGAAGCATCCTAAATCATTATCGAGTTTACCAAATATTTGAGTTAGCATAATATCGGCGAAGGATGAAACATAGATGGATTATTTTATTTTCATTTTTGTATGATTTAATATCATTGGGCAATCCAGTATTGCACCCAGGTACAAAACATTTGTTGGGCATTATTTGGTTAAAAAACGTAACTAAGTCTTAAGTCTAAAAAAATCTTAATTGAACAACGTGTGCAGCATTAATCGCGCTCAAAGGGATGATTTTCAAAACAAAAGCTCATGTTTTTTGAGACTTTATCGGGTATCCAACGCCATCTAGCGGAGAATTCAACTGGTACGTTTTTTTCAATCAGCTAATCGGCAGAGTGTTAACACCTGATAAATCCACCTTGGGTACATCATTGTTTTTTTGATAAATATTTAATATATAAATAATACCTTTATAAAATAAATTAATTTGATTGGCTAACCCTTACGCTGCCATTTTATTTTTATCGTCGAAAATTCCGATGAAGAAGGGGTAGAAATGCAATAACCTGGTATATTTAAATCATGCACCATAGTATCTCCTACATTGATAATATATAATTCTACTATTATCACTTAATATATATCCTTTACTATGTCTAAATCTTTACCACGATTATAGACTCCGTCCTTGGTTTTCAGTTCTTATCAAATTTTCACGTAACATACGGCTACCCGATAGGGAAGTGTTAAAATATAATTTTGCAATTAATAATTTTTCAAAAATGTCTTTACCTCGTGTAATTAATAGCTTATTAAGGACCAAAGCTATTTATACTGCATCTACTAGAAGTGTAGTATCACATGAACCTTGGAAACCTGGCCCGTATCCGAAAACTGAAGAAGAAAGGCTAGCAGCAGCAAAGAAGTATGGTTTACTACCAGAGGAATATGAACCATACCCAGACGATGGACTAGGTTTCGGTGATTATCCTAAGCTGCCTGACATTGGGCAAGATTCTAAAAGTGAATACTATCCATGGGATTCCCCTGAACATAATAGAAACTTCGGTAAATTGTGCTAATTAACAGGTTAAAATTGTAAGTTTAATTCAAATAATTCTAATTTTTGTAATTATCTAGGCGAAGTGATGCACGTTCATTCTGACATATGGGGTTCAGACAAAGGAGATCCTAACTATAAAGAAAAATCTCGATTTCCAGATTGGATGAGAGTATCATCTTTGTTTATTGCTGTGTTTGGACTTGGAGGACTAATGTGGGTTGGGCAACATTATGTTCAACGGTATCGTCCATTTATGCCTAAACAGTGGCCTAAAGAAGATGAAAAATATTATACTTATTCTGAAAAATATTTTTAAACTGTTATTTCTTTGTAGTACTCATAATAAAGATGAATGTGATTTGTTGCTTAAGTAGAAAATTAAATACTAACATTTATGTTTTTAATTTAAATACAATATCATGATGACTTTTGGATCTGTTATATATTTTTTTCTTTTAATGATTTTTTAAAAATATATTTTTATTTAAGCAGTTTAAACCAATACAATTGCCTTTAAAGCCTTAACTTAAAATTTGTCTGCTTTCATTAATCAGAAATTAACTTAGCTGACAGATTATTGAACTTTTATCTTATGTTGACAATTAGGGACAACAATAATGTTTGCCAATTTACATTGGTTTGTCAAAACAGCTATTAGGAAATAATATTTAATAATTTTTAATAGTAACAAACATAATTTTGTTATTGTAAATATTAATTTGAGAAGAACAAAAAAATTCTTATGATTTTCAAAATAATCGTAATAAATATTAAAACTATTATTTTTAATTGATAATATTTCAACGACAGAAGGTCCTAACACATTACACATATTAATGATTAAACAGTACAATAAATTTAAAAAATAAATATAAATTATTGTTATGAGTTATTACTTACTAACGCAACTTGAACTAGGTCCAAACAGGCCTACTGTAAAATATCACAACGAATGTGATTGAAATATCGAATCTTAATTAATAAATAAATAACTATTAATGATTTTAATTAAGAAACATCTAATGCAGTGTCAATATCCCTCGTTTAAATTGTATACTTTGTTAAATGGTCATTTTGTGCATTTCTATGAATTTGTATTACATTTCATATAATATGACTTTTAAAAAATGTATTCTGAAATACAAGCGTAAGATATAGTTTACTAGTAATAGATCTAATAATACACTGTACAAAAAGGTAATATTTTATTATATACATGTCTCATTTAAAAAGTTCCAAAATTAAAATAAAAACCACTTTTTAAAGTTAATTATACATTTTCTACAAATAAGCATACAGTGTAATGCATTAGCAATATATACAAATAATTTAAAAAAATATATTGTAAGTTTTACTATAATAATAATAATTGTTGGTCTAGTTTTATATCCCAAATACAAATGTATATATATCAGACTTGCTTTATTTGTTTATTTTATGTTCTACAATAGTAGGGGTGAATTTTAAGACTGCAATTCAACAGACAGTAAACAACAAATTTTGCAGAATTTTCTTTCTGAATATTTACTAATTGGTGCCTCAGGATACCTACTATTTTCCAATTAAATAAAGAAAGTAACAATACATGTTTACAACTGTTTTCTATCATTTGATTACACATTTTTTGATAATTGTGATACCTTGCAGTAAGTTGTTGACTAATCATGTAACTTTAAGTGAAAAATGTAAACAATTTTGGGGGTGCTCATTTTAAAACTGAGTGTACTAAGCACACCTATACCCCCTCAAATCACGCATATGTGACTGATGGATCTAAGTGGAACATTTATCAGAACGCAGCTTTAGTTAATACTATTTTCTGGATTGAGTTATTTAAAAATTAAAATCACAAGAAATTGTTTTCAAAATGTACAGTTTATGTTAATGTATCTTTAATATATTTTGATAGAAATGAAAACAGAAACAGACCTTAACTTATATCAATGAAATGAGAAAAAAAAGGTGCCGTGAGGCACTTGAAGCCCACTTTCATTTCAAAGGACTTTCCTGTTTTAATGTAAAATCAATTTGATTTTTGAAACCATTAAAATATAATAGATTTATTATATTTTATAGAATTAAATGTTATATTAAACATAAATTTAGGACTTTTCACAGAGGTAATTTTGAGCTATAGAAATTATCTAGATTCTAGTCTAACAAAACATTCTAGACTTTTCAAAAATAACAGACACTAATATATAATATAATATATGGGTAAAGGCTAAATATAGTACATATGAACAACGCCCATATTTATGGGTTTCATCCTTTTTTTAAAATTTCATAATAGTATTAACATAGTAAAATCTAGAAACACGTGTTGTCAGTTGTCATATCTATAATATGTTTAATTTATGATAAGGAGTACAATAAGATCATAAGCAACCATCTGAGATTACAAAAAAAAAAATGATAATCTTAAGACTTAAATCAGCAATTAATTGAAAAAATATTGATTTTTTGTAGTCTAGACAGTTTAACAGGAAAATTAACAGTCATAGGCTATACTGATTGATCCCAGTTCAAATGATCTTATGATATCAATATTCATACTTTCAAAGAATTAACTGAAATAAACAATATCACACTTCTTTGTCAGTTTCATGAATTTGTATAAGTGATTCTGCTTGTTCTGTATCATTATCTCTAAATCTAAAAAAAAAAAAAAATCTGATCAATGTTGAATTTTTTTTTTAATAAATTTAAACAGTCAAATAATTATACCGTATAGAATTTCTTCTTTGAAAACGATTTAAGCAGCTATAATCATTTTGATTATAACTATATTGATGTGTTAACCAAATTAGGGCAAAATATGACATTATAATAGGAACTAAACCTAAATAAAATGATGGAAACAATAATCTTTCATGATCAGACTTGTTATGGCTAGAAATTCCTTGAAAAACTAATGACATTGGAATAGTTAATCCGATTGACATTGTTGCTATAATTGAAGATGTTAACAAACAACCCCTACAATAAAAAATATATGAATAAAGGAAATTAATTTATTGTATAATAAATATTACCATAGCCATATGATTTCAGGTAATGTAGCTTTTACAACTCCGTTGATTAATAAATTAATTGCTTGTTGTTTATTTGGCCACTCAAAAGCTTCTAGTTCAAAATAATGAAAAACAATAAACAATGGCCAAAACATTAACACATTAAAAAGGCCCACAAGACCTAAAAAATAGATATTAATTATAAATATTATGTCTTACCTAAGTATGGAAAATTCAATACAAATTAACACAAATATTACCAAAGTATAAGGTGATGTCTAATTTATCTTCATGATCTACCCATGATCTTAGAGTAACAATATTTAGCGCATAAAACAAAGCACTGCATAGAGAAAAAAAAAATCCAATATACATTTTATTGAAGCTATTGTGAAAATCTGGTATTATAAGGATTACCTGAAAAAGAATACTCAAGTTAATACATATATGATATTTATTGTAATCAAATATTTGTTCAAAATATCAAAATCATTACCGTTTTAAATAATAATAATATAACATTACATTTAAACACAATATTATAATGTTATAATGATACAATATTATTAACATTATAGCAGGGTTGGAACTTGAAATAGTCAAAAATAGGGAAATTAATTAATTCACCATACCCCAAGGTCATGATTTTGCCCAAAAAGAATTCAAGAGTTTATGTGGGTATATTTTAATCGAGTATGTTCACATACTTTTTTAAATTTTTTTTAATAGCCTTTATTATAAATTTAACAGCTCAACAATTACACAGATTAAAGATAGTACATACAAACTAAAATAATAATGGAAAAAATATATATATACAAAAATTACACATTGTTAAAATAGCTTTACTTACAATTAGATATGAAACCCAGCATTAAGGATGAATTTGAGGATAGATTGGATGATAGGAACTGAACGGGAGTTAAGAATATTAAAGGAGTTAGGGTTATTAATACCCAAAGAGGATAGGAAGTTAAATAGGATAACTCTATGGGAAGAGAGTGTGGGACAATGAAAAAGGAGATGAGAGAAGTTGCAAATGGCTGGCAGATCATGCAGGTGTAATGTGGAGAGGACTTTAAAGAGATGAGGAAGGAGAAAGCAGGAAGAAGGTTGTGTTCAAATCATAAGCAGGAAAAGGAAGAAATTTCCTCACAAGTTAGATGGAGGCCATGAAACCAAAGCCTCCGTTAGATGATGGGACGGATTGAACGATGCCAGGGGCGGGAGGGAAGGCCATTTGTCCTGCCAAGCCTGTAATAAAGTTTTATTGAAGCACGGTAGAAAGTCGGAAAAAGAAGTGGTAAGGCCTTGAGACAATATGAAAGAAGCGGTGGAGGTGGCTAGAGAATCGGCAGTCTCATTGCCAACGATCCCAGAGTGCCCTGGGACCCAAAAAATTGAACAGTTTTGCCAGAGGATGAGATACGGAACAGAAGAGATCTGATATTAAGAATAAGGGGAGACATTGTAGAGCTGAAGGGATTGGAGGAGAAAGCAAGAAGGCAAGGTTCACAAATTTGAAATAAAATATAAATATATTAGTTATCCTTCTAAATATCTTTAATTTGTACCATACAAATAGGAATTGTCAGAAACTTTTATTTAAAGATTTTCCAAGCCGGGTTTATTATTTTTTATAGTCCCAAAAAATCTTAATACTGTGTGGTCAAATAATAAAAAAAAATTAGTATAAAATTGTATTTTCTTATTTATTGTAGATAAAAAAAAAATATGAAAAAGATCTAATTTACTTACCCTACCCAACTATAATTATTCTTATTATTATTTTTATTAATATGATACACAGAGAACTGGCAGATTATAACATTTTGTCAGGAAGTTTCCTAATATTCTATTAGGCTAATCCAACCCTGAATAATAACCTAAGCCTACCGTCTATGGACAGCAGGTAATCCATATGAAACTGGTCAACGTTTTTATCCAATTCTAAAATGAATAATGCCAACCAATAGATAACTTATTTTAAAATTATACTAGCTAAACAAATAAAATATGTTTACATTTAATTGAGTATTAAATATTTAAATGTCAATGAGCATATTTTTAATTTTGATACTTTGAACCAAAATTTTGTTATTATATTAAATTAGTACACACGTTTCCTGTAATACTGAATAATACAGTTAATAATTTAGCAACTGTAAAGCGATCTGCTGAAGGTGTAATAAAGAATAAAGACAGAATAAGAGTAAAAAAGCTTGTTGTAGACATCACAACAGTTACTAGATTATTCTCCATGTAAACAATTGATAACTGATGTAATAAATTAGCAAAGCCCCACTAGAAAAAAAAGTTAACATTATTATAATAAATTAGTTTTTAAATAAAGCAAGTTTTAAATAATCAGAGATGATCAAATATTATTTAAGTACTGTTAATTTATTTCAATAGCCATACAATATTTATATTATTTAATCTAACAAACATTATATATAAACACTCAGTGGCGTATATAAGATATAATTTCAGAGGGGGTTATAAAATAAGAATAGATTTAATTAATATTATAAATTAACTATGATTAAATAAATTCGCACATGTACCGTACCAACCACAAAATGAAAAGTAATAAGTGTAATATTAGTAAGTAATTGGAAAATTCAAACACTACTTAAGTTTTAGCTTTGATGCGTAAGAAGGTGTTGTTTTTATTTTTTTGTGTCTAGATCCTCAAAACCCCTGAACCGATTTATTCATGTAACAACTCTTCAGATCAGAAATTGTACATGAAAGGTACTTTATTTGGCCAAAAATATGTAAAGTTCACCCTTTTTACTTAAAAACTGAGAAAAACACCCAATAAATGTACATATTTTTCAACTTAACCCTCTGTTAGTGTTTTGGGGTCCATTAAACACCATTGGCGTAAATAAGTTTATTGGAAACCATGTGACATTATTGACAATGCTTGTATAAGTACAGATATGCATCTAAGCGCTTATTTGAAAGTGATTTTATCACTTTTAGTTATAATAATTTCTTTAGACCTGTGACCTCCTCCTCAATATGCTCCATCCCCCCTGTACTGGCTTTTTTGTAATAATTTTTAGCATTTTAAACAAAAAAAACATTTGTATGGTAATATTTATAAGCTGCTTTTTCCATTATGGTTTATTATATTGGTACTGATATTTATAAAATATCTAAAAACTAATTAATTCTTGATACATCTCTGGTAAAAATAAAATGTTAATTCTTACAAGTGGTGCAACAGTGAAAGCAAGTTTGGCTGTTTGATGTAGGTTTAAAAGTTGTTTTGACAGTCGACATACTTCTCTCGCTCTCAAAGTAGCAGCGTATGACAATCTAGACATTAATGCTTCTTTTGCTTCAGTTTCAGATAAATGTCGCACCTATAATTATTATTTTTAAAATTCAATTACGGTATTTTAAATTTATATTTATCATATTACATAATTATCACTTGTTTACTCACATAAATTTGAATTTTTTTACATTTTTCTCTAATTAATTCAAATTTTTATTACTCTAAGGGCAGGCGCACACGGGAGACTTTTGATCATACAACTTTTTTGTCTTTGTTTCGTCGCCCTTCTGTAGGCGGCCTGAGCAACTGAAAAGTAGCGTCGCTCCGTGTGCGCACCTACATATGATTGTACATACTATGTGAAAAAGACAAAATAGTTGCGCAACAAAAAGTCTCCTGTGTGCCCCTCCCTTAAAATGTAACTAGTAATAACTTTTAAATACATCATTATATAATACTGTTATAAATAAAACATAATTTATATTACCTCTGCAACTTTATTAAATCGCACAATTTTGTTGCTTGATTTTATGTTACCAGAATCATCGCTTTCTGTACCCGATGTCATACTAGGATTTTTAATAGGAACATAGCTGGATGAACTCTAAATAAAAACAAAGATTAGTATTATTATTATTACGATTTAAATTTAATTATTATTAAGTATTATTATTAACAATTTTTTAACACTTAATATTTATAATGTAATGAGTGGGAAAAAAAAGTTTTAAAAATAAAATAAATATAAACATATGTATCATTTTTTTAATTTACAAGAGTGATTGCTTGGAAAAGTGGGTTAAGTTGACAGTGTTTTCATTTATAATTTACCAATTAAATGCTTGACTGTAGAATGATTTATTCATTGAGTAGGTGACTAACAAGACAAAAAAAAAACTTCTTCTGATCTCTAAACTAAAAAGATGTATTTATGTATTATAGTTGTCTAATAATTATTCAAAATCAAACTAAAATGCAAATTGTGTTGTTTATAATTTGTTCAAGATAATCCTTTATTCAATCATTTTCCGCTTGCCAGGGTTTTACATTATAATCTGTTGCATTAAAATTAATTGTTCTTTTTTTCTATGAGATTTTTTTCTTAATGGTTCAAATTTATTTTTGAACATATAGTTTGCAATCAGTGAGTCATCAAAATTAGGGTTTGACATACTATCAAAAATTATTAGGGACGAGTATCAACATGAACCTGTAATTAACTATTAAATATTAGCCAATGTGGCCAGTATCAATTAATCTTTTTTTTTTATTATATAACTGAAAATTAAGCTGATATTTCTAGAAAATCAATAAATGTATTCAGGATCCTCTATACTAGCATTTATTAAAGCACATTGAATAGGTAACTTTTCACTAAAACTTAACATCAAGCTAATGTTTGTAAGCATATATATATTAATACAGGAAAAGTTTTTTCAACTTCTATAATGCATATAGGTTTATGTACAAAAACATATGTGTCAACTATGGTTAAAATTAGAATTAATTGCTTTCGATGTAAAATACACAGGTGAAGAGGCCCCCCTTAAGTTTTAACCATTAATCACGTTCACTGCAGATCATATTTGTATACATGCGAATGATGCCAATTGGTGTCATCCCACAGTTAATGGGTTAAAGTATCTCAAATATTTAATCGATATCGAACATCAGTTAGTAGGAATAAGTTATTAGATTATTAAATATCGGCAAAGAATCTCTCTGACAGTCTTAATACAATACATAATTAAAATTTGAAATAAAAAAAAAAAAAAATATGATGTACCTATTGGCAAATAAAATGTTTATTAGTTTAAGGTCAGAAAGAGCCAGTGTCAATGTGAAGAAATAAACAGTACTATATATCTTATATATCATATCACTATTTTATTGATAAAAATATTTATGCTTATTCAAAAATTAAAACTTTTATGTTCATTTGCCAAAAATTACAAATACTAGATAGACTCAAACTTCAGAAATAATTTTGAATAAGCTTTAGTTGGTGATAAAAATTTAATATTTACCAATCGATCATTTTCATCAGAAAAAACATTATCGTTATCCTCATCGTCATCTTCTGTTGTATCAAAGTTAACAAACTAAAAATAATATATCATAATTAGTGAATATTTATGAATTTTAATCTAAAAAAAAATGCTTTTATAATACACAAATTATTACTAAGTTTTATTAGATATGTAAAGTTTATATAACATTTTAATAAATAAAATCAAAACTCAATAAATTATTAATTCTTAAGCGAACGTCATAGATATATTAATGTTTATGATCCATAGCTCTTAGGCTGCAGGGGCCTGAACAGGCTTCAATATACTAAGCTGACTAAAATGCAGCACAAAAAAAAATTGCTATTTAATTTATTATTAAACAGGCTCTTAAGACACAAGACCATAAAACAAAAGTAAACTGGTAGACGTTTGCCCACCGGAATTAACCATTAGCCGGCTATGCCATTTTTAACATTGAACAAATTTGTATATCATAAAATCAATAATATAATATATAAAATAAAGTTTTACCATGTAATTGGTTTGATTTCCACAAGGTTTACGCAATTCTTTAAATATTACATATATTAAAAAGTAAATAGTAAACATTGATGCTTTTGTATAAGCAAGGAAAAATGGTTTTTTATAATCATTGCTTTGGTAAGGAACATACTAAAAAATAATAATGTACATATTAATAAAACTGGATTGTATATCCATGTACAAATTTCTTAAAATATAATGTTAGAACTCTTTTAGTTATATAAGTAATAATGTAAAAATACTAGGTATGTCAGTGACGTGAAAGGTGTTTATTGTCAGGTAGTTATTTTGGTAGGTGGTTGTTTGAGATCTAGATGACTTGGTTAGATATATGGTAACAATTTACTAGACTGGACAGCCTCTTTTTTTATTATTACAAAATTGTAATGTTTTTATACTAATATTGAATCTGAAGACATAGTTTAAGAGTTATACTCTAATACTGTAGATGGGTACCTTAAAATTTATGGGGACTTGAGAAAAAAAAGCTTCGTGCTGTCACTGAACTATTTCACTTAATGTTAATTTTCTTTTATATCAATTCATAATTGGAGAACTAAATAAAACATACGTTTTTGAACTGTGATGACATTATCCAAATAATATCTGCTAATAATAGTAACAATAACCCAAAAATCAATCTTTGGGTCGAATTATACATTTTTGTTTAGGTAACTAAAGCTAGTTCAGCTAGAATATGTCCATCCCATTGTATATTCTGATTAATGGAACTTAATGTTAAAATAAAATACAAAACTAGGAACAACACACATCATAAGTAACTAGTAAAACTAGAAACAATAGATTAAATTTCACAGTTACATTTTTACAAGTTTATAAGTGTTCGTATTTTTTGTATTATTATTTAAATTGTGCCTAGTTTGAAAAAAAAACAATAACATTAAACATTTTACAAAATAAAATCGCTATCAGTAGTTTTTGAGTTTATTTATCATTTATTAATAGTGGTTTCAGAATTATAGATTCTAACATGAACAGCTGTTGCTACCATAGGGTATATGTATACTATACCTACCATAGTTCAGTGCATAGACTTTATACCAAATCATTGATTAAATACAATGTATTTAATCGGGTTGCTACAGTTACCACGAATGTTGCATGCCACGACTTGTAGTTACTCCGACATTGCTTTATCAGTCATTTGCCACGAATATAATCTACTTCGAATATACAATTGCTACGATTAGACGGTTAGTCCGAATTTAACATACTCCGACATCGTAAAGTAATTAAATGAATCATACAACAGTTTACTCGATATTGTGATACCACGAAAGTATTTTACTTCGACTATACATGATAAGAATTCTTGACCGGGTTGGGGGTAGTTCTTCCAAAAAATGATAACGCGTGATAAGAAAAAAATGTTACATAACCTATAAAATGTGTAATACTACAGATAGTACCAACATCGATTTTACCAAAAACCCGCCAAGAGAAATTTCGTATTTTAATATCAAAAACATTGCCTTTAGTTAGGTTCTTATCTTTATTGCAAATTGTAGTTAGATCTTTATCAATTATCTAATTTAAATCGTATACACTATACACGTAAAATTCATAATAAATTACATTATATTATAGTATATACCTATCATATAAGTATATGTTATAATTTAATATTATTTGGTATAAAATAATAATAATTTTATTAAAATTTCCCTCAAATTGTTTATATTACTATTTAAATAAAACATTATTTTTACTTTTTACCTAAATTAGTTAACGATTTCAGAATTTGGCTGTCAAGTATAAATTAGTTTTACCACATCTTACATATGTATTCTGTAGTTAAAGAATACAGGTAGGAGCTTATAAGCTTTGTCTTCAATCTTGTCTTTTAGAAGATATATTATTAACAAAATTTGGTACCTAAAGGATATATTAGAGCAAGATAACGGAACATATGACACTTGTAGTTTAAATACCTTACATGAATAACTAGAACCAAACACATATTTCATTTTCAAGTTTCCACATAAATCAATATATACATTATAAGGTTATAGTCCAAAGTGAACCTTTTGCCAGATAAAGACTCGTGAAGAGAAAAAAATTGTTGTACGGCCCCTTTTGCATGGGATAATAGGTAGATAATACGAATATGGCATAATATAAAATTACTGTAAACTAGATTTAACAATTCTGTTGTATTAATAAAAATGATCAAACTTGGGTCTTAATCGTATAAACGTCATACTCAATAAATATATAATGTAATTTAATAAAAACTTGCTTTTATGTTGGTAAGATTATCAAATCAGACTGATCGGTATTAAAATACCTTGCAAGACTGAATGTTATTTATAGACAATTAGTAGGTTTTTAAAATAATTATTATTCACTTAATATTTTACAGAAATTAGTTTATATTAAGCTACTCTGGGTATATATTTTTATTATATAAACCAAACTAAACAATATGAATTTGTTCTGAAATAGTTATTCATATGATTTAAAAATATGATACAATTTTTGGTCAATATAAATTTGCAAATTTACAATTATCTCTTGATTTGAAAATGTCCTTGTTTGTTAGAAGATTGCATAGCCCATATTTTATTAATCTATGTACTTATTCATTTAATATGGCCATTTACTTAGTGAATAGTTAAATTAATAATTTATGAATAATTACACCAGAAATCGCATAATATGACAATTGATACACATTAATGCGAGCGTATCAAATACTCATCACATAAATGTTGATCTACCCTTGGTATGGTACAAAGATCTTAATTAAATAACTGCAAAACTTCTTCAAACGATTGTACTGTTCCATCCTTTATAAATTAGGTATGGTACCCTCGTGTTTAATATATATTTTTCTGTTCTAGGAACTTGCTTTCTGTTGTAGTTAAATAATTTTTGGATTAAGTCCTGCCGTTTTACGGTGGACAATATTGACATAAAGCTTTTTTTTAATTATTTTAATTAATACTCTGATAATCAGATAGTATAAAAATCTATTAGAAATTAGAATACCTACTTAGGTATATCCATATTTCATTTAGATCTTTTAAAATTATATTTTCATAGATCCATAGATTTATAAGAATTTTTGATATTGCACATTTCCAAACATAAGTAGAATTAAATGTTTAAAGTGATGCTGTAAGATACTAGTGAAAAGTAATAAAATATTTTTGTACAAGCCTGGCAAAGACTTGGCTAATTATCTTTTACCTCGATTGCCTTTGTAGAAATACAATTATTATCAATTAGATTTGTTTCTTATAGAAGTGATATTATAACTTTTCTGTTATTAATTCTGCCTACATTCCATTTATTAAGAAATGTATACTTTTCTTATATTATAAAAAAAATAGAAATAATACATATTATAAAATAAATAGATACAATTGCAAGTTGCAGCATCTCATCATATTTATTTATCTCTTATCTCGTTTTCATCGAGATCTGCTGTTAAAGCTCTTTTTGCCCACAATAAGTTTAATAAGTTATAATAAGACTGATTTAAGTATGTTAATATTTACTTAAGATTGGTGAAGTTGTGAAAATTTAAATGATTTAAACGTAGCTATGGACATATTTAATGTGAAAACTAATGAGGCTATTTCCAATTTCACTAATATGTATATAATAAAATTGTCAAATCTGAAATTAAAAGAATGAATATCAAGCGGTCAGGTTAACTCTATTTTAACTAAGTGAACATTTAAAAACAGATTAGATAATCCCATTTTTATTTAACATTAATTAAAAATGGTATAATTGTGTTAGGAATATCTTATACCCCCATAATTTTGGTTAGAAATACTAGATTAAACTAGTAGAAGATAATTCTAACTTTATACTGTTAAACAGTTGTACTTAACTAAATTGTAGTTAACAATGAAAAGTATAAAAGTTGTAGGTATTTAATTTATCATTATTTTCAGGTAAGTGCCCCAATAGTTTTAACAAATGTGTCTTCATTCCTTTACACAAAACAGGAAATAAATAATTGTTCAGTAGTTATTATCTATTATTTCAGTCGGTAATTATAATTACTAGGGCTCTAGTTATAATTACTAGACTGTAGCCATTATAAACCAATATCGTTATCACTGTCTCTATCATAAATATTTAAAAATCATTAAATCCCAAATAATGAAGTAATATAACATTTAGTTATTAAAACATATTTACATGATTTTACGAGTTTTTATAGTTGAATTTGAATAAAACTGAACATATGGTTTTCAATATTCAAAACTATTTTAATCTAGATAACTTAAAGTTTAGAGGTCAAAACTGTGTAGAGCTACAAAATTGTGTTTCATGAATTATGATTCATATAAGATGTAATTGCGTTACTATTAAAAATAAAATAGTTGTATACTTTGATTCATTGATAACTGACTAAAATGAAAATATCAAAAATATTGAATATGTTATAAAACTATTCAATTATTATCAAGACATTATTTATATATATCTATAGTTATTAGATAATAGCAGGTATTGTTAAGGGTTAAACTTACTAAAGCTAATTTATTATTTAAATGTTGAATCTATAATTATTTACTACATTATACTATGCATATAAATAAAGATAACGGTATCTGGACTTTATAATACAATTTATATCGAACACATCATTGTATACTCAAAGAGAGTATTCAATATGTTAAACATCCTTCGTTTAAACGTATTATATAATATCACTTATTACAATACACAGATACAAATCACTCGTTATCGAGAGTAAACGTGTCTATGAGAACAGATTTAGAAAAAATACATTTGGTTTACTTTTACTTTATTGTGTCAAAAACTACATCTAAAAACTAATGCATTTCTAAATAATAAAATTATAAACAAATATATACTATATACTAAATACGCTTTGTTTTTTTATCATAATTAAATATTATTTAATTAAAAATTATCAAAAAAGTAAGTGGTTATTAAAACATGTTTTCAGTTGTAAAATAACACAAACAAAAATGTTTTGAAAAATAATTTTACCTAATTAAAATTATTATGAGAGAAAATTAGTCAATCACACTATATAATTAAGCTAACCAAGAAAAAACAACTTTTATTTCTAAAAAACAATATAGACTTCCTGTCTATCAGGCTACCTATAGTAACACAGTATACATTTCAGACCAATTTTATAATTTATAAAGTACAATTCATAAAGTTTGATAAGTCATTTAAATAAATAATAAATAGTAATAATAGAAATAATAAATGTAATAGTTTAAAACACATAAAATAATCTGGTAAAAAGTATAAATAGTATAAAATGATACTTAAGTAAAGATATTTTTTAACTAAAAATGTATATATTATAAACTAAACATCAAAATGTACAAATGTATAATTACTTGGTTTAGCAAAAAAAAATTGTACCGTTTTTTTTTTTTAATCTAGGTATTCAAAATTTTGACTACACAATTTTTCCTAACAACATCAACATAATTTCACAACAGTTTACAAATTTTCAATCTTTCAGTTAGGTCAAGATATTTTTACAATAAATTAATATTTTAATGTTATTAAGGTAAGTAAATATTAATAAATAAGCAAATACAGAAGCTACATTTATAATTTATTTGGTAGGCTAATAATTATGTTTGTCAAAATTGTAATAGTAATATACTGTTAGTATCGTTAAACTAAAGATACCCTAAAAATACCTTGTATTGACACTTAAAGTGTAAAAATATTCAAACAATAATACAAGTATTTAAAAAAAAAAAAAATTTTAAACAATCTTAATTTTGTTTTAATGTAGTTGAAAATTAAAAATATTTAGCCAAATGAGATATCAGTGTAGTGGTCATAAATACAGTACAGTTTATATGGACGTTGAAGACAGGATAATAAGTTATTCAATAAATAAACAACTGAATTACAGTTGATTAATAATAAATTATAA